TAGTTAAATCTTAATACTTAAAAGACATATGAAGCTAGTGTTTAGCTTTTCCGACATCTAAGTGTTTATGTTATGATGAAGCATAATTTATCCTATTCTTAAACCAATGAAGCACTATATTTTGTGTTGTGAACTGATTGGTTGTATTGAACATTACTCAAATATAATCGATAAGCACTATAATCAAAATATTGCAGGTTTATTGTTGTTCATTTTATAACTGAGGAAAAATACAAGATAAATTTATTTATAGAATGACAGTTTAAAGACTAAGGTTGATTTTATTGTAAACATACAAAGAGTTTCAATTTCATTTTACTCTGACATTTTATTTACCGACGTTCTAAATATCTATCATTAGAGAACATAAAATATTTGTCTATGGTGAAGAATGGATATCAGTAGCCTTAAGACAAATGTAATGAATAATGCTATTAAGTTATCTAGAATTATTAGATAATATACATGAAGAACTTTTATGAAGTCTGTGTATCAAAACTTCAAGTAATCAACATTAATAAAAACCATTTGAATTTAATTATGTTGATTAAGGTTGATAATTTACCTCAACAGAATGAAAAAGTTCTTGGACGAAAGCAAACAAAGTCATTCTCTTTTACTATGAACTAGTTTTTACCATTTAAACAGGACTTATAAACAGATAAAAAAGTACGATTTGTAATGATTCGAATCATTCCATGGTTGATATTTTCTACTGAATTTTTATTAATCTCGATTGGCATATGTAAATCATATGTGGATTGCCTCAAAATATTCATTATGTCAGAAATTATGCGAACATCACAGATATAGTTTTTACAACTACATTATCTTTATTAAAAACTTAAAATCGTTTCATCATTGAAATAAGTTAATTATTTGAATTGTCGGTTATAACGACTTAATAATTATTATTCCTATAAGATTCATAGCTTTTACATATTTTCAGCGATTCTAATTTACAAATCACTATGACTAAGCAATCTAAACTAGAACAAATGAATTTACACTCAATAAAATTCTAATATATCCAGTGATTTCTATGAATGGTAAAATGTCTACCTTAAATAATTTAACATCTGTAAGTTTAATTCATTCCTATGATCAAATTTCATAGTTAAACAAATCTATATCTAATCCTCTTATTTAGTTACGCTTCGTGGAGGAGCATAGGCCGCCCATTAGCACTCGCCATCCAACCCTGTTCTGGACAATCCTTTCCAGTTCTTTCCACTTTCTATTAATTCTTTTCATATCTGCTTCCATTTTCCGACGTAGTGTGTTAAATGGACTTCCTCTTGGTTTGTGATACAGTTTGATGTTTTCCTCAATGTATGTCCTATCCACTTCTAACGTCTTTTTCTAACTTCCTCCTCAGGTGAAAGTTGGTATGTTCTCTTCCACAGAAGGCTGTTGTGGATGGTATCCGGCTATCGGATATTCAGTATCTTACTTAGACAATTGTTTATAAATACTTGTACATTTTTGGTGATGGTTGTTGTAGTTCTCCAAGTTTCAGCTCAGTACAATAGAACTGTCTTGACGTTCGTTTTGAAGACTGTGACTTTGATATTGGCTGAGCGTTGTTTTGAGTTCCGTATGTTTCCCAACTGTAGGAATGCTGTCCTTGTTTTGCCAGTCCTCTCCTTTACGTCTGCATCCGATTCTTCTTGTTATATGTAATCTTCAGTTGAGCTATAATATACATTTTTGTATTCGTGAAAAATAAATGATGCTATCTAATGAGTTACATCTGGTTTATTTACACTTTCTCGTTGATCATAAGAAATATAGAAGGTAATTTAATGATAAGATATTACATTCCGAATAATTGATCATAGGAAGCTAAATTATTTGGAATCATTCTAGCTGTTAACGGTAAACAAAGATTTTGAAACAATAACAAATATAAGGATTAGAAACTATCATTTAAATAAAACTATATGATTTGAGATACTCTATCTACACAAACTTGTTCAATGCAATTTTTAATTATTATATTTATAATGGAACTTAACTGATTTGCATGGTTAATCTGACACTTCTTAAAGTGACACACTTCTCTACCTGAAAGTGTACTATTGCAACGATAAGAAAAAACTTTTCAAGAAGAGCCTCTGAATCTTATTCTTAACTTTTCTAATATTTATTATTACTAGTAAGATCAAAGCCACGATTTATTTATTCGTCAATAAAGATCGTAACTAAGTGCTGTAAAAGTATATTTGATTGAAATGTTCAACTATCTCAACCTTTTATGCACAAATTAGTTCAAACTTATGTTTTGACTTTTGTTCATTAAACAATTTAAGTGTGCTTGTACAGTACAATTTCACCTATTGCTTCATATTATTCTGGATTGTCAGTAAATGATATACTTTACATTAATGGCTTCATAATGAGCTAAAATTTTTGTGTTACTGTGATGTTTAAAAGTATTGGAATGATTATATTAACTAAGAATCCCCGAAATAACTCAATTTAAGTCAGATAGAATTAGGTGAGCACGAACAAACGTGTCGAATTTGGAGTTCGAAATCATTAGTTCATACAAACACCTTAGCTACCCACCATTACTTCATGAATTTGAGATCTTCAGAAAATAATGATTATATAGTAAGGTTTTACATGTGAATTTATGTTAAATGTTTTACATAAAACTAAATCAAAAGTGTTTGGAAAATTACTTTCATCCTCAGTGGGTGGAAAACTGGACCCAAAAGTATTATTGTGGTGTATGTTACTTATGTTGAATGGCTGACAGCATAAGGTTGGGAAGATCGAATCGAAGAGGACAAGAACAGAGAGCAATTGTAAGAGCAATGAAGGAACAATAAAATTTAAGTCAGTTGATAGAGGATTTGAAAATAAAGCATTTAATTTGTGGTTCTGATATTTTACCAAGATATTCTATAACTTTGCACCGAACTATAAGTTGGTTGCCCCCACTTCAGTTCTCTTTCACTACAGTATCACGAAATATTTTGGATCACTTCATATACATTTAAACAATTATAGTAGGAGTGGATTTGATCGTTGCAAATAAGTTACCGTTAAATATCATGTATTCTATTAACTGTTACAACTTTTTCCACATAGCATCCGTTTTCAAGCTTAGTAATAAAAAGTTAAATGTAGCATGTGACATTCGGATATATAAAGACAAGTACGTTAAATTGACTAGGTATTGACTAAAAAGGTTAATAATCTGAGTTAGAAATGTCAGCCACTGATTTATAGATTAGTGAGAAAAATATAAATGATTTTCAGTGGTCTACTAAGTTAAATGTTTTATTCAACATGAACTGAATATCTACATATCCAAAGCGTATATTTAAACAAAATAACTTCTGAATGCTCTCTATCTAACAACTGTATGATTAGAATGCATGTGATATAACACATAAATAAGCTTATGCAATGTTTATGGCTGCTCGTTGCGATAAGCTGAATACTAATGTCATTTAGTTTTAACCGCTAGAGAGAATGATTTTAGGTTAAACCACACGTTTCTAGGCTATTTAAAAAGACAGTATAGATTCAGGTTCCGATGAATTCTGATTGTATTCTAAGGGCTTGACAAAATTTGGGATATTCGAAGCCGATACCCTATATGTTGCGAAGTGATTAGAATGCAATAAGAGTTTAATTAACGTAGAATTCAGACTTTTTTAAACAGATAGGCGACATGCGGTTTCACCTGACACAATCATCGCATTTTTTTGGAAATCATGAACCAAAATAAGTTAGACCATCATTGAAAAACTGTAAGCACTAGATGACCGTTTTGTCCACCACTACCACAGAGATTAAGTGTCCTCGAGAAAAACCAAATTTCCTAGGTCCGGTTCTCTCACGTGAGGTCATGGATGAGCATTAAGATGGAACGGCCACTAAGTGCTCCCTGGTTTTAATAGTGGCCTAACTTATATCAGCTTATAATTTCAATGAAATTCAACAATCTCTATAGTTTCATACTGAATATTGCATTTCTAATAAACTATTTAGACAAATTACCGGTAAGAAGATGGTTCATATTTATTTTCATTCATTAACATAAATAAATTTGCATGTTTATAACGTTTATTGTAGTTCATTTATTCTACTGACAAAATTCATTTGTAATAAGGAAAACTATATTATTTATCACTTCATAACTGTCAATAAATAAATAATAATCTGTAATAAGTTAAGCGACAGTCAAAAGTTTACATTTACAGTAAAATACATTCCAAGTAAAATCAATGTAGTCATATAAATTTAACATGAAATTGAAATGAGAATTCTCTCATTTTTATTTGTATATTCAGATTAGATAGAAAAAAAACGTCTGAAGAAGCATGCCTGTAAATTAATTTATATCCATCCTATATCGAAAGGTGAGGTGTCTATGTTAATACTAGTGATTAATTTCACTTAGTTGATTTAACTTTAGAACATGCCTTCTAAAGAAGCTGTAGTCGTCTATTGAAGGTATGCTTCACTAGACAAAATAAATTGTTGGCTCTGACTTTGTGAACCTTTTTAAGTGAGTTAGTAGGATACTCCAAAACATCAGATTTAAGTGAGGATGTTAGATGGGAATTTACTGTTAAGTAATTTAATGGCTGTGACTAGGTTATCTGTAGTTCTTCCGTATGGTATGAGCAAGAGATTTAGTTTATGTAATCTTACGCCATATGGAAGCGTTATGGTTTTTCAAGCTCACTTCAACAGTTTGGTTTAGACTGAGACTACTTTTATACAATACTAAAGTTATACGTAACTTAGTTTCTATGTGACTGAAAGCTGTTAGTATTAACAAAAAGCTTTTACTAATAATATCACATATAGCGCTGACAAATAGTAATTTTACGTCATCGTTATTGGTACTTAATGCGTTTCGTAATGCACTTAAATGTGTCAACTGGGATTTTCTAACTTGCCAGACCACTGAGTAATTAAGAACTTTTTGAATTTTTGTACAGTCCCTTTAGCTTTTTGTTGCATTTCATTTTGATATGATTAGACAGATTACTATACAATGTATAACAGTAATAGAAATGACGAAGTTAATATTTGGTAAGTATTTGAGCTCACTATAAGACAATATGGTAAGGTAAAATATAGATATGGTGAACGTAAACCAGTAACCTCACTTATTAACTGTTGAAGATACTCCTCTGAATTCCTAGCCTGAAAACCCTATACCTTTCAAAATTTGTATACAGAAACTCGATTTTTTTTTACAATTTTTTAGAAATTGTAGATTTCATTAGTGAAGTTTTGTTCTTTGAGATAGACGGTTTGGTTGTCGCGCTTTGAATGCCCTTCTGAACAACATCATCAGCACAGACTTCAAGTAGAAGTCTTCTTGAAGTTTGCTTGAAGTTTGTGCTGATGATATCGTTCAGAAGAACAATGAAAGCTGGATGATCAAACCACTCAACGCAGACAACAAAACTCCACCAAAATTATTCATCTAAGCTAAAAATCGTCTCCACTCACTTTTTCGCTGAAAACTTACTCAAGCAAAGTATTCCTGATACTTGTTTCTACCTGGCTACAATAACATAATCAAAACAATTAAGCATGCTCCAATAGTCAAGCATAAAGATAAGAGATTTAATATTATCGACAGAATATATTTTATTCAAGTAAAACGTTATATTTTAAAGTTTATCTTGCTAAGAACAGCTATGCATTATTTAGTTAAAGTTATTTTTCTCAATTTCTATTGTGGTGTGTGCTACTGATGTCAACAGATATAAGTAGTATGTATCAACAATCGAAATTCATATTTTTTGAAATTAAATACAGGAAAATTTTTTCTAAGCGAGTTTAAAATTCAGTCGTTTATGCTTGAAAACCTTAGTCCATAGACAAATGTTACATTATACACTTTTTATTAATCACCATACTATGGTATGTGCTATTGATGTCGACAGTTATTAGTAGTATGTATCATCAATCGAAAGTGAAATGCCTAGCAGCACAAGGTTAAAAAGATCAAAGAAAAGAGAACGGAAACAGAGAATGGTTGGTGTGGAAACGAAAGAAAAATGAGATCTCAGACGATTGACTGATATTTTGCAAATGAATTATTTACTGTATGATATACAGATTTTACCAAGATGTTCTATAATTCTGTGTTTAAATACATTCGATTGTATCCACTTTTGTTCTCATTCACTACAATACTACTCAAGTCGCCTTTGTTGTTTACAATCTTGAAATATTGTAAAATCGTATGAATTTTCTTTGTTACAAATGCACCAGCAAATATTGAAATTAACTCCACCAGTCGTTTATCATACTGATTGTTATCTGAAAAGGTGACTGCACAATTTTATATGTAAGAAATATAGATTGATTCTATGTACCTCAATTTCATATAGATTTATCGGTTATTAATTTTATCTGTTCATATAAGATCACTTTATTATCGTGGTAATAAAAGTATCATTCAACATTCAATTGCAAATCTATTTAAATTTCGGAAGTAATGAACAGCTTTGTCGTCTGGTCCTATGACATTTTATTATTATTTAATCAATATTTCATTATGAGTCAGACTCATAACAATCATACTAGAAAGTGATCACAATATCATCAGACCACGGAGTTGGCAACCAATGATTGATATATCCAAGTTCAGCTTATGAGCGATATGACTCAATGACAGTGATAATAATAATAATAATTTCCTTATTCAGTATCGTATGTATAGCACGACACAGAATAATCAGCTCATCAAATCCCCCTTGTTCTTCTTATATTTCACAAAAGGATAACTATATACACACGCAAAGGAAGTAAATAAACTAGTCTAAAATCCTGTGAAAGTTTTATCAGAGAATGAAAATGCATACAACAGTGAATTAACTAACAATTGACTGAAGAGTATACATTTTTGGTTAATATCAGGTGTTATAATTTGTTTATCAAATAGTATATATGCTAAAAACGGCGTTGTAAATATTCTTATACTTTTAGCTAAATCACAAAAAAAACGTAGCAGCATAAGATGAACTTAATTGTTTCATAATTTGTTTTCAGCTGGTTACAACCTAGAAATAATGGTTGTGATTATTATAGATCAAGGTATATATGTATACTTTAAATAGTATTAATTAGAATTAAGACAATAACATCAAGTATAAGATAGTAAACTGTGAAAGTCCTTGGATATTTGTATGTTGGGGAATGTATAAGTTCTAGGATAAAAATGTTTAAAACATATAGAGATATGTTTACGGAAAAAGAAAATGAAGTTTATGCCCAAATTTATATGATCTTAGGCTTAAAACCAACTAAATTAACCGAGTAAAAAAGAAAAGAAAATATAATTGAAGACACTATAAATTGTGACTTTTACTGAATCAGGAAAATTATAAGTCATCAGGGTAATGGCAAGTTTACAGTTTAATCCTTTTGAATACACAGGTTCAGTTCTGATAATTTAACAATGATAGCCTTAATGAAACGTAGTCCGAAGTTGCTTGAGGACTAATTGGATGACAAACAATTGTTCTGTTAGGAACACATAAACATTTCAATTCCGAAGGTTCTGGAATATGCTCTGGGAGGTAAACAAGAACGCTTCGTCTTACTCTTCCACTCCGTGGTTTTTGGTACAAACATATAAATTTCGATAATGTAATAAGAAGACATATAAATTAGTAAATGATAATTCATCATAGTAAACTAGTTAACCACTACATACCTTAATAATTTCCTTCAGTACCATTTATAACAAAACAATCTTTTTCTCAAAAACCATGAAAAGAGTAATGTGGGATAGTAAAGTATAACAGGTAATATGGAAAAATTTCAAGAATCGTAATACCATCAACCAAAAGCCACTTTATATGATGAATCAAGCTCAATCATCTTAAGAGTCTGTTCTCATTGAAAAATATAAACATCTTATGTTTATATTTCAACTCTATCATAAAGATTAAAACTACAACTAAACAGATGTCCAGTGTTACCAAACTAATAAATAATTCATGGTAAAATCTATTCTCTTAATGTGAAACATTCATATGTCAAAATTATAGATTGTTATAAATTTTCGAAACTTTTCATTTAAATTCCTTTTACAGTTATCTGATATTTCATATAATGAGTAAATTTTTTCAACTTAATACACAATATTATCAGAAGGGGCTTTGTGGAGATTGTAGTAATTTCATTGATTAAGATCATGAGTCAGTTGAAGCTAGACCACCATGGAAAACCTGGAAGCACTGGACGGCCGTTTCGTCCTATTATGGGACTCCTCAGCAGTGCGCATCCACGACCTCGCCCCCTGCGAGATTCGAACCCAATAATAAATCATATTTCAACTTAAGGAAAACGGAGATTCTTCATTTAAGTTTGATATACTTAATGATTATGTAGGTACCATACCAAAGTTGGAATTTATAGTTTCAAATAAATTGAGCATTGGTTAGAGAGTTAATAATACATATACTATTTTTTTGTTATAAAACAATGAATAGAAAAATTGTATTCCTGATGTTTCGCAACTTAATGTAAGCCACATCTTCAGGATAAATAAATAACCAACATTAAATTAACACAAGTATAAATAATACCATTTACTCTGAAGAAGTGGCTTACATTAAGTCACGAAACGTCAGAAATGCAATTTTTCTATTCATTAAGATATAAAAACATATATCTATTATTGAAGATTATGTGGTATGTGCTACTGATATTTGTCGGTATCAGTAGCCTATATCACCAATCGAAAGTGAAATGCCTGACAGCACAAGGTTTGGAAAATCGAAGAGAAGAGGATATAAACAAAGAATGATTGATGTGGAAACGAAAAAACAATAAAGTCTAAGACAATTGATTCATATTTTGCAAATGAATTATTTACTGTATGATTCTCAGATTTTACTAAGATAATCTGTAATTTTCTATTAAAATACATTCAATTGTCTCTCACTTATGTTCTCGTTCACTAAAATTATAAATTTTTAACAACATAACATTAATTATAGACCACTTAAACATTGAATCTTTTTTTCTAAATCTAAAATATATTTACGACATTTATATAATATTATTAAACAAATAGATGAAATATAATATAAGGTCAGTTCAAATTATAAAATTGAATTGTTTAAATGAAAACAAGTAAAATTTCGAATAATCTAATTTAACCAATTGTACAAACAAACAAAACATTTTTTTATCTAATTATTAATCAAAACAAAATTAAATAAAATAATCAAGAGTTTTGTTGTTGTCGTCGTCGTCATTATTGTTGTTGTTGTTGTTGATGATGATGATGATGATGATGTCGTTGTTGTTTATATAACTACAAATTTTATTTTATTAAATATTGAAGTGATTTATTGAAATTTACAATAATAAATTTTTTTGATTATTTAAAAAGTACATTTGAATCAAAATTATTAAAACATGACAACTTAATTAAATAGTAATAGTGTAGTGACCGAAAACATAAGTGGATACAATCGAATGTATTTAAACACAGAATTATAGAACATCTTGGTAAAATCTGTATATCATACAGTAAATAATTCATTTGCAAAATATCAGTCAATCGTCTGAGATCTCATTTTTCTTTCGTTTCCACACCAACCATTCTCTGTTTCCGTTCTCTTTTCTTTGATCTTTTTAACCTTGTGCTGCTAGGCATTTCACTTTCGATTGATGATACATACTACTAATAACTGTCGACATCAATAGCACATACCATAGTATGGTGATTAATAAAAAGTGTATAATGTAACATTTGTCTATGGACTAAGGTTTTCAAGCATAAACGACTGAATTTTAAACCCTCATAAAGTTTTAAAGAAACTCGCTTAGAAAAAATTTTCCTCTATTAAATTTCAAATTTACTTAGGTCTATTATAATTATTTTTAAGTCTGTTCCACAAACCATCTTTACAAAAATCTTTTAAAATATGCGCGTAATACATTTCGTTAATTTATATCTCATTTCATTTATATAATTGTGTATATATGCAAGGCAACTAATTTATTTTTGTTTTACATTCTGACACAATGTTGGCAAATATCTGTAATGGTATTGTCTGCAATACCAAAAAGAAATTCCTACCATTATGTAATTTACGGAGTATTATAAATATTATTTAGTTGTAAGTTAGTTTGTCCAATAACTAGCACTGTTGGATTTGATCTCAATCATAATAGTAATAGTATTATCATCATTTCAGTCTAGTACGTAATGTTTCGAATAAATTATTATTTTTTTATTGTTAAAATAGACGAAATTAATGACTAGATAAAATCTTAAATGTTACATAAACTTTTGACAGTCAATTCTGTGTAAACTATTTAGCTTGTTGATTATTTTAATAATTTTGACATCTGAGTTATATATTCAATGAATTGCAATCGAAAAAATATAAGTGAAGATTTATTCTCTTGTTTGTAGTAGTTCACGTTTTTCTTTGTCTGTTTTAAATTTTCACGAAATTGCGACACCAGCACCATTGTCTTCAATGAGCTGATATCTCACAAAAGACCTGGTTGAACTCCACATGTCACCAAGTCTGTTGTGAGATATCAGCTCACTGAAGACAATGATGACGGAGGCGCAATTTCGTGGATTGAAGTTAGACATTAACACCGTTGAATGGCGGCCCCTATGTCTAATTTTTAAGCGCTCGCGCGGAAGACTGATAGGTTCTGGGTTCGGATATCGCCCGGGGTGGGATCGTGGTTGCGCACTGCTGAGGAGTCGCATACTAGGACGAAACGGCCATCCAGTGATTCCAGGCTTTTCATGGTGGTCTATCTTTAATTGACTCATGATTTCAACTATTGAAATTACTAAAATCTCCGCAAAACCCCTTCTGATATTTTAAATTTTGTTGAAATTATACATTATTTAAATAAATGAAAAATCGATCTATTCAGTTTAATCGGTCATTAAACACTTATTACTATTTCTAATACAAAAATGAATGATTTTTATTATTATTTGATACAAATGTATATGATATACTAATAAAGTGGAATACATATTGTATTGAGTGAAAATTTCAACTGTTCGGTTAACTTTGAAGCAACCAGATCAAAAGATCTATACATTTACTATTCAGGAAACAAATTATCCATAAAGTATGCAAGTTTTTGACACTTTGTTAATCAATTAATTAAAGGAACTACCTACAGTAGAGGTTTCTTGGAAAGCTCTTTTCGCATGCGTCTCTATAATTAACATTGATTCAAAAGAAGATTATATAATTAATGGTGAAGTTAAACATAGTGAGAAGCTTTTGAAAAGTTTAGACAGAAACTGATTCTTAGAAGTTGAATTCATCTATTATAATAATGAATACAATTAACTATTTCCCAGATGCTAAAGTTAAGATGAACGGATGGATTTCTTCAATTGAAGTTTTATGAACGAGTTTGAAATGAAATATCAGGAAATCTTGACAAAAAAAATAAAGTGATGATGTAGGACACAGGTGAGGGCAACCGAATTATATTTAGCACAAGTTAAATAGAAAAAAGCATACTCTAATACTTAATTTGCATAAAGTTCGTTGATCGTCTCAGACTACATTGTTCCTGCATTTCCATACTAATCGCTTTCTAATCCCGTTCTTCCCGTCTTGATCTTCTCAATCTTCTGCTGCCAGACATTATATTCCTGACTCGCGTTATATACTATTTATGTCAATATAAATAGCACACACCACAATAAGTTTACGAATAGTTTAACTTCACTTACGATATTCGTATTCCGTAAATAAACTGGTAATACACATTTTAACCATAATTAAAGTGACTTAAACAAATTATTAAGAGAAATGTATCTGTCATGGCTTCTTCGTGGAATAATAATGCCATTAATGCAAATAAAGTGAGTGAATAAAAAATGTTAACAACAGAACTGGTTACCAAACCCTAATTGAATACAGTTCAAAAGATAAAACAGTTATTTGAATGGAGATGTACGAAAAAATATTGATCACTTTGTTAATTACCAATGTATAAAATAACCAATCAAAAATATCCTTACTAACTTACTCATTAAATAAAAAAAAATTTTAACAGGGATAAAAATGAAGGACTATTAAGTGATCCATTATGTTATACTAGGACTTTTCATAAATATTATCCAGTTATGACTTTTGTGAATGGATAACGGTTCTTTTTGGCGGATATTATGAATTATTTATGTATCACCAATCAACATAACTTGAATATCCGAAGTCACGATTGTTCATTTTAAAAGTAAAGGATTCAGCTAAAATAATTACTAAGTTTCTATAACCTTATTGAACAGTTGTGTACCCGTTTGTATATGTCAGTAGTCAGAAAACAAAACAATGGCGATTATGTTCACTTGGTGTAGTTTTACTTATATCTTCCCATTTATATTTAGGACTGCAATCGATCAATCTCTTGTTGGCTTATGTTCATCCTGTGCGGTTTGCCTCAATATAGCCTTAAGTCACAAGCTTTTTAAGAAAAGATGAATAGTGGCTAGCAGTAAAGTTCAGGATGCGCGTTTCGTCCTTTCTGGGACTTGTCAGCTGGATGTACCTGCAATTCAGCGTTGATGTTCATTCCGGGACTCCAGGATGCAGGTACATCCAGAAAACGAGTCACAAATAGGACGAAACGCGCGTTCTGGATTCCACTGCTAGCCACTATCCATTTTTGCTTTAAAAGGCGATTATTATTGAGTACGGTATTCTGAAGCACAAATTAATTAGGCGTTTAAATAATGAATGTTTTTTCTAGTTTTTAATAAATAAATTATTTTATTTGCCAGGAAGACGGGTCTTCATAGATCTTCAAACAAATTCTCAATCAGTTACAAATAAATATAGTTGAATCATGCATGCAATGAGAATAGTTTTTCCGTGATTATAATTCTATCATTTCATCATAAATGCATATTACCTAAACCTTAAAAAATCATAGCCTGGTGATACTATCGTTTATATCAAGTCCAAAATACAATCTAACAGATTTGAATCAAACTAATATTTCGCTTTATACATTACGAGTTAATTTCACAACAAGTATGTTCAAAATAAAACACAAAGATTTAATATCTTGGTAAAACAATATTTTTTCTTTAATAATTTTGATTGGTTTACCTACATTTTTTATATTTTTTTCACTATTTCCCATTATCTTCATCATTATTACTACACGAAAAAAAGATGTCTGTAAATTTTGTTCTCCTGATTAATTTATTATAATTAATATAAACCGGTAAAAAGATGTAGCAGGTTAATGTATAGTTATATCATAGTAACAATAATTAGGATACTATCCAATATGTAAAATTACTTGTCAAAAATGTTTCTAACACATGATTTATGTTTATAACCTTTGTATATTTCATAGATGTTTTTTTCTCATTTTTGCTTAACTTTACCAAATTTCTTTCTGAGGTACATATAATTTACAACTATAACTATTGTGCCATTGTTTTTTTGTATTTGGAAGTTTTCTGTAAGTATTCTGTCTTAATTTCTTATGGATTTTATTAAAGTGTATTTTGATTGCAACTGCTATTACTACAACAGTTTGACGGGTGGGTAAGGATAGCAAATCAACTGATGAAGTAGTTAAACTTCATCAGCTGAAATGGCTGGGACATGTGTCACGTATGTCTAACCACTGACTGCCCCGACGTGCGACGTTTCATGGTTTAGGAGTAGGTTGGAAGAAAGCTAGGGGTGGCCAGACCAAAACATGGAACAAATCCATGAAGACTGAGCCTTGTTGGTAGTTGTAGACTACCTGGTTGGGATCCACGAGACGATAACAACTGATAGTAAGAGACCCTGAATGACATGGCTCAAAGTTGTTTACAATGAAGCAGGTGCATCCACTCTTTGTATTCTCTCAAATTCTAATCTTTTGAATTCTTCATGTCCCTTTTTATCTCTTTCCAAATTTATTTCACAAAATTATACTCCATGAATAACATCTTCAAACCCTGATCTTTCCGATCACTGCTTATACTTTACTACCTCTAACACTACGGGATTTCAATCAAAATTTGTATCTGTGTGCTAGTGGGGTATAACAACTCGAGCTGATGTACGTATGTACGAAGTTCTACATTGATGCTGACTGAACTGACATCTTGAATCAAACGTGTTAGTGTTGATGTTGTAATTACTGAAGTTTGTCTGAAGTTATTCAATTTAGATTGAGTAGTTGTATCCGAAATCGATTGATAGTTCTAACAATCAAGTCTTTTCAAGGGAATATATTTATATAATATCTTAGTGAAGGAACACTTAGGTGGGGACAAACAATTTACCGTTTATCATAAAATTACAGAATATCTTCGTAAAATATAAGAACCATACATTGAATGCTTCGTTTGTGAATCTTTCATAAACTGTCTTTTACATTCTCTCTGATTCTTGCAATTCACAATTCGTTCCTTTTCCTCTTTTCGATTTCTTTAATCTTATCTTCTTAGCCTTTTGCTGTCAGTCATTTAACTTTTGATATGTGTAACATACTACCTATGTCTGTCGATATAAGTTACATACACCGCAACTATTTGATTCAGCTTATCCAAACATTTATCCACATTTCACAGAGCTAATCAGTTTAATTCTATAAATTAACTAAATGATGGAAAATTACTTCTGTAAATCTCGATAGAAAAGCATCACCATCTACTGTTTGAGTTGTATATGAAATGATATATTGAATTGATGCGAAACTATTTCTGAAGTCGCCATATGCGAAATAACATAGACTATTCTAAAGGTTTTAAAGCTAATACCTAAACAGAAATTTAATTTCAAATATTATTCACTCTAAAGAGTAGTCTTTCCTCTCATCTTCATTCGAATAATGTAACTAAGGATATTTTTATACACTGAAGTTTCTTTCTATCGTTACTTATTATAAGTAAAAATAATGAAACAACAAAAGAATAAATAACTAATACCTATTATTTAAGATAAAGTAACTACCGAAAGCGTTTTAAATTAATATGAACTTATAACAATATATTAATTTTTTACATATGTTCCATTTTATTATTTAGCTGATTCCATCATAACTCAAGATGTCGAAGAAGGAATTTTGGTTCGAATCTTATGCAATGTAAGTAGTGATGAGAAACCTGATGGTGCTGGTCCATTTCGATATGAATGGCGTAATCCGAATGGTACATTAGTTGGAACTCAATGGAAATTAGAATTGGGCCACATTAAAGTACATGAATCAGGGATATATGTTTGCCGTGTTTCATATGAATTTGACAAAAGACAAATGTCCACCAGCTCAGCAACAAAAATAAATGTTATTCCACGTAAGTTTTTCTTCATCTTCTATTCTCCATAAATCTAATGTAGTAACATCGATTTTAGATTTAGATTTCGTCTCTTTATCTGTTGCTATTATAAAAGTACGTTTATTATTGTATGGATTCGGTTCATTGACTCAGTATCTCGACCCATCTATAGCATCTGAGCTAATTATTTGTCTCCTGATCCCAACAGTAAACTAATGTCACCATATCTCACACACTTCCAATTCATAGCACAGACAAATTACGTGTAACCCAAAAAGACTGAGAAGGTTGTGGTGTACTTTCCATAGGCTATAAGTTTATCAACCTTTTCAACCATGCAAAAACCTACATATGTTTTTTATGAAAAAATAAAACAAGTTTTAAACTTTATTTCAATCAATATTTAGATAATACACATTCTCTACAATGTCATATTTGTGTTATTCTTAAAGTAAACTTCAGTATTATGAAAAACCTATAAGAACTAGATAGAATTAATTATGTATTGTAATGTTAAATGTAATACGTGACAATTAACGTAATAATACATTTACAATGAAATAAAATATTTTGTCCAGAATCAGTTACAGTTTCAGTTTGGAAAAGACAGGAGGATTGATGGCCTGTGTTAGTCCTGGCAATGATGATCTCTCAGTTGATCCAACTTTCTTTTGAAAGAGTCGACAAATGGAGTCTCAACCACGTGCTGAGGTAATGAATTCCACTCGCTCATGATTCGATGGGAAAGTCGATAATCAGCCGACAAGTAATTTGTTCTGGGCTTGTGAACTTTTTTGGAGTGTCCTCGTAAATTCTTTGTTTTGGAAGACAGGAAGAATGAGGGCATATCAGGTGCAAATTTATCACTAAGCAATTTGAAAACTGTAATCAAGTCGCCTCTAGTTCTACGATATGACAAAGGGAATAAGTTTAGCTTGGCCAGTCGAGCATCATACGGAAGCTTCGCTATTACGGGAATCAGCTTAGTTGCTGTTCTCTGGACCTTTTCCAAAAGCTCACTGTCTTTTTTTAAGCAGGGGCTAGCCGCTTGTATGCGGTACTCAAGTTTAAAACCCACGAACACTGTATACAAAGTCAAAAACGTTTTCGCGTCGACATGGCTAAAGGCCCTACGTATTGACCATAGGGTTTTAAAACCTTTGGCGGCTATTGCACGTTAGTGTGCAGTAGTCTTTAAGTCTTGGCTAACGATGACTTTTAAGTCATTGTGTGTCTGGACAACAGGTAGCTCAGTGTTATTCATCATGTATGTATCTGTACCTTGATGACCATCACAATACACTTGAAAGTATTTACCGGCAACTACCAGGTTTGGGATCTTTCAGATAGTTTCTCCTAGTCATTTTGAAGTTCTAAGCTATCACCCTTACTTCTTATCGCTCTCCATATCTTGATATCGTCAGCGTATATGCAAGAACGATGTTGACAGTAGACGAGGAAGGTCATTTACATATAAGAGGAACAACACTGGCCCCAAAACTGTACCTTGGCGCACTCCTTCAAGTACAGTTTCCCAGGTAGACAACTTGGAGTTCATCCGTACTTTTTGTTTGCACTCAACTAGAAAATCTTTTATCCACATCAATAAATTTCATCCAACCCCAACATTTTTTAACTTGTATAACATCCGGTTGTGAGGACTTCTGTCGAAAGCTTTGCTGAAGTCAATGTAGGCTACGTCTATAGGTAACTCTTGGTCTTTAAGAGCGCACCAACTTTCACGAGCCACTAATAAGTTAGTGAGACAGGAATAACCTATTCTAAAACCATGATGCTTTTCTAAAGTACTTGTAATAAATTTTCAGTAATGTCTATTCATTCTATTTCAATAAACTATTAGATACATTCATAAAAATACTACGAACTGTATAAATAAAGCCAGAACAAATACTGATGCAGAATAATATGATTTCATTACATATCGTGGTTTCTCATCAGCTGTTTACAACCAAATATGTATTAGAATTTTACACTGAGATAACAAACAGTATGGAACAATTAAGATAAGTGAATGTAAAGGATTGGAAGAACAGGTCAGAGGTTATTTGGTGTTAGAATCAAGGTAACAATAAGGATGGATGGTATAATAGTTGAGTGGAGTTCAGAGACAGATAAGATAAATTTTGTGATCAATTTTAGAGGTAATGAAGGGTTTACGTAGGTTCATGGAATTAGAAAACTGATAAGATGGGTTACGTAATAATTGAATAGAATTTGAAGAGTTCACATAATTTAAGAGAATCAAGTGCGTGGAAATGTATACGTGAAGGGTGGTTTAAGAATTCAGTAATGGAAGAGAAGTATAACACAAACTAAACATTAACAAAATAAAGCTAATGACGAAAAAACGAAAAACGGATTACCAGTGTAGTAATAAGTTTATTACTGTCTCTTTTTGAATACATAGATCCGGTTTGAGTTTTTTTAATCGCGATCACCTCAGCTGTATAGTGAATAACATAATTTTTAATGAATAATGACAGTGAAAAAATTACAACGAAAATAATCTGATAGTTGAATACTGTCTTTAAATTTTCAATCGTAACATAATCTTCCAAACTACCCTCTTTTAACTGAGAATCAAAGGTATTGCAATGAACGAGAACACAAGTGGGGACAACCAAATGTATCTTAATACAATTTTCAGAGATTTTCTGTAAAATGTAAAAATCATACATTCAGTACTTCATTTACAAATCCTTCATTAAGTGTATTAAAACTTCATCACTCTTTCATTGTTATAACAATTACTCTCTTTTTCCGTCCTCTTTGATTACATCTTCCAAACCTCCTGCTGCTAGTCATTCCACTTTTGACTAGTGATATATACTACATATATCGACATAAGTAGCATACACCACAGTATTACTACAATGTTATATAAAATTAAATTGTTGATTGTAATGATTTGTTACTGTTTTATACTTGATATTAATCTTAATAATCAAATTCTTCGTGTTTATTTACATAACAATCAGACGGGAGAATATAAATTTAATAATAGTAAGGATTTAACTGGGACTGAAAACCTTAAAATGATGATTTTAAAATGGAAAAATTACTAATTAATTAAAATATTTCGTATCTTTGAGTAAAAAGGGAGAAAGTCATAACATATATTTTTCTTCTGTGTCTAGTTTCTATCAGATAGTGAAAATTGACTAATAGTTTAGTCATAAATCTCATGTAATACATAGAAAAACCTACAATAGATAATATCAGTGGTTTATGGAGTGAAATGCATTATACTAGTAAATAACGAACTCAGGGTGAAAGGAATCTTAAAGTCTTTGAGATTTCTTTGCTTTTAATAAAGGCTATAAACATTTTCATTGCTGTTTAGTTTCTGAAAACGTTTTTCAAAGAAGCTAAGCATTCTTAACTTATAAAATGTTTGATACAGTATAAGTAATGAAATTTCCTGATTCTCTTTGTATTCAGACCAAACTCTGGCCGAACTAATGTACTTAGATCTTAGAAAGTAGATCATTTTGTAAACTCGATATAATGTGATATGATGACTCTTTATTCTAGACATTTAAATAAATGATTTGATAAACAAGCTATACATCTGATCGTCAGTACAAAGAGTTGTGTATATGAGATCTGTGGAATCCATGGTATTATATGATTAATATTCAGTTTGTTTGCTAGATTTCAATATACCATTCGATTAAACAACTTTGTAGTTACATTACATCTAAAAAACATTAGAGATCAATTTACATAAAACTTAATATGGCTGATAAAACTAAGAGAATCTTGGAACTGACCCCTCCTTTTAAAACTAAGTATTGTAGTAATCAGAAACAATGATAAAATCACTGTTTAATCTTTTGGCTTCAATACTTAATACTCGTAGAGTAAAAAAACAAAATTCATAAAACTTTCAATAAAAATTTGTATGATCTCATCATTCTGTATCAAATGTCATATCCACAGAGATATAACATATTATCATATTAAATTCATTACGAAAATGCTTATTTTCCTGATAAATATATATCAACTGATCGAAGTTAATATATTACTTAATTTAAATAGTTTCGTTGTCAAAGAATCACCATTTTGAAATTTGAGTTAGAACCATTTAGATATAATGGCGGTAATTGTTTTTGATGAGTGCTAATGGAAATAGTAAAACATAATAAGACAAACTTAAAAATTGTTATTCCTTATGACTTCATACTGATCCGAACGGTAACAGTTCCTGTTGGGTGGTATGATCTATCTGGATTCAAATAATAGATTGTTGATCACCTGGTTTATTTGCTCAAGTGGATATTTGTGGTTAATGATGGGTCAGCCTGTGATGTCGGTCACTATGTTAAGCAAATATAGTTTATTCTAGCTTCTGGACAGGTCAATTTATCCATTCTTCTTAAGTCACGTTTTGACCTTGTTAATTATTCACTTATCAACGCTGACTATTTTTATATGAGTGTCTGTGTATGTGTGTACATCTCATCCAATTCATCATATGTCTGTAACTTCTTTTTGTTCGGTTATAAATATCGATTAACGCTTGGTTAAATGGGGTTGGCTCACATGTCTTATTCACTGCGCGTCGTCTCGCTCCGCTCTCTTCTCTTCGCTATCTTCACTTCGTTTCTTCGATCGTTTGTCTCGATCAGTAATTGTACGAAATATACGTATTCAAAAATCCATTTTCGTATTTGACTTATTTAATTTCGTTATTCACTAACGTGGATTAAGCCGATAATTATATATGAGAATAGTCAGGATGTATATTTCGACAGCAATCATTTATACAATCTAATTAGAGTCAGATAAAGGGCCACAAAAAGCTGAACTCTAATACATATATATCACAATATGCAGATTATGATGAATATTAGATGTTATTGAGATCACTGGCCAACTTAAGTGAAACACTCACTGTAGTCTTCACTAGTCTACACATTCAAGATCGAATTATTTAGTAGACGCTTCAAACAAAACGTTCAAACTGCCATAGGGAAACAGGTGGAAAAATTCCGTTTTAATAAAAGCAATAACGAAAGATAGTTTTAATGCTTCTTATGGTACTTATTAGGTTTATTTTCATAAATGTATTTAAATTGTTTATGACATATATAATGCACCAAGCGTCTTCCTTCTTTTTGGCTTATAATTCTTCCACTAACCATCTATATTCTAACGATAGTATATATATGCATACGTAATAATGCTTAAACCTCATCTTTTTTGTATGAAACGGTAACCAACTATAAGGTTTAGTTTTCTATATTGATAAGAGGCATAAAAACGTAAAATTCTAAAGAAACAAAAATTGTATTGTAATGAGCGAAAACACAGATGGGGACAATCAAATTTTTTCTTAGCAAACAATTACAGAATCTCTTGGTAAAATCTGCGAACCATGCATCAAATGCTTCATTTGAAAGATTTCATCATTTATCCTTTACATTTCGTATGATTCTTCCATGTCACAATTCCTTCCTGTTTTTCTCTTCAACTTGTTCTTCTTAGCCATCTTTCAGGGTCCCCACATCCGATTGGTATTACGTACTACTTACACCACAGTATCAGTAGAAAGTTTGAAACTAATCATAGGATAAAAGTAGCTGAAGTAAATGAGATTAGCAGTATAAATTTGTGGAGGACATTGAATTTTACTGATATCACAAACCGGTTTAAGTAAGAAGCTGTGGTCGGTAGAGTTCAATCTTGTCCCAACGGAGACAATAGAAAATCGCACAATATCATGGAATGATTCAAGTTAAACATACAGCATTGAATTCCAACACAAATGTCTATACGTTGAGCGTTTATCGTCGGACCTGAGGTCTTTGTTTCGATTACCGCGTGCAGGGACATGTATGCTTACTACTGGGGATTTATATACTAGGAAGAAACGGTCGTCCACCAGTTCCAGGTTTTAGTGGTTGCCTAAATTAGGTCGGGTCATGATATCAACAAAATGAGATTAGTTGTTGATTTTACATAAATATATCACAAACTCTTGAATTGGAATCCGAAACTTGTTGAAGAAAGTGGATGATCAGATTGAACAAGAACTTATACCATTGTTATTATTATTATTTCATTATTTGAAATCATGAGTCAATTGAAGCTAGACCACCATGGAAAACCTAGAAGCGATGGACGGCCGTTTCGTCCTGGTATGGGACTCCTCAGCAGTGTGCATCCACGATCCCGCCCCCCGCGATATTCGAACCCAGGACCTATCAGTCTTCCAGTGCTTCCAGGTTCTCCATTGTGGCTTAGCTTCAATTGACTCATGATTTCAATTAGTGTAAATTTTAAAATCTCCACAAAACCCCTTCCGATTATTATTATTATTATTGTTATTGATGTGACTAAACTTTAAATAATGGACTAAGCAAATAATATTGAAGCCAGTTAAACAGATTAAGGAAGGACAACCAATCAAGTCATCTTCATATCGGTGAATTGATTAATAATACTGGTAGTAACATAACCGTATTAATCAATCCATATATTATAACAAACTGTATTAATAGACGAATTTTATTTCTAAAAATACGACTTTACTATACATAAATTTTTAATGAAAAAGGTCAAACATTTTATTAGAGAATTAATTAGAATTAACGTTCATAAAACAATCCAATCAATATATAATGGGAGGTATAATTGAATGTCAAACTGATTATTAACTGAAATGTACAATATTATAAAAATGTATACAGTAACATTTAAAGAGTTTCTTAGGGAAAAATGATTCATATAAGTAGCTTTATCATTTGATTAAGATGACAATACCTTACGATGAAAAATATTGATTCAAGTTTTTATTCAATCAAAATTCTTTTGGTTTCGATCTGTAAGTTTAATTAGTTAACATAATGAATTGTGAATAATGAAAAATAGTGTAGTACAAATCAATTATTTTAATCAGTCAACTACATATACACTGAATGTATATGGTATCCTTAAAGTATAATCAGGCTCATATTTTGTATCCAATAACTTGACATATGAATATATGATAACACATTGGATTATATATCGGAATCAGTGCATTATTTAATGTCAAAAATCTGCTGACGTTATAGCGGTTGACATTTAGGAGTTCATATTACAACAATTAGTTCTTTTTTTCATTTCCGTAGTCCTTAGTTATTTCGAAAGCTAAAACTTACAGTGCAGACCTTAGGCAATCTGTTATATCCTTAGTTGTACGATTACTGCAAAATACGATTGCCAATTTAGATACGTTGAACTAAACGACCAGACTAATGACACATGAACCTGTACAAGCAGCCCAGAGTTCCTATTTGTCCACTGAGAATAATAGTCACTCAACTAACCCAGTCGCTTTAGTTCAGTACGCCAATATCAACCTCCGCCATATATTTCAAACATTCTTGGTATATATACAAGTAAAATCAGACCATATCACAGCATAAAATATAAACATTTGTACAAGATCATGACAAAAGTGATTATGGTTTTAAGAAACCGTCACTAATAAATTGAGAATATTTCAAGAATGGTAAATCGTATGATAATAATCAGTCGGTGAAAAAAAGCTTATGGTGAAAGGAATATGAATATAAATATAATAAAGTTACTTATTAGTCATACAATAAGAATATTTATGTGATATTTGTCCATAAATAGTTACTAGCGCATACCATTCATTTATTCTCGTTCGGATATAACACAATCGTTAATCTATCGTTCAATGTTTATTAAAACATTTTTTGATTGATTAATCATACAGTTTTTAAAAAAAACTTATCTCATTGGGATAACTGTGCACATAATTAACGCTTTCATATTTTTGAAATTAAACCTTTTCTGTGTACTTTTTGTTTAGAAATAGTTTGATAGTAGTTAAAAAGATTCACTCAATTCAAAGTTGGAAAATCCTTTTCGTTAAAGGAATACATTAGTGCAGATGCTACTCTAAGGGTTCCACATACACAAGACCAATATGCTTTTGGCTAATAAGCTGACATACATCTTTTAATAAGGATTGTTATGTTAAATTTGAATTCAGCACGTGGCCTATTGTTGTTAGAGATATATTAGTTCCAGTGTTCTGTCGTGGTATATATATATATATATATATATATATATATATATATATCTTTTAAACAAAACTGCCCTCTCTCTATCCCTCTATATATACATATATATTTAGATATATAGTTATATATATCCAGCTAGGGGATTCGAGCTCAGGACCTGTCGGTCTTGCGCAAGAGTGCTTAACCTGTAGATCACTGTGTTGACATCTAATGGTGTTAATGTCTAACTTTAACCAATCCACGAAATTGCAACACCGTCCACTAATGTTGTGAATGCGCACTGCTGAGGAGTCCCATACTCGGACGAAACGGTTATCCATTGCTTCCGGGTTTCCCATGGGGGTCTAGCTTTAATTGACTCGTGAATTTAACTCTTAAACTGCTAAAATCACCATAAAACCCCTTCTGATAATATATGAGCAAAGTAATGAGGCTGGATACATGTTAAACTGAAACAATAAATCTATTTGATTTTCGTATTTTAAGTGAAAAGTATAGACATGAAATAATAGTAGATATCGAAACATAATTTTTGTCACTAATTTCATCTACTTTTATAATCATATATGCTTCTAATATACTGCTTGCTGTCAAAAGATTACCGAAATTCTTCGACTTGTTGATCTCTTAGATTGTTCACACTTATCTCATGGTCATGACAGCTGTAATTAATCGGTAATATTAAATTGCCTGTATGATTTTCTGATGTGGTGAAAAATTCGACAAATTTTCAATTTCTTCCTAATTGTCCAGATTTCTTATAGATTAGAAAAGTTACTTACTTAATGTTGTAATATTCACGATTTGTTGTAAATTTTAAGGGAAAATAATCTTGTTTTTAATTTCCTTCAACTACTATAAACATAGGAATAACAAATGCATAATTGTTAATCCACAGGAACCATCAAGGATTTTGATTTAATCACTCTTGTCTCCTCACTTAATTCCTAATTTGAAAACTAGAGTTCAACTTACTTTTCCTCTAGGTTATTACCATAGAGAAAAAAATTACTCAAACAATTCTGTGGTTGTTGACATATACATCGAGTTTAATTTTCATTGATGGCACAAGTAGTTTACTTCATACACTTAAAGTTGTTTAAAGAATTTCTGTGAGTGTTAATCATCAGTATAATTTAAAAATCGGATGAAATTTTTTTAAATACGCAAATACCTTGAACTGTGCTATTTTAGTCGGACTTTACCAAGCAGACGTTAAAAACGTTTCGTAAACTAACAATTACTAGTATTCACACTGCCTATTTGTTTACTACAGTATCAATGATATTCTGAAATAAACAACTATTTTATAAGTATCTCAAGTTATTCTGTTTATAAACATATCGAAATGTTAATCTATAATAATGTCAAATCTTTGGTATTACTTTTATCGAATAGGTGCCGGTGTAATATTTCCAGGAATTCGTGGAAACGTATTAGAAGTTTTAGAAACAGGTGATATTTTGCAAGAATGTCAAGTGGTCAGTGCAAAGCCGTCTCAATATAACTTTCAATGGTTTGGTCCAGATGGTCGTTTAATATCTAATTCCGCATTTCTTCAAAGAGACTATATAACAAGACAACGAGATGAAGGTATTTACCGATGTGTGGCTAGTCCAGTTGAAGAAGGAAGATTACAAGTCGAGAATAACCTAATTGTAACAACAGCACGTAAGATTAGTGATACTGTTTACGTTATCTACGTATAGTTTGTTCAAATAGGTACAATTATATTTTATGGGGCATGAGAAAGACGTTTAACTTTTAAAGTAGAAAAGCAAGTTTAGTGAATTGTAAGAAAATTGTATTTGATTTGAAACATTTATTCATTGCTGAATATATTGATAAATTCACTGCGTAAAAGCATGATAAGCAAAACTCAGAGAAAAATGTAGCGGGAGTTTTGTGGTTAAATGAATTTCTGATGAATGACAATCATAAAAGTCTTCATCAATAAGAGTTTACATTAGGAAACAGAAATGGGTATCGGAACAAAGGGAAACTACACTGAATCGCAATATGTTTCTAAACTAGAGCTTTCAGTAATTTCTAGTTTTCAATGATTTTCTACTTTTTGTACTGAGAAATGATGTTTCAGTTAGAAATTAACAAACTAACACCTAAATATTTACTGTTTGTATTATAATATCACTATTCAATTACAAAAAGGTATTTTGTAGCTAAGCTTCCTTACTTCATTATTTATTTCATCTAGACTTTTGTTTATCATAGTTATTCGTAATTCACTACAACTGTTAATCAGTGTACTTTACATTTGTACTTTAAGATCACTATTGGATTTCACTGATAATATAGGTGAATTTTCAATAATGTATGGAGAGAATTTATTTTATATAGACTGGTATTCAACGGTAAAACTACAGTTCATGATTCTTAACTTTTTGTTCTTCTTCAGCACTACGTTTCCAGATTACAACATTAGAGGAGGACTTAAATATTGGTGGTTTTACACATCGCCGTATAGCACTGGTTGATTCATCCAAACCAAATCTTACTACTCGTGAAACTTTTGTATACCAGTGGCTAGATACAGAAATGAATCCAATTCTCGATTCAATGGGTCCGGATTTACGTATCAACTTTCAAAGTCCTTCAGATTTTGGACGGTACTCAGTTCGTATCACTGGCTTGAATTCTGGCTATCAGAGAGATCTGAGTACTTATATCACTGTGGATGGTAAGAATTTTAAAAAAATATAATCTTATGAAGTTGTTTAATAAGTTTTTATGCACCTAACAGTCACTGATTGTAATTCAAGTTGATTTAACAGGAATAGTTAAATGAAACACATAACTCACTGTAAAAAATCGGTTTCCTATAATTTAGTAAGCTACTGTTGGGAAAGTTAGATCCCCAGAACTCGTTCGCAGAATAAGTGAACTCGTGATAGCTTCAAACCTAGCAGCTACATTAATTGTTTAATTTCACGAGGATTTACACATATGTCTACTTATTTTTTTCTTTTCATCCAAGTCCACTGTCATTGTTCTTCAACAATACAACAAATAAGGCTAAAGTTGTTAGAACAATTAACGCCCTCTTGATGAACTCAATATCATCTGTTAGAGTTTAATAAAGAATAAGATGTAGTTCTAAGTACTAAAAACGTAAAAAACAAAAACGAAAAAGCCTGAAAAATTTTGAATTTAATTATCAAAATTACTGAACTTTATTACAGGTCGAAATGGTGAAGTAGAACCAACTTATTCTGTTGTAATTCGAGAAATTTCTGGTCCCCTTTATCTAAATGCACGATTAGAATTGGAGTGTTCTCCAAGACCACCAAATTCAGCTGCTAGAATTAATTGGCTTGGCCCAGATGGAATGGTGGTTTCTGATTCTAGTAACATAGTATTTGAACGTTTCCAACCTCATCATCAAGGTAGATACACATGCCAAATCTTACTACCGAATCAAATTATTTTACGTCAAGTATGTTCACCAAAATTCAATTTCCCTAATAATATTTAAAGATAATTGTTTAGGCAATTTTAAATAACCAAATATCAGAAACTCAATTTTATACTTAAAACGGTACTAAATTCCATTACCATCTACCTAATAGCTGGACCGATAACAAATTTAGAAAAATTTCAAACTATTTACTCAGAAATTATTTTTCCAATTATGGATAGTCTCTATAACAAAGTAGCATTATTTGCAACCGTTTAACTACTCTATCGTGGAGAGCAGAGTCACAAGTTATCATGAGTTGAATAAAGTTTTAAAAAATAATTTTATCATAATAGATATAAAAATATGATATGGAATTAGTTTGAAGTTTAGAAGTCTCGTCTTATTTTTATTCTGGAAAGCTATCAAGAGTCAGAAAGAGTGGCATTTTACTTGTTGAACTACTTTGATTGACTACTGGTTTAATGAAGGGTATTTAATGTTAGCATTATAAAAGGTCAAAATTAATAATGCTTTAGCTGACATTTGTGATTGATTTTCTCCCTCCAATCTATTAGAGTGTAGAATTGGTTGTTTCCGGGACATCAACAGAAATTCCAGAACCTGACAGACTCTATACAATTCGAATTATTCAGTCACCTACATATTTCAGATATAATGATGCTGTACACCTACAATGCATTGTTTCTCCTACACCCCCATTAGTATCATATGAGTGGTTTAAAGATGGCGAGCTTATTGGACGACAAGCAGATATCTATATACAGAGATTTACCCCAGATGATGTTGGTCGGTATCAGTGTGTTGCCCGACTTGACAGTATGGTACTTACCTTTAATAGTACGATATCTATTGACGACGGTACAGGTAAGCCGTAATAAAACTTTAATCAAAATTCCTGGAGTTATTTTACTAGGAATTAAATGTTTCTGCCTAGCCACTTAAAAAAAGTTAGCAATTATTATTGTCTAAAGTTCACTTTTTCAAGGGTTCACGTAAAAAAAGGAAAATAGTTGTTCAATTGTTTATTTCATTGTTTTATTCACATTAAGCTATTACCAAAATTAAGTGTAATCTAATTAATTATAATAATAAGATACATATTGACATCAAATGAAATGGTAACTGAGGTTAGTCAATAGGAAAACCTAGGTTTCGTGCTATTTGATACTTGTCAGCAAGGTGTACCTGTAATCTTGAAGGAACTGATACTTCTAGAAGGATTCGATCTCATGTCATCCAGCTACACAGTCAGAGACGTTACCACTAAACTATCTACACTAAAAAGGACCTGACATACATGACATTGATCATCACTTAGTGATCAATCAATTGTAAACCTAAAACACTTTATCATTTGAATGTAATATACTACTCAGATAAACTTTTTTTTTCAATTAACATAAGTGAAAAGTTGAAAATACTATTGAACTCACTATAAACATGAATGATAATCATAATTAATTATTTAGAACTATAAGGTTTCAATGAATTGAACGAACAACATCCAAGAAATGTTACAAGTGATTTTTTCATTTTTTTCAACAAAAAAATATATTTTTTAACTTGGTGCATGATGATGAATTCTCGATGTTGATTTCTTTGTATCTATGCATAATAATTTTTCCCAGACATTTAAAATAATTTTATGGAGGGTCATTAAATTAAACCAAAAGAAATAATTTTCAAACAATAATCTTATTTTATTAAAATCTGTAACTATGTGATAAAGTTGAAACCATCCGCTCAGGCTGTATATATAACAATAAAGATTAATCAATTGTAGTCTATTGACATAAATAATAGGAAAACTAGAACTCTTACTTATAGCTTCATACCAGATTAATAAGTTAATAACTATCTGAACTCAGATGCTCTGAGAAAAACGGGTTAAAGCTTCACGGAAAAATCAATGGTTTCAAATTTCTTTCTGAACAATAACATTGAAATTCCATCCAATTAAGGAGGCTAAAATATGATGTAACATACGACTTAAAATCCACTACTAGATATGATCAAACATACTTGGTGTTGAATATTTCCTGAAAGATCACAAAATGGGAAAGGAATATATACGGTCAAGTGAAATATACGTTAATTATCTTCGCAGATAAAAGTAGTCTACATTAATTCGTCAGCTGAGATTATAAATCAATATCCACTCGGCAGTTTCTAATATGTGTGTAATTGATGTGCTCAGTCAATTATATGAAACAACAATAGTAATTTTGCTATGACGATAACACTGAAATCTCATGAAACGTATGTTTTGATCAGTTGTCACTTCTAATAATTTACTGTATCATTTGTATTTAAAATGGGGAGTTAACGTAGATGAAAACCTAATATATGCCATCATTAACTGCGATTTGACAAGATATAGAAGGAAGTTAAGCAGAAGTGACAAAGACAATAACAAAAAAAATAAACAAAATTATGTTTTAATGGAAATATGGAAATTGTAATATAACAGCTTGTTTTATTGCAAAAGTCATCAAAAGAACCAATAATAAAACATTAATGAAAACACAAGTTATTCGAAAATAGCAAAATGAAGGTTTGCTGCAACTGTGATTAGGTCACATGAGAAGGTTGAATAAAGTAGGGACGAGAGACGTATCACATGAAAAGAGAAAAACAAATAAAGATGTACTAAGTAAGGAAGTTTGATAGATAAATTCATTTTTGTATTTGCAATTTGAGTCTTCAAATTGATGTTTAGGACTGCAACTGACCAGTCTCTTATTAGTATATGTGCGTCCTGTATGGAGTGCCTCGATATTGCCTTAAGTCACAAGTAAAATAAGCAGAGATAGATAGCGGCTATCGGTAGAATCCAGGACGCGCGGTTCGTCCTGCTTGGGAATCATCAGCTAGATGAGAAGATTCAAACAACTAAAACAGAAATGAATTAAAACCTCACCTTATTGCATATGCTAGTGGCTATATTGACTCAGTAACTAAGTGGATAACGCGATGGCGTTTGAAGTCCAGAGTGAAGATCAACTCTTGGATTTAGGTAAATCCATCTGGCGAGCCACAAATAGACGAAACGTGCATCCTCGGTTCCGTCGCTAGCCACGATCCATCTCCGTTTATAATGTTTGATAGATAAGACCTTAAAAAGTTGTTTTTTTGTTTTGTACGCTGTTTCTGTTAGAAAGTTAGTAACAATAACCTTTTGTGAACAACATTTGGTAACTTTAGTAGTCTTTTCAAACCGTAAATACAGTCTATCGATTACATACGTTAAGTGACAATACTTTGTTTTTCTAATAACTTTGTCAGGCCATCATCAAGAGAAAAACGTTCAGCTTTGATATTTAAGTCTGATAGAGACCCAATTTACGGTTGTTGAGTAATTTATCTTCTAAGCAATCGCTCTCACTGGAGTGCATAACAATGTGACGTAGCTATTCGAAAAGAAAGAATAAACTTCTCTTGATCACTAGTACAAGTGATAACATCTAAATGTATTTCATGCCCTTTCCATTACCTTTATTTTACGACAGTCTTAAGACCATAAATATAAATTTTCTTCTGTCACATCTACTTGAACACTTATAGTTGATACAAGGCAAGAGGGTTTTTATTACCTCGGAAGTCATTGTTAACAAATATTGATCTATATTTGAAATAATTAAGTTTTCATCAGCAAAATATTTGCAATTAGCCGATTGTTTTTTAAGGAAACCCATATTCACCTCACATTTATTTCTATAATAAGCCACTTCAGCCGGTAGCTCCCAACTTTCACATCTTCAGTGACAAGATATTTCATGTTGGTAAATTTATGGAACAGCTCTTGAATTAATTTAAATAACACATTAAGTTCCAGACGAATTTATTTAACTAAGGAATAGCTTTCAATGATTTTATATTCGAAACTATATGATGTGTGATAAATTATAGGTCAATGAATAAGTGTATGAAATTAAAGATTTGGTTAGTCTCTATGTGCATCTTGACTATAAAATTTTAAATAAAGTGACCATTAAAGGATATGATTTGTCGAACCAGAAAAATGCTTAATCGATAAGTTGAATACAGTCATTATAATTTTTGTCAAGTTGTAAATGATCGAGGTGTGTGAATAACAACCAATAATTGTGATTAGAATCAACGTTTTTAGTAATAATGATAAAACTATGCAACATTAGAACCATACTTACAAATGTAGGACTGAAAAGACGATAGACAAAACCAGAAGAGAAATTATATCAGGTAAAAATCTGTTCTCGCTTACGTTTATACTCATCTCATTCATCTATCATGATGATAACCACGTTTCAAGACCGAGTACTTTATAATATTCATTGGAATCACCTAGGGTTATAACAAATATTTTTAGCTTAGAATGAGGGTTCTGTAAGTGCTGTGTTATCTGAGACAAATGGTATTATCAAACTGATTACACTTCAATGAAGTCACCTAAATTCCTGTTAGAACATATTTATGTGGTCTTTAGAGGCAAATCATAACAACGGATTATACTTACAATTAAGCAAGTAACGAGCACTAGTGTGTAGTAGATTAAAATACTCATTTCCATCATTGCTAGTAATACATCACTCTCTTTAAAATCTAGATTTAACAATAAGTCCACTTGTTTCGTTAATCCTATTGGCATATTTACTCAGTATTATTAACGTAATTGATCTATCAATGTGTCATTGTTTTTTTAAATATGGGAATCTGAAAATATTTTTTCAGGAGATTATCACTTTGACTTAATACTTTTAAGTAGTTTTGATTTATTCTAAGTCCTCTTAACACTTTTATAGGGATATTCATTGTATTTCCATGATTATCTCGTTTCACCATTATATATATATATCGCAGAAGCCATAATGAAAACAAGTATACAACATTTTACTAAACTTATCGTTATGGGCATAAAATATGTGCATATCCTGTGGTATTTACAGTTACAGTTATTATAATCGCGAACTTAATTTCATTAAGAAATGGTATCATAATGTTTAACAACTGTTTCAAATTTCAAGCAATATATTTTTTTTTACATCAATCAGTGTTACTGTCCAATAATAAGGTCAGTCATGAACGGATTTATGAAATACAAACAACTCAGCTAATGTTAAATCAACATAAAAGACTATCATTCTAAAGGGTAACTTGTAAAAACAATTTGACTTTTAAGAAAAAACTAAATCCATTATTTCTATACTCTACAAAGAAGATAAGTAAAAATGAACTATTGCACATTTAGGTATATAAACATCAAAATCCCCGAAACATGTCACTTTTTTTCCCATTATAAACAAGTCACTCGGTCATCAGAAACATTAAGATTATTGCGGTAATATAATACAGTATATGTACAGTTACAATATTCCATACAACGTAACAGTCATAAGTTTACCGAATTTGTAGTACTTACAAAAGTTACTCAATAGAAACTATGTGAAAGGAAAATAAATATCATTATCCTATGATGAAATTTTAGTTTACATTTATAACAATAACGAAAGTAGTTCAATGTTAAAAAGTTAAAATAAATGTTAAATGTCAATACTTGAAATCATGAGTCTATTGAAGCTAGACCACCATGGAAAACCTAGAAGCACTGGACGACCGTTTCGCTCTAGTATGAGACTCCTCAGCAGTGAGTATCCATGTTAAATTGTTAGGAATTTTCAAGACTAATTAATGAAATCGAAATGTAATTAATAAGTTCATCCCTAAATTTCATTGTATAAAATGATTATATCGGAATGATTTAGTTTACATTAAAATGTATATAAAACAATAACACCTATTATCAGTCAGTCTCTAGTTCTATTTACTTTGCTTAGTAATGGATGAAGTTCAATATATCATAACCTACATTACACAAAGCTTTCATTTGTTATTCCGGACAAAACTATCAAAGAATTTTTGACACGTATTCTTATCATTTTTATTTAGAATGAAAGAAAACTCCTTGAGTTTTAAGGAAATCATTTTCTGGCAATCAAACAGTTAATTCCATTTTCCTATCCTTTGATCTATAACATATCCAATATTCAATCAAGAAACCAATAGATCTTTTTCATTACAATAGAGGATACAATCATAAAGTAATCAACAATTTAGAATGAAAACAAAATATGTAACACAAACTTTGATTCTCTTCATTTTAGATATTGAATGAGATATTTCTTTTAAGAGCATGCTTCATGAACTCATTTTCCAGTCTATCATTATTCTTATATAAACTGAAGCTTATAATAAAATGACATAAGATTATGCTCTATCATACTAATCATATTTTCAGTTATATTATTTATGTTTTATTCAAAAAAAACATTTTTTTGTTTAATTATTTTCAATTAGGAGTGGATTTAATAATGCGACCTAATATAATATATATCCCAGCATTTCATCCATTTGAAATTGAATGTTTGTCTATACGTACCGGTTTATCACCTATTGCCATATTTGGTAATGGCGCACCTATTGAATCAGATAATCGGTTTACAATTTTAAAACCAAATGAACAACGATTAATTATAAAAGCTACAGATGGTTTATCAAGTGTTTATAATGGTTTACGTATTCGGTAAGTGAAAATTAAAAAAAATTTATTACAATCGATAAATTTTTTTATTATATATATTTCAATGGTTAGATCATGAGTCAGTTGAAGCTAGACCACCATGGAAAACCTGGAAGCACAAGACGGCCGTCCAGTGATATTATATATATAAATAAATAAAAATGTTGATTAACAAATGAGATTCCATTCATTGTTCAAAGAATATAATGTAATTTTATAAGTATCATTAAATCATGAAACAATAGTTACATAACATAAAATTACTTGATTAAAACAAGAAAGAAATATTTATATGAATATTTGTCAACACAAAATATGAATAGTTTGACAGGAATCGGGCGCCGAGTTTAGAGAAGTCATTATATACTGTGCTAATCCAATCATATTTGGATGTCGATTTTTAGTAAATGAGATAACATGAATCAGTTAAATGCGAATCATGTGGAAAGTTCACGATGTGAAAATAAATGACTGAAACGAATTGTGTATGTGTTTATGTATGTGTAGGATTGAGTTATTAATGAGTGATATTCAGTGTTAATATGTATTTATATGAAATAAAAATGAAAATAAAAGTGCAAATTGAAGGTTGATAAAATTGTTTCTGAATCATTGAAGTGCAAGTACAGATGAGAATCATCAATTACATAATTGTATTGTTAAAAAAACTCAAAATAACGATGCATGTAAAATAAACAGACAGAATAAAGAGAGGTTCAATTATTTGTTAACGAATATTTGCCAAGTAGTCCATAGTTGAATACCATCCTTTCGGTTCAGCTTGTTCTTGTTCGCCTTTATATACAATGCTTCTAATGTCAATCTTTCTTTATGAATGTTAAAACCTTTCTTAAGTAATTTGGTCCCCGAAATTAATCTGAGTTATTTTTAGCAATACAATTATGTATTCCTTGATTGACGGATAATTCGCATTTAAACATTAAAAATTTAATGTACGAGCTTCAAAGAATTGATCTCTTTTCAATGAATGTATTACCAAGCTAATGATTCTCATCTGTACTTGCACTTCAATGATTCAGAAACAATTTTATCAACCTTCAATTTGCACTTTTATTTTCATTTTTATTTCATATAAATACATATTAACACTGAATATCACTCATTAATAACTCAATCCTACACATACATAAACACATACACAATTCGTTTCAGTCATTTATTTTCACATCGTGAACTTTCCACATGATTCGCATTTAACTGATTCATGTTATCTCATTTACTAAAAATCGACATCCAAATATGATTGGATTAGCACAGTATAGATTTGATCTGATTTGATTGTTAAAACACTACATATTTCCTTGGTAACTTTGATTTTGATTATTATTATTATTACCCTGAAGAAGTCTAGACAATTCTGCTAGATGAAACGTTGGAATTATTTAACATTTCAATTGCTGATATTATTTCAAATAGAATTTTCACACATAAGAAAGAAAATTGTTCGAGTAAAACAAATGTCAACTACAAACATTTTTTGAGAGAATTACTGAGATGTTTAATTTCACAAATAACAGTTACAAATTCATGTCGAGCATTATTAAAATCAAACTAATAAAGATCATATTTTACTGTTGTCATTCTAAGCTTGTTAGTATTGTGTAATTATTTTGAATGAGAACATCATTGGAGAAAAACGATTATATTTTAATACAAAATTATAGTTATCTAAAAATTATACTTTATTTGCAAAATGTTCATTAATGGTCTCAAATTTCATTGTTCCTTCATTACTCTGTGTTCCCCTTCTTTTCTCTTCTTAACCTTCTGCTAATAATTCTTCCATTTCTGATTGGCGTTATATACTACTTATCTCAATATAAATAGCACACATATAACGATTTAACACAATCGGAAATACAGTTCAATAAAAATGTCATTTGTTTTGTTATCCAAACAAGTATTAAAGTTAACACAGTGAATAAAACTGTTATTGAAATTAAGTAATATTAAAAAAAATTGATCGTATCAGAGTGATATGGATCCATGGATCACATAGTTTTATTTTATTCATCCAAAAATATAATTAAGAAATATGTGAATACATTAGAAGTAGATATTAGGTGTAGTCACTAACATATATATTGAAAACTGAAGTACTTTTTGATAATTTATTGTTAACATTATCCTTTGTTTAAATATCATAATTTTTCTAATATGGGATAGAATGAAATAGTTTCTGAAAAATCTATTATAATGTTATTTGTGAATTCGATATTAGGATACTTGAATAAGTAACTAATGATAAAAATGTAACTATAATTTCTTTCAATGAAATTATGGTTTATCCATGTTATTTATTTAGTGTAATTTATATTTATTGATTTATTGCTATTTGGGTGTTAAACTTATCAAATGATTAAAAGTTTTTCATTTCATTTCATTTCTTTTTTTTCTTATTATCATAATCTCATCATAAATAAATCTTTTATATGCATTTATAAACACAGAAGTAATATCTCTGTGCTAATCTGTTTTTTTTAATCAAATATAGTGTCTACAAAAATCCGAATACTTTCCCTTAGATATTCACTATATCCGCTGTATTGCGCAATCAATAGGTAGCAAATTTCTCTATCTTGAAATATAATTTCATTTCATTTGCATTTGTTTACCCACCACAGAATATTAGGACATATGTGTTTCATATTTCTATTTTGCTTAAACTTGATTATAATTGGGTTTATGATAATAACTGAATAGTTATACAATTATAACATCTAATATAAATTTATTTATAGTATGTTCATCAATATTTATCAGGTTTCACAATTTATTTTATGCGATATATCAATCTAAAACTAACTGTACAGTAGTTATAACTAAACGAATATGCTTATTTAGACATTAAGAAACCGAAAATCGATGGTAGAAATATTTCCTTACAATCACCGCTGAGTAATGGATTTATTTGAATATATTTGTATGTATGTTTCAAAATTAGTGATTAAACTAATATTAATCAAATAATATTTGGTAAATAGATGTTATAATAAACTCAAAATTGTTTATTGAACTAATCCCGAGTGTGGGATCATTGATGTGCCGTCCAGTGCTTTCAGGTTTTCATTGATGGTCTAGCTTAGATCGACCCGCGAATTAAACTATTGAACTAACACTGAATACTAAGGGGAGTAATTCATAGGTGAAGATGATTAGAGTATCTGTTATTTTTGAATGTATTATTTGCTTTTGGAGCTCAAACAAGTTGCCGTCATTTAACGCTGGTAGACAGTGTGAGCAGTTGTTTGGATTTCTTTTGAACAAAAAGATTTTTTTGTGACAGTAAATAACAATCGAGTGATTCATATGAATTATATATATAGTTTTTGAAATTAGCAATAAAATAGTAAGTTAGAAGTGGGAGGAGTGGTGACCCCGTCACTAAGTCGATAGGACTTATTGTTAAATTTAAATTGGACTTTGAGAGTGCATTGAAGAAGTAGTTCTTATATATAGTGTATTGGAGTCAGTCAGTCACCTACAACATTGGATCAGTCACATATATGAATCGGTCCAAGTTCCCATACATCATTAACACAAAAGGATGAACAAAAGCCGAACGAGCCCTTGGAATCCGTGCAGATATTAGGGAGTGTAGGTAGAAATTACATGTATCTTTATCATCTCGAGTTTCTATGGATCAAGCATGCGTGTTTTGGAGACACAGGATACATCAATCGTACGAGATCCTAGGGTCTTAGATAAGGAGGCTTGCTGGCTGATTTGATTATGAATACAGTGGTCTTGAGTGCTGTTAGAGGTATGAGGGCGGTTACCACTTCCTGGTTTCCCACACCGTGGAAGGGTTCTTCTAGAGTTACCTGAAAAAAATTGGGTCAGAGTTGGTCCTAGTGACCCGAGAGCGTGAAACGAAAGAGAAACCTGACCCTTTTTCTCTGTTTGAGGATTAGACGTATCTACACGAGTATTCAATCAACGCCAGATTTGACAAACTACGGCAGATACTGACCAAGAATGGATATTCACCTAGATTCATTGAGAAGAATTTAAAACCAAAACAATGGCATGAATCAGTGTCCATAGCACCAAAGAAGCCTCTCTGCATGAAAATTCAGTTTAAAACAGATACTGCAGCAGAAATTCTGAAAAACAAACTTTCAAGATCTCAGAAAAACTTACTATTCGACTGGACTTCGCATTGTCCCTTCTAGCAGGTCATTGGTTAAAAGTTGTGTAAAGAACAATCTCTCGCTTTGTGCCAAATCAATGTGCATCTATTAGTTTACTCGGTCACATAGAGCAGGTTAAATTAGCCACACAAAGCGAGCTCTTTCGAAGCACATCTCTGAACATTACGCTCCCTCTCTCTTCAAAGGACAACGGAAACCAGTCAGAAGCTCAATCTTGGGGCATCTAGTCAATCCCGGCCATTCTGCTTCACCAGAAGCCTCCTTTAGAATCATACATACGGTCAGAAGAGTCGGTTCACAGGGAATTAAAATGAAAAACGTATGTACAACAGAAGTTACTGATATCCACCAGTTTAAGCCTAACCTTTGCGTACAACAGTGTGTTCAGTCCCTCACTCTTCCAAGATCTTGACCTCTGTCCTATCTTCTATGATCTATCTTTCTCATCTTTATATTATTATTTCTACTCCTTTTAAACTATTTCCATAACTATTATTTGTCAATTATTACAATTAATTATTCTGTTGGTAATGACTATCAAGTAGGGAATTATTTTCAGTTTACCACTTTTTCACTAGCTGATCAATACATAACTTCCTTTCAATATTTAATTTTCAAGTTTTGACAACATACCACTTTAAGTCTTTTTAAAAAAGTAATTGACGCCTTTTCATATTACTTTATAACACCGTTTTAGCAAATTAACCATAAATACGATTATACATTTTAAGTAAATGAAATCGTCGAAAGGAGAGTTTTCTTCGTCAAAAATGAAATGGGAATTATTAAATCGTGTCTCTAACATAATCACTCAGAATAATTGCTTCACAACAATGTCTAACTCCAGTACTTATGTAAAAATTAGGGATTCCTTAGTCAAACATTATATTTACATGACTCTTTACATCATTAGTGGAGAAGAAAAGATTGTGAAACACTCCCTTCTATATTACGTTACATTCTAGTTATTAACATAATGATAATTATTAACTTTACAACTATAAACAGATAAACTGAAACATGACTTTACCAGTATAAGAATTATCTGTATTGTATAAAATATCATTTGATACTTTATTGACTATTCTATATATTATATGAAAATATCCTAGTTTTTAGATAATTACATGCTTACTATCAGTTCATTTAATCATAAATGTAGAAAAAAAACATGTGAAATTGTCTGTAATAAGTTTTATTCGTTGATTAAAGTATTGTGAGAATCTGTATATTGAGTATCATATAGTTAAGATATATTGAACACTTTGAAGTTAACTAGTTAAAAAAATTGTAATACAACTACAGGTGAGACTATAATTTATAGACGACCTTTGAGCAACACCAAAGTGACCTTGAGGATGTCGACCTACTACCTAAGATCAAATGGGGGTTATAAACCAGTGTGAGGAATTTGAATTACGATTTAAAGTTGATGGTTAAGTTGAGGAATTCGATTTAGGGTTTTCATCACGAACTGACATCAGCTATAATGCCTAAATGGTATTTGGCCAGATGAACGAATGAATTTGCGCGAAAATCTAAGCTTCGTAATCTTATATCTGATTGGTTCCTCCATAAATTATGGTCTCGCCTAACTTTACTAAACTATTTTAATGATTTAAAGGAAATTTATTTCATTAACTATCCTAAAAGTCATAGACCGGATACTAATTTTGTTTCATAAATGTATATTCACTCTGAATTGATGAAGCTGGATAAATTAGGTTGCTCAGATTATGTTAAAATCTGACTAACAGTAAATATTAAGGATATTATCAATCATTTATTTATTATTTTATTTACATAACGGGAACTGGTTTTCATCTACTCTGGTTGTATTTCAACTAATTAACTTGCTTTGCTTAATCACTGAAGAATAACTAATACCATATTTATATAATTCTCACTGTTGATCTAATTCTATCTATAAAGTTGCAGTATGGCCACTAATCAAAACGTCTAAACATCATGCGCACAGTTTTATGGTTTTAAATGGTTTCAGATAGTTTATAGGAGAACCATGACTTTCTGGTTGCGACTCATCATCATGGGGTAATTTCAAATGTAAAGGAACTGATATTACCGTTTGCTATCAAACTCATGTGACTCAATTTTATAGTTTAAAGAGTTATCTATGAATTTCAGTGGAGCTATTCCGTGCTGTCTGCTTTTTTTAGTAATCTAAGAGAGTTCGATGCATGCTAAAACTATTTTCAGTTCAATGATTTAAAATGTTTTTACGAATATTGTGTCCTGAGAATGTTTACAATTTTATACTACTTAATAGTAGTTAAACTTTTCAACATTGAAATAAGGAAGGTTATAATATTATGATAATATTATGAAATCAAATGTTATAAAGATAGTTGCCACTTGACGAATATGAGAATGGTGAAGTATAAATTAAGAACATAAAGACGATGATAACTAATAATTAAAATTAAAATTAATAAGATTAAAAACATTAGAAGGATATAATAAAATCAAATAACCAAATTAATTGTTAGTGTCATGGAAGAATAATACCCTGCATGTATCTCATTTGGACAGAATTCAGGTTTTAAATGATTGATTGCTAGCTCCTCTACACTGCATAATTCATTAACTTGTGCCCTTTTCGAACCGAATTGTCTGACTGTATAGACGACCGCACTTCACAAGATATTCTAATATTGGACTGTTGATTGATTTATTTTCCCCTTTCGAAAGCCACATGGGATAATATTCGGAGATGCACATGTAAAGCGCTCGATTAGTGTGTCCTGTTTAACCTGCTCCACACGAGCAAGTGGATTTATAAACGCATATTGAACTGACCTAGAGAGTGCTTTACCCCTGATACATCCATGAATGACGAAAGGGATAGAAAGGATGATACGAAGCTTAGTGGCATAAAAAGCGTTTCCTCAAGGACTTCGTTAGACGATAACTCAAAATTTCTACAGTGGTTCCTCCCTTGAACTCAATGTTCAGTTTTCCTAGAATCTATATTAATCCTTATAGATTGTAATTTTGGTTTCATGTTACCTTTAATAAACGTGGTTGGATCAGAGTTTTTGAGGAATATTTGTTGGAAGTTGGGTAGTTCCTGGTTTATTTTATCCTCCGAGCATATTCACCTATTCCTTTATGATAAGAAATGAATTAAGTTTGTCAGTTGTGAAAATTCATGTATTGTCTGTTCCAAGTTGGTTCTCAGTATAAACATTCTTGCAATGTACCATCCTATCTTCTATTTAAAAAGACATCGAGGAAATGAAACTTTGAGTTTGATTCTGATTCCAATATGAGACTGATGGATTGATGACAACCATTGAACTGATCCAGGATGATACTGAGGTCACTGTTTTCATTAGACATAATAAAGTATCTTGTCCAGGAAGGGAATTGTTATAATTTTTAAAAAGTTATTTTGGTTTTGAAATGGATAAGTGAACCAAGTTTTATTTTACTGTTGACCTCGGATTACAATACTTTTCGTTTAATTTATACCTCTTATACGTCGTTCATATATTCTTAGTAGATAAAATTTACCAAGACGTTTTAAGAATGTTTATTTATGTATTTTCACATTCCAAAAACTTACAGGATATTAAGCTAGGCTTTTCATTTCATAAGTCAACGTAAAGTTAGTAACATATCGAATAATGAAAAATATATTAGTTAAAATTTTGTTTTTTTGCTACATAAATATGAATTTAATTAACCAAATGATGAATGTATAGAACTCTATACTTTCTTGTTCAATTCATGGACAGGGAACTAAGTGGGACTTAGGTGTTTCTTATGTTGTATTCAAAAATCCTTTTTGAATATTTGGCTCAATATAACAACTAAATACTTATGGTATATCTATATTCTAAACAGTAATATATTTTGAAAACTGTCACCAGTAAAATTCTTTTCACCGTATATATAAACAAATAAATATTTGTAATCTTAATGATTTCAGTTGTATGTTACCAGGACTCAATTATAAAGAAGTTACATTATATATAATGGATATTTGTACTGCTAGTCAATCGCAATGTAGAACTCGACAATGTATTCAAACCTCTTTAATATGTGATGGTAAAGCTGACTGTCTTGATAAGTCAGATGAGGGTAGCAGTTTTTGCAGTGAGTGCTTATTTATTTTATATATATATATATATATATATATATATATATATATATATATCTGTCTATCTATCCTTCAAATGTGTTCCATTTTTGTTTTACAAATAATGATAGTTTATTTAAAGTTTATGATTATGTAATTAGTTTTAAATTTCATTTAGTCAAGTTATTTCTAAACTTGATCATTCATAATAATGTATATAATCTTTGCAAACTCTTCTAACTTGTCTCTACTTTTTATCCATATTTATCTTATATTCTAATTCTAATTTAGATTTTCCATTTTTCTTTGTAGATGCTGGACTTACTGTGATTCCAACTCGTATTGTAGTTAAACCTTCAGAACCTTTTTCACTTAAATGTCAAGCTATTTTACCAGGGACCAGAATGCCACATGCACGTTTTGTACATAGTGGTCACGATGTAGAGTCCGACCCTCGATTTATCATTGAAAGATCTCCAGGTATTTTGCTTATTAAGGCACCGCATGGACTTTCAATAGAAGCCAATGATACAAGAATTGAGTAAGTTGATTAATTTATTACATAAATTCTTTGTAATAATAGAAAAATAATTTTTCTTTTATTGTATTTAGTTGACTAACTACCATAGTTTACGTCTTTCATTGTTTAATCTTACAGATGTTACTTTCCTGATGAAAGCCCTAGAACTGCAATAATCAATGTAGTTGCAGATCGATGTGGATTAGGATACTTCATGTGTTATGACGGGAATTGTATACAACAAGCTCAGAGATGTGACGGACAAACCCAATGTCCCGATGGATCTGATGAAATTAATTGTGGTTAGTTCAGTGTGCTTTTGACAGCTGATTATCAAAAATGCTTTTTTAGTAGCTACTTACATTTTGGAAAATTTCTTCAATAACTTTCAGTTTTTCATTAATGGCACAGTATAGTTTCGATAATGCAGTAAGAAGACGAGGTTTATCAGAATTATGTGATAAATTTGCGCAATACATTTCGAACAATCTGAACACACTTATACTTGTTAAGACATTTTTATATGAAAATTAAAAAGTCAACTAAACAGGTTAAAGGTAAGCCGTAATAAATAAAAAAATAATGAAATACACAAAAACAATGTGATTACCACTCTGGATAGTAAATCAGTGTTACCAAGGTAGGTTAAGAGTAAGGACAAATTATTTTTGAACGCATAAAGAGGGTTTCAGTTTCCGTATAGCAGAGACTTCAATAAATCTTAGTAAACGTCCTTGAACGCATTTGTACAACACTACAAATGCTGACTTGATGTCAATCTTATGACCAGTCTTAATCAAATGTTCCGCAGTGGAGGATCATGTCTGTCTATCCTGTGATCTTGTTTGACCATTGGAATTCATTTGTTTCTGCAGCCACTTTGGTATGCAGAAACCCACTATTTCTGTATAGTCATATTGTACAATTATTTTTTATATCTTTCTAAAGTTGTTTAATTAACTCAAATCAACTAATGATTTTGAGATATTACATATACTGTAAAAGTAATTTTATTTCATTATGAAGAAAATAATTTTAATGAATGATGGTAATTAATCTACTTACTCATCCAGTATAAAAACGAATCTGAATTTGTAAAATTTGATAATTAGTTCTTTGAGTGGATTATGTGGGAATAGAATACATACTCCTGATTACTGGTACCTTTGAAGACATAATTTTATGTAGACTAATATATAGGACAAAGTGATTAATACTTAGTAAATTTATATCAACTACATCGACTTTTACGAATTTTAGGAAGCTGGTTTTAGTCCGATTGCCATTTAACCTCCAAAAAACACTACTTTTATAATATCCGTACTCTGTATTTGATCAAGTCATTTAATAGTATTGTATTAAGAGGTATAAAGCGTACGCTAAAGTGATTGTAGTACTAACTACTGATAAAACAACTACCTGGTTGAAATAGTGTGTTTGGAATAAATTTGATCTTAGATAAGTAATCAAAACCTAGACTAAACGATTAATTTTAAATCCTGTGAATTTATATTGAAACAACTCATAATTTTTACATACTTTACATCTCTTCAAAAGAAAACAGATGCTTTTAGTCTCAGTTTATCAATCTAAAAAAAAACGAATACTAAGATGTTGATGGTTATTTGTGAAGTAATTATGCTCAAAGAAGTTATAAGTTATCACAACGAATCAAGGTATTATAGATTTTTTCAAAAACAATCTTGATCTGAAACAGATGTTTAACGATGATAAATATTATTATAATAATAGTGGAATTCATTTCCAAAGTGATATTACTGTTAAGTTTGTATATTTAAAAAGGGAACATTATGTGAATCCAATACACTACAATGCCACCTTCCAAATCACACAATATTATTGGTAATGAAGCCTGCATTATACCAAAAATATATCATAATGATTTAATGGTTGAATTCATGAATCAATTAAAGCTAGACTACCATGGAAAACCTGGAAGCATCTGGAAGGCCGTTTCGTCCTAGTATGGGACTGCTCAGCCATGCGCATCCACGATCCCGCTCGTGGAATTCAAACCCAGGACCGACAGGTCTCGCGCGCAAACACCATCGGATGTCCGCTCAGTGGTCTAGAGGTTAAATGTTCGCGGGTGAGACCGACAGGTCCTAGGTTCGAATTCCACGAGCGGGATCGTGGATGCGCACTGGTGAGGAGTTTCATACTAGGACGAAACACCCATCCAGTGCCTTCAGGTTTTCCGCGGTAGTATAGCTTTAATTGATCCATGAATTCAACTGTTAAATTACTAGAATTTCCACACAACCTCCTTTTTGATAATAAGCATTATAATGAATTGCTCCAAACGACTCAAGATGTTAATAATGTAACTATTTTTCACAATTTAAAAAACGTTCAATTAATTGAATGACGGTTGCATTATAGTGGTTAGATGTGTAATATACCCACAAAAAGGAGACAAATACAAACACTAACATTTATGAATGATAAAGTAAGTTTCAGACTGATACGGTAAGAAATATTCCAAAAGAATGGCATTTTCAGTTTATATATGTGAAGCATATGAAGTTAGCACTGATTTCGCGAGTTTATTGTATATGATTTTAAATACTTTGGTTTCAGTTTGCCGACCACCTAGCATTCTTTGTTCTTCTGGTGAGTGTTTTATTCCTGAAATGCGATGTGATAGTGCACAACATTGTCGAGGCGGCTCAGATGAAATTGGTTTGTTCAGAAATATGTTTTTCTATAGAAGCATGTGTTAAAAACAAGTAATGGAATTTAGTGTATGAAAATTAGGTAAAGAGATATATCCTATTGTAGACAAACTGAACGCAAGTTCATGTATCATGGACTATCTAAAATTTCTGAGAAAAATTTACCAATAATCAAACATGGTTTTCACAAGCATTAAAAATTCCATTGGAAAGAGGATAAAAATGTTGGTTATTTTTTTCCTGTAATATTACCTAATGCTAAAATTAGCAATAACGATCAGTTATTATATATCCTGACTCATTTCCGAGGCTTTGAGATTTTCCTGATAATATGTTATTCAATGAAACTGATATAAATGTGGTTACATGTCAAAATATATATATATATATATACATGAAGACCATAAAATAAATTCATCTATTCGATGAATCGCGAAATTTCACGTTAACATGTCTAATGAACCAAGCATTATTAAATTAAATATATTGAAACAAAAATGCAAAATTAAGCTAGAAAAATAAAAACCACATGAAAGATACACAAAACTAAAAACCGCTAATATCTAAAAGACATTACCCAAATTGAAAAAAAAGAAATAAAAACGGAAAACATAAGAAAAAGGGAACAGTTAGTGATAACTGTCAAAATGCAATGGTTGTGTTGGTGAATGTGTAGTAATCGATCAACTTGAAGGCTGAGCATATGTATGCAACGACTGTTTGAAATAAGAAACTATTCTATAGGGAATTTGTAGCATTCATCCACCCGTCTAATACTGAGAGAAGATTTATGCCTCAGTGATTGTTTTGCATGTGGCCATGTTGAATGATTTTGATGATGAAATGTTCATGGTCGAAATTAACTGAAGTATATTTATTTGTCAATGAAATTGTTTTGTAACAGCTGTTCGTTGTCGTCCTGGTCAATATCAGTGTTCTTCTGGTGAATGCATTGAACAACAAATGAGGTGTGATGGTCGACCAGATTGTCGGGACGCTTCAGATGAGACTGGTTGCCGTAAGTCAGATATCATCTGTGTTTCCCATTTTAGCTAGGTGACCATTGCGAAATGTGAGAAATGTTAAGAGTGACGAAAAACAGTTAGCTGTTTGATGTATTCTAACTGTTCTGACTTCTCACTAATTTTGACTTTATCACTGATGGAAAGGAGTTATAATAATATGTTTTAGGCGATTTCGGCTCACTTATTGTATGTTGACGGAGGCGAATAGAATAGCAATGATTCGCATCATTTCAGTTCTGTTAACTTCAGTTATCTCCTGTTAGTTGATCAGCTATTATATTATTGCCCTCTAGAGAAGCACCTAAGCAGTGCTTTCGGTAAACCTCTTATTACGAGTCATGTCCACATTTTGGAGAATAGATTAGATTTAACGAGTGTGCACGACTCCTTACTATTCCTTAGTTTGTTCGCAGTTCGTGTTTACTTGAACTGTTTACAGGAGACGACAATTTCAATAATTGGTCTTCTGATTTATTCTACTGCTTAACTAGCATTGTGGGTGGAGTGTGGGTGTATCGCGTACGGTTGGAAACTTGTTGTATCCCAATTAGCAACCGAATGACACTGCGAACTCTCAACACGTTGAGACGTTGAAATCACACTCTTGAGACCACACGGCACTGAAAAGAATATTCATTCACTGTGAGACGGTTGAGTTGTCACCGGCTCCCTCGGTCAGTATGAAAAACGTACAGTCAATGATGAACAGAGCCACCTGATCTTGCAAATATTCATATGTCTCTGTGTGTATCTGTAGGTAGGTGTATAGTCGAGATTGTGGACGGAACTTATTCTCAGAGCTGGAGTGATCTCACTCCACACTCACAATTCACTAATCACTGAATATCGGAATGACGGGATCCTTCAAATAAACGGCAACAACAAGAGATGTTCTCTGTAATACGCTCGTCATATGACATTGCTCAGGTGTCGTTGATGACGTCGATAAGTACAATGGTGACGCGGACGATGACATCATAGGCGAGTAAGTAGAATAAGAAAAGACAGTGATGGTCAGGACGACAATCCTGATGATGATAGAGACAGAGATATGCAGAATGGTGACGATAACGACGATTGTGTTTCCTAGAGAAATCCCACCTTTAGATTGCCATTGATCTCCAGAAAAGTGTGATATTATTGTGTTCACAACTGAATCACATGGTAGAGTATGTGCGAGAAAGTCCAGCAGTTAGTGATAACTGTCAAAATGCAATGGTTGTGTTGGTGAATGTGTAGTAATCGATCAACTTGAAGGCTGAGCATATGTATGCAACGACTGTTTGAAATAAGAAACTATTCTATAGGGAATTTGTAGCATTCATCCACCCGTCTAATACTGAGAGAAGATTTATGCCTCAGTGATTGTTTTGCATGTGGCCATGTTGAATGATTTTGATGATGAAATGTTCATGGTCGAAATTAACTGAAGTATATTTATTTGTCAATGAAATTGTTTTGTAACAGCTGTTCGTTGTCGTCCTGGTCAATATCAGTGTTCTTCTGGTGAATGCATTGAACAACAAATGAGGTGTGATGGTCGACCAGATTGTCGGGACGCTTCAGATGAGACTGGTTGCCGTAAGTCAGATATCATCTGTGTTTCCCATTTTAGCTAGGTGACCATTGCGAAATGTGAGAAATGTTAAGAGTGACGAAAAACAGTTAGCTGTTTGATGTATTCTAACTGTTCTGACTTCTCACTAATTTTGACTTTATCACTGATGGAAAGGAGTTATAATAATATGTTTTAGGCGATTTCGGCTCACTTATTGTATGTTGACGGAGGCGAATAGAATAGCAATGATTCGCATCATTTCAGTTCTGTTAACTTCAGTTATCTCCTGTTAGTTGATCAGCTATTATATTATTGCCCTCTAGAGAAGCACCTAAGCAGTGCTTTCGGTAAACCTCTTATTACGAGTCATGTCCACATTTTGGAGAATAGATTAGATTTAACGAGTGTGCACGACTCCTTACTATTCCTTAGTTTGTTCGCAGTTCGTGTTTACTTGAACTGTTTACAGGAGACGACAATTTCAATAATTGGTCTTCTGATTTATTCTACTGCTTAACTAGCATTGTGGGTGGAGTGTGGGTGTATCGCGTACGGTTGGAAACTTGTTGTATCCCAATTAGCAACCGAATGACACTGCGAACTCTCAACACGTTGAGACGTTGAAATCACACTCTTGAGACCACACGGCACTGAAAAGAATATTCATTCACTGTGAGACGGTTGAGTTGTCACCGGCTCCCTCGGTCAGTATGAAAAACGTACAGTCAATGATGAACAGAGCCACCTGATCTTGCAAATATTCATATGTCTCTGTGTGTATCTGTAGGTAGGTGTATAGTCGAGATTGTGGACGGAACTTATTCTCAGAGCTGGAGTGATCTCACTCCACACTCACAATTCACTAATCACTGAATATCGGAATGACGGGATCCTTCAAATAAACGGCAACAACAAGAGATGTTCTCTGTAATACGCTCGTCATATGACATTGCTCAGGTGTCGTTGATGACGTCGATAAGTACAATGGTGACGCGGACGATGACATCATAGGCGAGTAAGTAGAATAAGAAAAGACAGTGATGGTCAGGACGACAATCCTGATGATGATAGAGACAGAGATATGCAGAATGGTGACGATAACGACGATTGTGTTTCCTAGAGAAATCCCACCTTTAGATTGCCATTGATCTCCAGAAAAGTGTGATATTATTGTGTTCACAACTGAATCACATGGTAGAGTATGTGCGAGAAAGTCCAGCAGTTAGTGATAACTGTCAAAATGCAATGGTTGTGTTGGTGAATGTGTAGTAATCGATCAACTTGAAGGCTGAGCATATGTATGCAACGACTGTTTGAAATAAGAAACTATTCTATAGGGAATTTGTAGCATTCATCCACCCGTCTAATACTGAGAGAAGATTTATGCCTCAGTGATTGTTTTGCATGTGGCCATGTTGAATGATTTTGATGATGAAATGTTCATGGTCGAAATTAACTGAAGTATATTTATTTGTCAATGAAATTGTTTTGTAACAGCTGTTCGTTGTCGTCCTGGTCAATATCAGTGTTCTTCTGGTGAATGCATTGAACAACAAATGAGGTGTGATGGTCGACCAGATTGTCGGGACGCTTCAGATGAGACTGGTTGCCGTAAGTCAGATATCATCTGTGTTTCCCATTTTAGCTAGGTGACCATTGCGAAATGTGAGAAATGTTAAGAGTGACGAAAAACAGTTAGCTGTTTGATGTATTCTAACTGTTCTGACTTCTCACTAATTTTGACTTTATCACTGATGGAAAGGAGTTATAATAATATGTTTTAGGCGATTTCGGCTCACTTATTGTATGTTGACGGAGGCGAATAGAATAGCAATGATTCGCATCATTTCAGTTCTGTTAACTTCAGTTATCTCCTGTTAGTTGATCAGCTATTATATTATTGCCCTCTAGAGAAGCACCTAAGCAGTGCTTTCGGTAAACCTCTTATTACGAGTCATGTCCACATTTTGGAGAATAGATTAGATTTAACGAGTGTGCACGACTCCTTACTATTCCTTAGTTTGTTCGCAGTTCGTGTTTACTTGAACTGTTTACAGGAGACGACAATTTCAATAATTGGTCTTCTGATTTATTCTACTGCTTAACTAGCATTGTGGGTGGAGTGTGGGTGTATCGCGTACGGTTGGAAACTTGTTGTATCCCAATTAGCAACCGAATGACACTGCGAACTCTCAACACGTTGAGACGTTGAAATCACACTCTTGAGACCACACGGCACTGAAAAGAATATTCATTCACTGTGAGACGGTTGAGTTGTCACCGGCTCCCTCGGTCAGTATGAAAAACGTACAGTCAATGATGAACAGAGCCACCTGATCTTGCAAATATTCATATGTCTCTGTGTGTATCTGTAGGTAGGTGTATAGTCGAGATTGTGGACGGAACTTATTCTCAGAGCTGGAGTGATCTCACTCCACACTCACAATTCACTAATCACTGAATATCGGAATGACGGGATCCTTCAAATAAACGGCAACAACAAGAGATGTTCTCTGTAATACGCTCGTCATATGACATTGCTCAGGTGTCGTTGATGACGTCGATAAGTACAATGGTGACGCGGACGATGACATCATAGGCGAGTAAGTAGAATAAGAAAAGACAGTGATGGTCAGGACGACAATCCTGATGATGATAGAGACAGAGATATGCAGAATGGTGACGATAACGACGATTGTGTTTCCTAGAGAAATCCCACCTTTAGATTGCCATTGATCTCCAGAAAAGTGTGATATTATTGTGTTCACAACTGAATCACATGGTAGAGTATGTGCGAGAAAGTCCAGCAGTTAGTGATAACTGTCAAAATGCAATGGTTGTGTTGGTGAATGTGTAGTAATCGATCAACTTGAAGGCTGAGCATATGTATGCAACGACTGTTTGAAATAAGAAACTATTCTATAGGGAATTTGTAGCATTCATCCACCCGTCTAATACTGAGAGAAGATTTATGCCTCAGTGATTGTTTTGCATGTGGCCATGTTGAATGATTTTGATGATGAAATGTTCATGGTCGAAATTAACTGAAGTATATTTATTTGTCAATGAAATTGTTTTGTAACAGCTGTTCGTTGTCGTCCTGGTCAATATCAGTGTTCTTCTGGTGAATGCATTGAACAACAAATGAGGTGTGATGGTCGACCAGATTGTCGGGACGCTTCAGATGAGACTGGTTGCCGTAAGTCAGATATCATCTGTGTTTCCCATTTTAGCTAGGTGACCATTGCGAAATGTGAGAAATGTTAAGAGTGACGAAAAACAGTTAGCTGTTTGATGTATTCTAACTGTTCTGACTTCTCACTAATTTTGACTTTATCACTGATGGAAAGGAGTTATAATAATATGTTTTAGGCGATTTCGGCTCACTTATTGTATGTTGACGGAGGCGAATAGAATAGCAATGATTCGCATCATTTCAGTTCTGTTAACTTCAGTTATCTCCTGTTAGTTGATCAGCTATTATATTATTGCCCTCTAGAGAAGCACCTAAGCAGTGCTTTCGGTAAACCTCTTATTACGAGTCATGTCCACATTTTGGAGAATAGATTAGATTTAACGAGTGTGCACGACTCCTTACTATTCCTTAGTTTGTTCGCAGTTCGTGTTTACTTGAACTGTTTACAGGAGACGACAATTTCAATAATTGGTCTTCTGATTTATTCTACTGCTTAACTAGCATTGTGGGTGGAGTGTGGGTGTATCGCGTACGGTTGGAAACTTGTTGTATCCCAATTAGCAACCGAATGACACTGCGAACTCTCAACACGTTGAGACGTTGAAATCACACTCTTGAGACCACACGGCACTGAAAAGAATATTCATTCACTGTGAGACGGTTGAGTTGTCACCGGCTCCCTCGGTCAGTATGAAAAACGTACAGTCAATGATGAACAGAGCCACCTGATCTTGCAAATATTCATATGTCTCTGTGTGTATCTGTAGGTAGGTGTATAGTCGAGATTGTGGACGGAACTTATTCTCAGAGCTGGAGTGATCTCACTCCACACTCACAATTCACTAATCACTGAATATCGGAATGACGGGATCCTTCAAATAAACGGCAACAACAAGAGATGTTCTCTGTAATACGCTCGTCATATGACATTGCTCAGGTGTCGTTGATGACGTCGATAAGTACAATGGTGACGCGGACGATGACATCATAGGCGAGTAAGTAGAATAAGAAAAGACAGTGATGGTCAGGACGACAATCCTGATGATGATAGAGACAGAGATATGCAGAATGGTGACGATAACGACGATTGTGTTTCCTAGAGAAATCCCACCTTTAGATTGCCATTGATCTCCAGAAAAGTGTGATATTATTGTGTTCACAACTGAATCACATGGTAGAGTATGTGCGAGAAAGTCCAGCAGTTAGTGATAACTGTCAAAATGCAATGGTTGTGTTGGTGAATGTGTAGTAATCGATCAACTTGAAGGCTGAGCATATGTATGCAACGACTGTTTGAAATAAGAAACTATTCTATAGGGAATTTGTAGCATTCATCCACCCGTCTAATACTGAGAGAAGATTTATGCCTCAGTGATTGTTTTGCATGTGGCCATGTTGAATGATTTTGATGATGAAATGTTCATGGTCGAAATTAACTGAAGTATATTTATTTGTCAATGAAATTGTTTTGTAACAGCTGTTCGTTGTCGTCCTGGTCAATATCAGTGTTCTTCTGGTGAATGCATTGAACAACAAATGAGGTGTGATGGTCGACCAGATTGTCGGGACGCTTCAGATGAGACTGGTTGCCGTAAGTCAGATATCATCTGTGTTTCCCATTTTAGCTAGGTGACCATTGCGAAATGTGAGAAATGTTAAGAGTGACGAAAAACAGTTAGCTGTTTGATGTATTCTAACTGTTCTGACTTCTCACTAATTTTGACTTTATCACTGATGGAAAGGAGTTATAATAATATGTTTTAGGCGATTTCGGCTCACTTATTGTATGTTGACGGAGGCGAATAGAATAGCAATGATTCGCATCATTTCAGTTCTGTTAACTTCAGTTATCTCCTGTTAGTTGATCAGCTATTATATTATTGCCCTCTAGAGAAGCACCTAAGCAGTGCTTTCGGTAAACCTCTTATTACGAGTCATGTCCACATTTTGGAGAATAGATTAGATTTAACGAGTGTGCACGACTCCTTACTATTCCTTAGTTTGTTCGCAGTTCGTGTTTACTTGAACTGTTTACAGGAGACGACAATTTCAATAATTGGTCTTCTGATTTATTCTACTGCTTAACTAGCATTGTGGGTGGAGTGTGGGTGTATCGCGTACGGTTGGAAACTTGTTGTATCCCAATTAGCAACCGAATGACACTGCGAACTCTCAACACGTTGAGACGTTGAAATCACACTCTTGAGACCACACGGCACTGAAAAGAATATTCATTCACTGTGAGACGGTTGAGTTGTCACCGGCTCCCTCGGTCAGTATGAAAAACGTACAGTCAATGATGAACAGAGCCACCTGATCTTGCAAATATTCATATGTCTCTGTGTGTATCTCTAGGTAGGTGTTTCGTGCCTTATGGTAACCCTCATGTTATTAATAGAAGAAAGCAGACTCGTAAGGGAATAGGTCTTTTTTTTATCTTCGCGCTGTCACAGTGGAGCGTGGGGTGAAAACTTTCTACCATCCCATTAGCCTGAGGATGATATGCCGTACAGCGTATCCTATTGGAGCCTAGAAGTTTAGACAAGTTATTGAATAATTCGGATTCAAATTGCGCTCCTCTATCCGTCGTTATTGTGTGGCTTCATAATACATGCTCACAGGGAATTCGTTCAACGTTTGCCTCCAGCTTTTTAATTGTTTACTATTATTGGTAAAATCTAAGAAATTGTTTAGTTCAACAGGCGCAGCTTGTTCACATCACTCACCTTGTTTGGAGATTTGTCGTTCTCTGGTGTGACCTACCCCTTTTTATGAATTCGACTACTGTCACTCAGCAATTGTTTAGGAATACCTAGCTTATGTATCCAGTATTTTTTTTAATAAAAATTTTAACACACTCATATATCAAAAGTAAAAGATCTGGGGAGTTGTTGATAGTGTGACATCGAAAAGTATTTTTTTGTTAAATAAAATAGGTGGGACGTTATGAGAAAAAAAAATTATTTTTAAATAAACGCAGGATCCTACGAGGTACGTGATTAGATTTTATTCTGCAGCCAAAACTGTCAGTATTCTTGACTGACTAATTGGATGTGCCCATCTAACCGTTTTAGTCACTTGTACAGATTTACCGTTTTTACATGTCGATTCCGCAATTGTTTTGTCAGGTAAGCGGTCTAACAACACGTACGGTGGTTCATGATCGAGATAAGCTGGTTACAACCTGTCCATACTTACGGAGTCTGTGTTTCCATGCCTTTCTATTATGAAATATTTATCTTTTCTTGAGACGACTTTGAAAGGACCTTCAAACGGAGGGCTAAGCGGTGCTTTTATTTTGTCACACCTTATCCAGACGTGCGTGCAATTGCTTAGATCTTTAGGTATATATATAGCTCGCGATTGTTCACGAGTATTAATTGGCTTGAGTTTGGACATGTGGTCCCGTAGTTGATCTACGTAATTTTCTAAATTAAGTTTTTGACTGTTAGTATTAGGGTTAATAAATTCACCTGGTAGTCTCAGAGTTGTTCCGAAAACCATTTCCGCTGCTGAACACTGTGCGTCAGTTTTGACAGATGTTCGTATTCCCAACATAACTAACGGTAGGAATTCTGTCCACTGATTGGGGTTTGAGTGAGATATAAGAGCGGTCTTTAGCTGACGGTGAAAACGTTCTACCATCCCATTAGCCTGAGGATGATATGCCGTACAGCGTATCCTATTGGAGCCTAGAAGTTTAGCCAAGTTATTGAATAATTCGGATTCAAATTGCGCTCCTCTATCCGTCGTTATTGTTATGGGTGTACCAAAAATGGTTACCCAGTTCTGCATGAAAACCTTGGCTACTGTTTCCGCTGTGATGTCCGCTATCGGGATGGCTATAGGGAATCTGGTAAATCGATCTATGCATGTAAAAAGATAATTAAAACCGTTCGAACGTGGTAAAGGTCCTACCAAGTCAGTATGCACATGGGCAAAACGTGCATCTGGTTGCGAGAAAACACCTATGGGTGAATTTGTGTGACGAATAACCTTTGATTGTTGGCATGCCGAGCACTCTCTGACCCATCTGTGTACATCCTTCTGTAAATTCGGCCATATATATCTGGCGTTAATTAGTTTAGTCGAAGCTTTTGCGCCAGGATGAGACAAAGCATGGAAGTTTTTATATATCAACTTTCGCATACTCTTAGGAACGAAAGGTCGAGGCGATGCCTTGGTCGTGTCACAGTAAATTAGAATACCGTCGATAGGCGACGGTAACTGTTTTAATTTAAGACTTGAATTATTTGTTTTAAGCAGATTTCGTAATTCTGGATCCTTTTCTTGTTCGTGCTTCAGTGTCTCGAAGTCTACTGTAGACTGCTGTAGCACGTTCATTTCTAATCTAGACAAAGCGTCTGCAGCCTGATTGTCCCGACCTTTGACATGTTGGATATCACTTGTGAACTGTGATATATAGTCAAGGTGTCGAACTTCTCGCGGTGAGTATTTATCGGCTCTCGCTTTTAATGCATTCGTTAGTGGTTTGTGATCTGTAAAGACTATAAATTTCCTGCCTTCTAACATGTGTCGGAAGTGCTTAATGGTCAAGTAGATTGCCAGAAGCTCCCGCCCGAAAGTAGAATACCTTGTCTCTGCTGGAGCGAGTCTTTTCGAGAAGAAAGCAATTGGTTTCCAGGCGTTTTTAACCAGTTGATTAAGAGTACCACCTACTGCTTTATCTGAAGCATCCACCATTAAAGCAAGTGGAGAAAGAGAATTCGGATACATCAACGTAGATGCCTGAGCCAGTTTATCTTTTAGCTGTTTAATCGCTTCGACGGCGTCAGAAGACAGTTTGTATTCTTTTGGTTTTCCTTTAAGTGAATCTGTCAAGGGTTGCATTAGTTGTGCACAACCGGGTATGAATCTGCGATAAAAGTTAATTAGACATAAAAAAACTTCTCAGTTGTGTTAGAGAACTAGGTATAGGGTAATGTTTGATGGTGTCCACTTCTGCTTTGATAGGTGTAATCCCTTCTGGGCTTATTGTGTGCCCAAGAAATTCTAGAGTTTGAACACCGAAAACACACTTACTTTGATGTATGTTCATTCCATTTTAATCCAGTCTTTTCAACACTGCTCGTACATGCTGTTCGTGTGATTGTAAATCGGGGCTGGCAATTAACAAATCGTCTATATACCCCTTTGCAAATGGCATGTCTCGTAGTAGGTTATCCATGAATCTTTGAAATGTTTGTGCCGCATTTCTCAGGCCGAATGGCATGCGTACAAACTCGAATAAACCAAAAGGTGTAGTAATGGCTGTCTTGGGGATATCTTCATCAGCCACCGGAATATTGTGATATGCCCTGACCAAGTCAATTTTAGTAAATATGTTCATACCATGTAAACCGTTTGTGAAATCTTGGATATGCGGTATCGGGTACCTATCTGGTACGGTTTGACGGTTGAGCGCTCTGTAATCCCCGCACGGTCGCCAATCCCCTTCGTTTTTCTTCGGGACCATATGCAAAGGGGATGCCCATTGGCTATCAGAGGGACGGATAATACCCAGTTGTAGCATATAGTCAAATTCAGCTCTAGCGATTTTGAGCTTATCTGGTGCTAGTCTCCTGGGTCTTGCAAACACAGGCGCACCTTCGGTTTTGATATTATGACTTACTTTTAGTTTGTCTTTGGCAGGCTGTGGGTTTGGTCTAGTTAAGTTTGGAAATTTCGCTAGTATATCTTGAAATTTCGCTGTTGTTACTGGCGGAGTTTGAATCAAGTAAAGGGATGTGATGTGACTTTCTTTTCCTTTTGTGTAATTCGAAGTTTCTTTCAGTGTTAAGCGTCGTTTCTTAGTGTCAACGAGAAACTCGTATCTCTCTAGAAAGTCCATCCCCAGTATTGCCAGATCTAAATCGGCTACTGTGAAAACCCAGGGGAATTGCCTTCTGAACCCCAAATCTAGTGTTAAGGTTTTCTGCCCAAACGTCGCAATTTTAGTTTTATTGGCAGCTTGGAGTATGACTGGGGATGTTTTTCGCCCCAGCTCAGTTTTGTTTTGAGGTATGATACTGAGAGCAGCGCCCGTATCTACCAAAAAACACAAGCCAGAGTTTCTGTCTCTAACATAAAACAAGCGACTATTTAGGTGCCCCTCCTCAGTCGTCGCGACCTGGGGAGGGGTTACTCGTTTCCCGCATTTCTGGGATTTTGTTTGGGCCAGGCGCAGGGTTGCATGCACTTTGTTGAGTTGACACCAAACTTCCAATGATACCAACAGAATTACCCAGATCGTCTAGACATTTGTAATCTGTTTCGTGACTTGATCTTGTTCGTTGTGGTGATCTACTCCTGTTTCTATGATCCATTTGCATTTTGGCAACAGCCTCAGTGAGACTTTTCACACTCGCTATGAGTCCCTCTATGACTGAGTCTTTGGCTGGTTCTTTTTGTGTGTGGTTTATCGTGTTTGATCCAGTTGGGCGACCCCTTTCCATTATCCTATCTGCTATACGCGCTAAATGAGATAAAGAGGTTTCAGGATCTTGCGCATCCAAACAATGTTGGACGTAGCATGGGAGAGCTTGTATCCATCCTTGCTTTAGGACTGCTTCACCCACTGTGTTATCACCCACTAAGACTTGAAGGTGACGTAAAAACTGTGACGGTGACCTATCGCCTAATGTTTCTCCTTGGAAAAGCCTTTGGATTCTTTGGCTGTCTGATAATGATAAACGGTCTATGATCTCTTGTCTTAAAATGGTGTAGGGTTGTGGTGATGGTGGGCTTAAAATCAAGTCACGGACTTCTTTGGTGACTGAAGGAGAAAGTATAGAACACAAGTCTCTATAGCGAATTCCTTCGGATTTGATATTATGTCTCGTGAAATAATGCTCTAGTTGAGCAAACCACAACTCAGGATCACTACGATCAAATTCTGGAAGTCGGGATTTCGTAGTCATAACAGTGTCTATCTCCACTGGTGACAAATCATCCAGGTTTTGAGTTTCTGTTGAGTCTGACATGAAGTATATGAACAATATAGCAATAAACTTTACACGAAAAATGGTTACTACAGCACGAATATCTTAAGATAATAAAAAAACTATGGATAGATATATATACAAGACTATGTTTACGGATAATCAGAAGGTCTACTTTTACGACAAAGTAAAACCAAAAAAATTTATTAATCAAAAATGAAATCAAATATGTGTTTCACAGGGCTCACCAGTTTCGTGCCTTATGGTAACCCTCGCGTTATTAATAGAAGAAAGCAGACTCGTAAGGAAATAGGTCTTTTTTTTTATCTTCGCGCCGTCACAGTGGAGCGTGGGGTTCTTTACTCAGACAAACAAAACCTTTCAACAAGCAATATAAGATAGATAGAAATATAACGCCTAAACAAAATAAAGAAGTGAATAAATATCTGAACTATGCTGTTTTGATATATGCTTAGTTGCTTGAGATTAACTCTTGACAACCGACCTAAGCTGTTACAGGTGTATAGTCGAGATTGTGGACGGAACTTATTCTCAGAGCTGGAGTGATCTCACTCCACACTCACAATTCACTAATCACTGAATATCGGAATGACGGGATCCTTCAAATAAACGGCAACAACAAGAGATGTTCTCTGTAATACGCTCGTCATATGACATTGCTCAGGTGTCGTTGATGACGTCGATAAGTACAATGGTGACGCGGACGATGACATCATAGGCGAGTAAGTAGAATAAGAAAAGACAGTGATGGTCAGGACGACAATCCTGATGATGATAGAGACAGAGATATGCAGAATGGTGACGATAACGACGATTGTGTTTCCTAGAGAAATCCCACCTTTAGATTGCCATTGATCTCCAGAAAAGTGTGATATTATTGTGTTCACAACTGAATCACATGGTAGAGTATGTGCGAGAAAGTCCAGCAGTTAGTGATAACTGTCAAAATGCAATGGTTGTGTTGGTGAATGTGTAGTAATCGATCAACTTGAAGGCTGAGCATATGTATGCAACGACTGTTTGAAATAAGAAACTATTCTATAGGGAATTTGTAGCATTCATCCACCCGTCTAATACTGAGAGAAGATTTATGCCTCAGTGATTGTTTTGCATGTGGCCATGTTGAATGATTTTGATGATGAAATGTTCATGGTCGAAATTAACTGAAGTATATTTATTTGTCAATGAAATTGTTTTGTAACAGCTGTTCGTTGTCGTCCTGGTCAATATCAGTGTTCTTCTGGTGAATGCATTGAACAACAAATGAGGTGTGATGGTCGACCAGATTGTCGGGACGCTTCAGATGAGACTGGTTGCCGTAAGTCAGATATCATCTGTGTTTCCCATTTTAGCTGGTTGATCATTGACAAGTTTTGTGAATTTTTGCGAATGCGTTTATGTGTTTCTTTATTGACTGGGAATGTTTTTCTCTGTGTTTTTCAGTTTTGTTTTATTTTTCTTTGTCATTTTTTACGTTTTCGCTTTTTCAGTTTGGTTCTCATTTTTTCATTCTTCTTTTTTTGATGGTTTCTTTTTCACTGTTTAGATTTTTGACTAGCGTTTTTCATATTAATACTCATTTTTTGAAATTTAGCTTTTCCCCTGTATTCTTTTTTTCTCTAGTGTTTTCCTTGCATCAAACGCAGCTTATAATGTTTTCTTTTTTCTTTTTGTAATAATATTTCGTCTTCTAATTTTTCATGAATGTTTACTTGACGAGTAATATTATATCCTTTTCGTTATATGTCCAATTCCTTTTTAATACTCTAACATCTCGTTTTCTACATATATCAGAAGCTATGATAATTCGTTTTTGCAGCTCTTATCGATATGTTTTGAAGAGTAATATTTTTAAACGTCATAGTTTTCTAAGGGTATTAAATTGATTTAAAAATCCCTTACCCTCAATAATCATTCTGTACCATTTTTCCTGAAATCAAAAGCGTCGTTTTAGTCGGTTTATTAAATGCTTAATTATAGGACCCATAAAAGTGGTGAATTTGGTTCGGAAATGTCAGTTCTAGTCAACCTTGTCGTCAGATATGTATATTTCAAATAGTGAAGCTGATTTGTTTTCAGAGAGATGTTCGTTGGTTTATGCTTTTTGATGGAAGCGGAACTCCTTAAACAACTGAGAGCATATGAGAAAGTGACCTAATGAAATTTCATTATATGAGTCAGTCATCGAAACCCAAATGATTTTTATATGAAATATGTATGCGAAAGGAAAAGTCATCCTTAGGGACCAACAACTTTTCAGGAAACGTGAAGGTTTGTTTTGAGGTAGATTCTTTATCTATAGGTCTAGAGAGCCTATTGGTAGTGGCTATGAAATCTATATATTTGTGTATGAAAATGACAGGAAAAAAATAAGTGCTCAAGATGTTTTCGACGTGCGAAATTTTTATTTGGACGATCTGAATTCCCAGGCCAATCTAACCTTGATTATTATCTCTACTAAGTAGGGGATTTTGAGACGTGTACTGTAGGCCAAACAATGGAAGAAATCAACAGCAGAAGTAATGTTTTGAGAAACGTAGACCTGATGACAGTAAAGACAGAGGTGATGCGAATTTGGATGTACTTACTTACTTACGCCTGTTGCTCCTCGTGAAGGAGCATAGGCCGCTCACCAGCATTCTCCATCCAACCCTGTCCTGGGCAATCCTTTCAAGCTCTTTCCAGTTCTTATTCATCTTTTTCATATCTGCTTCTATTTCCCGAAGTAATGTGTTCTTTGGCCTTCCTCTTTTCCGCTTCCCTTCGGGATTCCAAGTTAGCGCTTGTCTCGTAATGCAGTTTGATGATTTCCTCAATGTATGTCCTATCCATTTCCATCGTCTTTCCCTAATTTCCTCTTCAGCTGGAAGCTGGTTGGTTCTCTCCCACAAAAGGCTGTTGCTGATGGTATCCGGCCAATGGATGTTGAGTATCATGCGTAGACAGCTATTAATAAATACCTGTACCTTCTTGATGGTGGTTGTTGTAGTTCTCCAAGTTTCAGCTCCGTACAGTAGAACTGCCTTGACATTCGTATTGAAGATTCTGACTTTGATATTGGTTGAAAGTTGTTTTGAGTTCCATATGTTCTTCAGTTGAAGGAATGCCGCTCTAGCTTTGCCAATCCTCGCCTTGACGTCTGCATCTGAACCTCCTTGTTTATCGACGATGCTTCCCAGGTATTTGAAGGATTCCACGTCTTCCAGAGTTTCGCCATCAAGAGTGATTGGATTACTGTTCTCGTGTTGTGTTTGAGGACCTTGGTTTTCCCTTTGTGTATGTTGATGCCTACTGATGCAGAGACTGCTGCTATGCTGGCTGTCTTTATCTGCATTTGTTCGTGTGTATGTGATAGGAGGGCTAGGTCATCTGCGAAGTCCAAGTCGTCTAATTGGTTCTGAGCTGTCCATCGTATTCCGTAGTTTCCCTCAGATGTCGAGGTCTTCATAATCCAGTCGACCACCAGAAGAAACAGGAAGGGAGAGAGTAGACAGCCTTGTCTTACTCCGGTCCTTACTTGGAATGCGTCAGTCAGCTGTCCTCCATGCACTACTTTGCACTGTAGTCCATCGTATGAGTTCCGGATAATGTTGACAATCTTCTCAGGAACTCCGTAGTGTCGAAGAAGTTTCCATAACGTCCTCCTATCTACACTGTCAAATGACTTCTCATAATCAATGAAGTTGATGTAGAGTGACGAGTTCCACTCAATTGATTGTTCGACGATGATCCGTAGTGTCGCAATCTGGTCTGCGCACGACCGGTCCTTACGGAATCCAGCTTGTTGATCTCGAAGTTGAGCGTCAACTGCGTCTTTCATCCTGTTCAGTAACACTCTGTTGAAGACTTTACCCGGTATTGACAGTAGTGTAATGCCTCTGTAGTTTTCACACTTGCTCAGATCTCCTTTCTTTGGAATCTTGATGAGGTGTCCTACTTTCCAATCTATCGGCACTTGTTCCTCCTCCCAAATCTTCTTGAATAGAAGATGAAGCATGCTTGTAGTTACTTCGATGTCCGACTTCAGCGCTTCAGCTGGTATATTGTCAGGTCCTGCTGCTTTCCCGCTCTTGATTTGTCTGACGGCCATTCTGATTTCTCCTGTCGTTGGTGGATTGACATTTATAGGAAGATCTGTGTGTGCTGCTTCGATGTCCGTTGGATTCATTGGAGCCGGCCTGTTCAGGAGTTCCTCGAAGTACTCTGCCCATCTGTTTCGCTGTTGTTGAATCTCAGTGATTGGTCTTCCTTCTTTGTCTTTGACTGGTCTCTCTGGTTTACTGTATTTCCCTGCAAGCTTCTTCGTCGTATCGTAAAGCTGTCTCATATTTCCTTCTCTTGCAGCTTTTTCCGCCGTCGTTGCTAGTTCTTCCACGTATTTTTGCTTATCAGCTCTAATGCTCTTCTTCACTTTCTTGTTTGCTTCTATGTACTCTGCTTGTGCTTGGACTTTCTCTGCTCTTGTTCGACTGTTGTTAATTGCTGTCTTCTTGTTCTTTCTTTCTTTGATCCTGTCCAGTGTTTCTATAGAGATCCATTCCTTGTGATGATGCTTCTTGGGGCCAAGAACCTCTTCACATGTTGAAGTTAATGTTTCTTTGATGCCTTTCCAGCTATCCTCCATAGTAGTTTCTTCTTCCTTCAGTAGATCCTGTAAGGCTTGGAACCTGTTGTTGAGAGCTACCTTGAATTCATTGAGTTTGTCAGTATCTCGAAGGAAGGTTGTATTGAACCTTTGTGGTGCTGTTTGTCCAGTTGTCCAGTTCTTCTTTAGCTTCAGTTTCAATTTGGCCACAACCAGATGATGATCTGAAGCTATGTCCGCTCCTCTCCTGGTTTTCACATCTTCCATTGTCCTTCGGAACTTTATATTGATGCAAATGTGATCTATCTGGTTCTCTGTGGTGTGGTCCGGTGAGATCCATGTAGCTTTGTGTATACGTTTGTGTGGAAATGTTGTACCGCCTATGACCAATTTATTGAATGCACACAGATTTGCAAATCTTTCCCCGTTTGCGTTTCTCTCTCCCAGTCCATGTAGTCCCATGATGTCTTCATATCCGGTGTTGTCCATTCCGACTTTGGCGTTTAGATCTCCCATCACAATGGTGAGGTCCTTTCTTGGGCACTTCTCTATGATTGATTGCAGCCTCTCATAGAATTGATCCTTAACGTCGTCGTTGCTATCATTGGTAGGTGCATAACATTGGATAATGTTCATTGTGATCCCCTCCTTCTTTGGTTTGAATGATGCTTTGATGATTCTGGATCCGTGAGATTCCCATCCTACAAGTGCATTTTGTGCTACTTTGGATAGGATTAGAGCAACTCCCTGAGTGTGTGGAGCATTTTCCTCTTTGTGACCGGAGTATAGCAGCATCTCTCCCGTATTTAGCCTTTGTTGTCCAGCTTGGGTCCAATGGGTTTCACTGATTCCCAGTACTGCCAAGTTGTATCTCATCATTTCCGTTGCTATTTGACTGGTCTTCCCGTTCTCCCACATTGTCCGGATGTTCCATGTACCTATAAAAATTGTTGCTCTGGTTGTTAGAAGGGGCATCGGCCTCGTGGCTTCCGAAGGAACTCGGCTTTCACCATGAAGCGTCATATTACCTCTAACTCCCAGGGCAGAGTTTAAATGGTTTGAGTTATTTTTTTGTGGTTAGCGTTTTTTAGCGAGTTAGGTTTCTACGGGATGGGGACGCTAACCCCATGTCCAACCCTCCTCCTTTACCCGGGCTTGGGACCGGCAGTAACTCTGGAAGAGCTACAGGCGGAGTTGAATTTGGATGCGCAAGTGAATAATAATATCCTTGAGCTTATTGAAAAACCTGACGATGAGAATGTTGGCATTATTTGTTTCAACCACCAAGTGCGGAAAACGGTTCTTGAGTATAGGTCAGATGTTCGAGATGCAGCACATCTCATTATCTTGTCTGTTCTGCAAGGGCTGCTGAGGGTAACCTCCCATGTATGGAAAATTAAGATTATGATAAGTGCTCATTGGTTCTACAGATGGAATCCACATTGAATAATACTTTTCATGTTATTTTATTTTTCATTTGATTTTAATTCGAATAGTTTTGTGCAGCATTTTAACGAAGTTTAACTTCATTTTTTCCCTTTGTAGGAGAACGAGTAAGTATTCGTGTAGTGCCAGATATCATTCAAACACAACCGTACGAAAAATGGAAGTTTGAATGCTCTGTGATAGGTGCAGATATAGAACCAATAGTTAAATTCCCAGATGGTAGACTTGTCGAGTCAGATCCTAACTTTCGAGTCACTCGCATTGATCCCAACACTGTAAGTGTTGAAGTGATTCATGGCTTAACGGAAAAAAAGGAACGTTTTAGCTTCATGTAAGGAGATTTGCCATGAATTTTCTCATTTATGTATCTTTTGGTTAAATTAATATACTTCACAAGCTGAATACAGACTTAATCCTCGAATTCCTTTCTCAAGCAACAAGTTTTCTTATGACTTACTGAGTTGAAGATTTTGGAAAGTTTTGATGGTACTTTCCATGTATATATATATATATATATATATATATATATATATATATATATATTTAAAGATGATGATAATAATTTTCCTGCTGTATAGTCTTTCTTAGTCTATATGCTAGAATGTTTAATCGAATATTATCGAGTAACCACCTACTTTTTTAGTATTGTTTGGTGCTTACTAGGAACCGATTAGAAGAAATAGAGACTCATGAGTCTATGTTTTGAAATTGTTGACGATTATTAGAATGATTAGCAATAAATTCTGTTCTTACATATGCTTTCCTTATCCTTATATACGACTTAATAATGATATTCTTAATTATTTATTGTCATTACATCTATGTAAGAGAAAACTAATTTTAACAATGAATAAGCTTTGTGAAATCATCATGTCAGTTTTATTAGATAAATTCCGATGTTACTTGTTAAATAAACTATCATGATCTCAACTAATGAAATAACTACAAGCTCCACAAAACACCTTCTGATACTAATCAACATATGCTCACTAGTGACTGGCTTCAAGATGTATATGCTTCAGTTCTAGTGAGAAGCGGTGACCAGTGGAGTTCAACCAGGTCAGTTGTCAGATAGGGACTCACTGATGATAATGGTGGATGTCTTGCTCAATTTCGTGGATTAGTTGTAGTTAGACATTAGCACGTTGGATGCCGGCCGGCTCAGCGGTCTAGAGGTTAAGCGCTCGCGCGCAAGACTGATAGGTCCTGGGCTCGAGTCTCGTGGTTGGCGGGGTCGTGAATGCGCACTGCTGAGGAGTCCCGCGATAAAACAAAACGGTCATATAATGCTTCCAGGTTTTCCATGGTGGTCTAGCTTCAAATGACTCATGATTTCAACTATTGAAATCACTATAATATCCACAAAACCCGTTCTCATACCAATAAACTATCATTTAAACAAATACTAAAGTCATTTCTTAAATTTATGATATAATATACTTGATTGGTACAGTTTGAATGATATTGTAACGTTTTAGAATTACATCAGATAGATTTTTTATGTAGAACATTGTTGATTTTGATGGAACCCTGGCTTGATATTTTCATGGATATGGAGTACCATCAAAAATTTTAAACATACTCTTTTCAAAAGGAGTTTTCTCAGTACATTATTTTGATGCGTATATGAAAAATGTATACCTAATTTGGCTTACTTACCCGTAAAACGAGCCCTTTACAATGTGACGAGTACATTCAACTATTAAGAATGTCTATAAATCAAAAAAATAGTATTAGACTGTTTGATAGTGAGATAATAAACGATGATAAATTTATCACTATGTTTTAAAGGCAAGTTAATTCTACTTAAATCAATATGGTTTCAAAATAATCAATTGCTAGATATAAAGTAGCATTACCAATGTAATTCTTGCTAATTATTTCACAGATGTACATTCCCTGGTGGACCAGAGGAGGAGATAGATGTTTTTGTTCGAAGACGATGTCCTCATGGTGAATTCATGTGTAAAGATGGAACATGTCGTCCTGAAAGTGATTTTTGCAACGGTCAAATTAATTGTCCTGATGGTTCAGATGAACGACCTCCATATTGTAGTAAGTTCAAATAAACAATTAAATACCTTATTATTGTCTTGATATTTCAAATTTTGTAATTCTTTACAAAAGTATCTAATGAGCTCTGTCTCAAAATTACCAAAACTCAATTTATTTTTTTATTTATTGAGATTTTACTAGCTAAAACTTACAAATGATTATTGTAAGTCTTAGCCTACTGTTTAAATTGTTTAATTGTTTATTTTTCATTTGCTTATAATGTAAAGGATGCAAAGCTATAATTTGAATCTGGTTGGCGTTTGTTTTAATATAAATTTATTCATAATTAAATCAGAAATAATATATAGTTGTCGCTTGTGTAAGTGTATAATGTAACCTGTAGATAATAGGTGACATTTATTATTACATCCTAAGTACTCTATTTTAGTCAATTTGATATCATAGATATTATTTTCCACATTCGGTAGTTACTATGTTTTATGAGGTATTTACTATGTTCATGTGAATTAGAAGGTTTTATCATAAATTAAAGAAGTGATATAAAATATTTCAATTTCTGATCAAACATGCAGAACTTCTAATTATAATTTATACTGGCTAATTTTTAACACATGGTTATTCACTTGATATTGTTTTATTTGAATCTTCCCATTGATGTTTAGGACTGAAATTGTTCAGTCTCTTATTGGCATATGTGCATACTGTGCGTATGCCTCGATATTGCCTTAATTTACAAGCATTATAAGCAAAGATGGATAGTGGCTAGTAGTGGAATCCAGGACGCGCGTTTCGCCCTATTTAGGGCTCGTCAGCTGGATGTAACTTCATCTCAGAGTTGATGTTCACTCCGAGACTCGAACCCAGTACCGTCAGCTTCAAACGCCATCGCGTTATCCACTTAATTACTGAGTCCTGATAGCCACTTGTTTGTTCAATGGAGTCCCAAATAGAACGAAACGCGCGTCCTGGATTCCACTGCTAGCCACTATCCATCTTCGCTCATAATATATGGTTATTGTTATGAAAGTTTACAACTTGTCTTCTATTTATACTCTGTGATATCTGTTATACTATGATGTTTGCTACTGATCTTAATAGACATAAGTATCATGTATCATCACTCAAAAGTGAAATGCTTGGAGGCATAAGGTTAGGAAGATCAAAGTAAAGAGAACGAGAGCAAAGACTGATTGGTGTGGAATCGAGAAAAACTAAAGTCTGAGACCATTGATTGACATTTTACAAATGAAATACTTACTGCGTGTTTCTCAGATTTTACTAAAATATTCTGTAATTTTACATTCAATTACATTTGATTTTTCCGAATTGTGTTCTCGTTCACTACAATATTACTAGTCAATACTACTAGTAGTCTAGATTAATAATAACTTAAATATTGATAATTTTTTCGATGATTATTACATTGAAATTCGGAAAACATAAAGTGACGAACTCTTTCTCATCGCCTTATTACTGTGTCGTTTTTTTAAATATGACACCGGTCTATTATATTTCTTTAAAAACTTGTTTATATTTAAGCAATTTGTTATATCCCTATGAGAATAATGAATGGTAACTGTTGGAATCTATTTCTGGACTAATACTATACGTATATTTTCATTGTATAGTTGTTAAATAACTAAACTATTCATATTCAAGTTCCCCTTATCATATGCTTTATTTTGACTCATGAACCATATATATACGATTTATCATTCTTGAGTTATGCCCAGTCTATCAATTGCTATCTCTCACGTTCACAGCCACATTTGGCTAAATCTTGTACAAATGTTGTTTCCTATTTTATAGTACGATGTAGTCTGTTCGGTTGGTATATAAACCCATTATATTTGAAATAAATTATTCATATCGCAGAGGTTGAGATTGGTGTTCTGAACTAAACAGGCAGGGCTAGCCGGGAAGCAGGACCGATAAGGACTCTAGACTGCTCGTACAGGTTTTATGCGTCATTGGTCCGGTCGATAATTCACTTTTCTCTAATTGGTGGTATCATTACGTCATACACTAATAGGACACAGGGAACACGCTATAACATGATTCAATTCACCTAATTATGTCAAGTAATTATGTTGTCAAGAAAAGAATTTTAAAAAAAATTACTATAAAATCATCGAGAATATTCTTTCAATGTTTTATCATTGTAAATTTATATTTACCTCTACTAATCTAGACAATATACCTTGTGAATAAAAATAATTAACATCTTTATTTTATAAAATAGGGGAAACTATACAAGTGGAAGTTAAACCAAGCATTATTCATGTTCAACCCTATAAACGTTTTGAATTTGAATGTATCTCTTATGTTCCTGGGATAAAACCAGAAGCTCGATTACCTAGTGGTATACTTGTAAGTCAAGATCCACGTTTTAATGTGGAATATATTTCACCAAATCGTCTTCAAGTAAATGCAATATATGGTTTAACAGATAGAGATCATCCATTTCACATTTAGTAAGTTCTAAAATGTAAACTTCTTTAAATAACTATTTATAATATTAATGGTTATTGATAGTTATTTCAAATGCAAGTGTAATCAACCGCCCTCATTTAAGAATTCATTGAATAAAGTGATAGGTATGAAATGTTATCCTATCCTCATTTGGATATTTTTCATCAGTCACCTATTGCCAAGTAAATTCTAAATTCTTTACTTCATGTCAGTGGTTAAGGTTTATATTGTAGTCAAGTGAAATTATATACAAACAATCACTCTTAATCTATTGTATTCTCAGACTATTCATGTTTATCTTGCATACAGCTAACGAAACAAATTTTGTTTTGATTTTAGTTGTATATTTCCTGGATTAGAAAATAGAACTGCTGTAATAGAAATTGAAAGACCTTGTCCAAGTGGACAGTTTCAATGTATGGATGGACGATGTTTACCATCTAATGTATTTTGTGATGGCAAATCGGATTGCTCAGATAGTTCAGATGAAAATGAACGATACTGTGGTAAACGAGTTCTTAGATTGCTATTTTTTTATTATTTTTTACTTTAATAATCATATTTCATAGCAAAGGTTTGATAGGTCTATCACAAACCATGAATGAATCTTTTTGAATAGAATTTTACGACACTTTATGTTCTCACTGTTTAAGTTTTTCAACTTCAGTGAATTCAGTTATGAAAACTAAATACACAGCAATCAGAAAGAATTAAGCAGACAGTGACACGGATTGGCAAATTTTTTAAGGGCGACAAATACAAAATTCATTTAGTTTGAACATACCACTTAGAGTGGGCGCTTCATAAAATCGAAATATTGAATAAATTTTTCTAAATTATATAACTTACTAATTTTGAAGAATATCTCATTATTAGAAACATTTGTTTTCAAAAATATCAGAATTCAGGTACGATCAAACATGTTTTCCAGCTTGAAATCGACCTTCCCAATACTTCAGTATTTTGACTGAAATATTGAATATTAAACAGCTGATACAATGATATAACTCAACCTTCATCCAGTAGCATTTACCATTGTATTCATATTCAGCTCAATGGTTCCCCATTATTACGACACCAGAAAATTCATGTTCAGTTTATTATGTTTTCGACTGAAAAACCATAAAGGGAAAATAAATTGTATTATTTAGACTTTACCAAAATGTCTAAACTTTCGAAAATAGTCAATCCATCCATTTATAATAAATTGATTCACATTGTGCACCATACTACTGGTGTCGATGACTTAACTATGTCATCCAGTAGGGCAGCTCTTAAACTTTTATGACGATGATATTTAAACAATAAGGTTTTTTAGCCATCACTTGTAGGAACATGAGAATAGTAGAGCAAGAGCGTACAATCTGGTAAAGTTCAGTTTACATTTTCATTGTAAAATCATTTAAAGACTTAACATTCTCAGATGGAAGGACATTTTTCTCCAATATCCAATCCCACGTTGAGAACGAGAATTAATTCATTATACCATTGTTATAAATGAGTCATATTTAAATTCATGTGGTAATTCATATCAAGAAATGACATGATCTACCTATTTCACTCAGTTACATAACTGCTTGTGGGTGAGAACTCACATTCCTACACGAGTTATCACCCAACACCCCCAGTTATGGTGGCCGACGTTATCACCCTGAGATCAATTAGTTGAGATTCGGATGACCGATTGTTTCAATTTTTGTCAGTTTGTAGTTTAGAGGAAATTACATCAAGTGACATCAGTGGATTATCTTTTCTCTCAGTTTGAGATGAAAATTACATTTAGGTTGATAGGAATCTCTACAAAATTCCTATTAATAGACTTCATACTAACTAGCTGCATTAAAGTTCAGTGTAGCCAAAAACTGATGCCTTGAAAACACTATATTGTTAATGCTAAAGCCAAATACAGTCTTCATCTATAGTCTGGCCTGAGATAAACCAATCAGATCAAATTTTAAAGCATCTGGGAAATGGTTGTCATATTTCTCTCTACAGATTTCGTATCACTTCTTTTATTTTAGCTGTAAACATCAGAGTGACACCAGGTTCGATTCGTGTAGTCCCATATCAACGTTTCCAATTCGAATGTTCAACGTCAATCCCAGGAGTATCTCCTCAAGTAACGTTTGACGAGCGTTCAGTAGAAAGAGATGATCGTTTTGTTGTTACTCGTCCAAGTCTTCAAACCATAGTAGTGACAGCACCAACTGGTTTATCGGAAATCGGTGCACACAAATTTAAGTAAGAATTAAATCTATTCCATTAATTATAATTTTCTAGTAGGAAAGACCATTCATTTTAAAAGTTTTATAGCGTATATTAAGCATAAAGTTATGGATTTTACAAACAGCAGTAAATTCATACCTATCAGTAGAGGTTACAGTTTGTTTAATCTATACACTAGCCTCTTCATCAGTAGGCCTCAACATACACAAAGGAAAAGGAAAGATTCTCGAATACAACACAGGGAACACCAATCCAATCACACTTGATGGCGAAACTCTAGAAGATGTGAAAACGTCCACATACCTCGACAGCATCATCGATGAACAAGGAGGATCTGATGCAGATGTGAAGGCAAGGATTGGCAAAACAAGGGCGGCATTCCTACATTTGAAGAACATATGGACCTCAAAACAACTTTCAACCAATATCAAAGTCAGAATCTTCAATACGAACTTCAAGGCAGTTCTACTGTACGTATTTGAGAGTTGGAAAGCTACTACAACCATCATCCAGAAAGAACAAGTATTTATAAATAGTTGTCTACGCAATACACTCAACATCCATTGGCCGGATATCAGCAGCAGCAGCCAACTGTGGTTGAGAGTAAATGAGCTTCCAAATGAAGAAAAAATTAAAAAAAAAGATGTTTGAAGTAAATAGGAGATACATTTCGGAAATCGTCAAACTGAATTACAAGTTAAGTGCTAACTTAGAATCGTGAAGAGAAGCTGGAAAGAGGAAAACCAAGGAACACACTGAGTTGAGAATTGGAAGCAGACATGAAAAGAATGAATAACAACTGGAAAGGACAGGACAGAGTTGGAAGGAGAGTGTTGGTGGGCGGCCTATGCTCCTCCACGAGGAGTAACAAGCGTAAGTACGCAATCCATACGCTATTAATAATTATTCAAAATACGTTAATTTGATTAAGAAGGAGAATTTTTCAGTTGGCAACTGAGATTGTATAGATTTACTTGAAAGGAAGATAGAACTGAACTAATCTTATTATCAAAGATGAGATGTTTTTTTAAAGAAATAATTGATGTACATACAGAAGTCATCGTTGTAGTGTAGTTATAAATTCAGTCAAGAATTCTAACCCAATTGATTGTAGTACAGCGAATGTAAATGATACAAAATGTTTCCTCAAAAGCATATTATTCTACTTATAAGTTATAATACATAGAATAGAGTCGTTCATAATTAGACGTATTTAATGTTAAGTGATAAATTATTGTGAGTAGTATGAAATTATCATTTGAAACAAGAATTAATAAACAGTGTATGGTGTTTACTTCCATGTCATACTGCGAAAATGCTGGTTAAAAATTTTACGGACAGAGCTTTCGTCTGTTTTATGTTTGGCATACAAAAAGTGGATTATCAGTAAATGTTGTTCGAATTAACATGTTACATTTTTATTTAGTTTGATGGAAACAATCACCGATATATCCAAACAAAGCTTCATTGAGATTCTACATTACATTTAAATGTTTATGAGAACGATCATGAATCAACAGTATAAAAACAATATTTTTCTCAACCGCATTATGTTAATTATAAGCAGAAACCATCGAAATGATTGATTTGATGGGAATGTATTTTAAATGAGTTGTATCGTTTATATTACTGCTTACTACTGATCGATAACCAACCAACTCATTTAGAAGTCGAATTCACGAGCCAATCTAAGCTAGACCACCATTCAAAACCTAGACGTATTGGACGGGCGTCTCGTCCTACTATGGGACTCCTCAAAATTGTTCATCCACAATCTCGCACTCCGTAATCAAACACAGCAATTTTGGTATCGCGCTCTAGATCACTTAGTCGATATCCAATGTTATTAATGTTTTGACTTCAGTCACCCCACGATTTTGCATAACCCTTCATCTTTTGTCTGATGAGGATAACTCTTTCACGCTTGACACAGACTGGACTCCACTGGTCATGGTTCCTCACTAAAACTCCATGAGTTACATCTTGAATCTAGCCACTAGCGAGCACACAATTATGATCGTGGATACGCACTGCTGAGTCCCGCACTAAGAAGAAACGGCCATCTAGTGCTTTCAGGTTTTCAGTTATGGTCTAGTTTAGATTGACTCTTGAATTCAACTATTAAAATGCTACAATCTCCACAAATCCTCATAATGATAACTGAACTTTTGCCTAATTTTAAATTAAGCAACCTAAATCAGAATATTTAACATAACCACTGTAAATGTAGATTAAGATAAGGTTTCTTCACAAGAAAAGTAATCGTTAATGGTAGCTGACTCGACTAAGTGAATATTCGAATATTACTTCTATGACAATAGAAAATGTCAATCTAAAGTAAATTATTTTAGTGTTGAAACTTTAAACTCCTAGTGAGAATTTCAATATTTATAGTCATAAGCATTTTAAAATGATATTTTACCTATTATTTGACTTTCTTAGATGTATTGTATCCGTAAATATTGTCAAAGAAGTTGATGTAGAAATCATAAGTGAATGTCCACCTGGGCAATTAAAATGTAAATCTGGTGAATGCTTGCCAAGAGCAGTATTTTGTGATGGGAAGTATGATTGTCCAGATAGATCAGATGAAGATCCAAGATCGTGTGGTAAGATTCTTTGTTTACTGAAATAATGATATTTCATATTACTTTTCAATCATTAATATTCATTCAAGTGATAGATTTGGTCGATTCTAATCACTAAGGTATGAAGTTTATCTAAACGATAGTAACAACACACTTTTTATGAGTTTTATTTTTGTATGTTCATCTAAAGGAAATTATTCGTTAAAATATAATGGTTTTAGTTTGAAAACTTAACGACATATATTCGACATGTGATCTTCTGATAGACTAAGACAATATGAAATGCAGTATCAAAACAAATTATTTCACGTAATTCTTATGTTGAAAACTCTAGATTGTTATGATGGGATAATCATTCGGTAAAATACTAGTTTGACTGACTAAACCGTAAAGATTATTTGTTCGGGAATAGTACCGTTAAATTCTAGCCAATTATTTTTCACCAGAAAAACCAGTTAACTGTTATTTATAAACAAAATATAAGATATCAAATACTCAGAGTGGATTAATAGTGAAAATAACTATCACAAAAAGAATTGAGAGAGCCATCATTTTATCTATAGTATAAAAGAGTAGTGATGAAATACACTGGTTTAATGAATAATAATACCAAACAAAAGTTTGGGAAATCCGAACAGTATACAGAAAGAACAAATCGAGACTGCTAGTGATATCTCTTACTGGTAACATTGAAAACAATAAATCATATTCTATTCAAACACCCTAGACCCTATTCCAGGTTATTTTTGACAGGACAATGGTAAATTGCAGTAGCTAAAAAGCACGTTGATGAGCCTGTCTAATAAATCATTCCCACATTTCATCCGTCAAGCATATCCTAAACCGTCCAATGTCACAATCACTACATACCGTTTTAGTGATTAGAATTCCTACGCGAAGTACTCTTTAGTAACTCGTGTACATAGCATTTTTTAAATTGTCTAGATGATTCACTAGTTCAAGCTAGTGTTATCCTTAGTGCTTATACATGACCTTCATCTTATTTCCGACATAGATACTAGAATACCCTAATAATGAATATTCTTTTTGCATTTGATGGATCTAAATAACTGAGTTGAAACATTTCAAAATTATTTTTCTCGATTTACAAGAAGTAGCCTAATTATATGATAAATAAGGACTCTTCTTCCATACGAATATAAATAATCACGTGTGCTTCACAAACTATTTTGATTGGATCAGACTTTGAAAATGTCAGACTTATGAGGTAGTAGATGATTAACAATGTTGTTGAAATGAATAAAATATTTACTATCACTGTTTAAATGCTAAGCATTTTCTTTCTATTCTCATTTTCATTTTGCTGATATCAGTTCCTACAATTATTATCACTCCAACAACAATTTTAACAAGACCACATGAATCTTTCCAATTTGAATGTAAATCAGTTATGCCAGGTGGTGAACCACAAATTACACTTGAAGGTTATCCAGTTGAAAATGATCCCAGATTTACAATTATACGTCCAAGCCGTGAACATGTTATTGTCCGAGCAGAAAGTGGTATTGCTGATCCTGGAAAATATTCTTTCACGTATGAAAACATAGTATACAATTAAAAATTCTAAAAAATCACATTTTTTACACAACGATAAAATTCTTATCCTAAAATATATTTTATTATTGTTTACCTGAAGAAAGACAGAAACCAAGTAATAGTTGTAGAATTTGATAATGCTAACTATTTCTTACTTTAGAGTGTACTTTGAAAGGAAACGTTACTGTTTCACTTTGAAAAGCAAGCTCTTCTTTCAGTGTATCACATCAAATATAGTCTACTTTGTAAATTCATAGGTTCTAGAGTTTAGCAATCAATAAGTATACTTATGAAGATTTAAATTTAAGATATTACGGTCACGTGAAAGTTTATAAAATAAGGTATATGCATTATGTTTACAAAAGTTAACTACATAGCCGTTCAAATCAAAATAGACTGACCGAAATAAATAAGTAAAATAAAGTGAGTGAACTACTAAGCTACCTTTTTAAAACATTTCGTTAAAACACAATTGTCCGAAATTACTCAACATTATTACTTAGGTGATAAGTGGATTATACTGTCTCTTATTTTGTCAGAATTTGAAGATTCACTCATTTGACATCATTTGTATTCAGTGATAACAGTTTCTTTTGTATTTATGTAAGTTTGAGTGAGTTACCTAAGACTTATCTTATATTTCGTTAGAAATTCCATTTGTTGTGATATGGGGAGTGTTATAATTTTTATTCCACCACATTAAGCATGTTATTCTTATCACGGTTTTCTCTAAAAAAATATTCATGGTCTAGTAATTCTCATATAGTGTAATCTACCTAAGTCACAATGTGCATTTCAAATTATTATAAAAATGCAACAATAACTACTGTTTTATTGATCCAAAGCAACTTGGATTTATTTTAAACATATGTAAGGATATGTTTCTTTCATCCTATTTCATGAATTCATTAGATGATGTGATTATTTTTATGCTGTATATTCTTGATTAACCTGGTCGTATCACTGATTCTTAAATAAACTAAAGTTGATGAAGTGAGATTTCATTTGGTAACTCACTAGCTGAAAATCAAAAGCTTCAACTGCTAAAAACTAGTATTCTATAATCGTTGAAACCTGGATATGAAGTTTTTTAGTTCATTTAAATGAAATTTCTGTTTCTTATCAAGCAGAGTGGTGAAATGATATTTATGAAATAACAATTCTGTTAGTTCATAATTCCCGATGTTCACAACGTGATCTGTTTAGTGTCAAATGTTCTTTACGTGAAAAAGACTTGATCAATATGACTTTTATTCTGTAACATTAACAGATTAGTAGAGTTTCAGACAAATAAGCATTTTTTTAATGTATAGCTGATGTAAAGTAAAAAATTATAAGTAGTGTCCATAACACTAAACTATCAGTTTTAAGAAAGTAATTCACTAAAGTTACTTGAATTTTAAATAAACACAATATCGAATAAAGATACTCTAAGTCCTACTTATATATATATATATATATTTAAATTCAGTTGTACCGTAGTAAGTGCAGCTAGTAAGACAATCGTGGTACAGGTTGAATCAATGTGTCCACCTGGTTATTCTAAGTGTAAAGATGGAACATGTATTCTGGAAAACCAGTTTTGTGATGGGATAACTCATTGTCGAGATGGCTCAGATGAAGACAAGTTACGGTGCCGTGAGTTGAACATATTTATACATTGATATTTAATTTTTAAATAAAATATTAAGTAAACTAAATGTTATGAATAATATCTTATCCACTAAACAACATTTTAAATAAGTTCTAACGTTAGAATTTATATTACGTCACTATCCATTTTCACGAAGATGTTAAAGAACTCAAATGAGAACTTGAACTAACATACAAAATATTTGTTACCCTGCAAGATACAATTTAATACGACTGAATAAATATAAAATAAGTTTATTGGAACCACAGACGAACACCTCAAGTAATTAGTTATACTATTGAAAAGCACATTTAATTTATTTGTGCACAAATTTAAGTTGTAACAGTTCTTCTATTGGCTGAAAATAACTAAATTATATGGATTAAAATAATTGTTCAATAAATCATATAAAACGTTATATCTTTTAATGATTTTTCACTTGAATGTGGCATGAAATCTTACTTACTTACGCCTGTTACTCCCAATGGAGCATAAGCCGCCGACCAGTATTCTCCGACCCACTCTGTCCTAGGCCTTCCTTTCTAGTTCTATCCAGTTGTTAGTCATTCATCTCATGTCTGTCTCCATTTCTCGTCGTAATGTGTTCTTTGGTCTTCTTCTTCTCCTTTGACCTTTAGGATTTCATGTGGGGGCTTGCCTTGTGACGTAGTTGAGTGCTTTCCTCAATGTATGTCCTATCCACATCCAGCGCCTCTTTCTGATTTCTTCCCCCGCTGGCATCTGATTTGCTCTCTCTCACAGTAGGTTGTTGCTAATAGTGTCCGGCCAACGGATCTGAAGTATTTTTCTCAGACAACTGTTAATAAATACCTTTATCTCCTAGATGATGGCTTTCGTAGTTCTCCAGGTTTCCGCCCCATACAGTAGAACTGTTTTGACATTTGTATTAAAAATCCTGACCTTGGTGTTGGTTACCAATTGTTTTGAGTTCCAGATGTTCTTCAGTTGTAAATATGCTGCTCTTGTTTTGCCGATCCGTGCCTTCACATCTGCATCAGATCCGCCATGTTGATCAATAATGCTGCCCAGATATGTAAAAAATTTAACATCCTACAAAGCTTCTCCATCAAGTGTGATTTGATTGGTGCATGTTGTGTTGTATCACAGAATTTTGCTCTTCCTTTTGTATATATTGAGACTGTAGTGGCTGTGCTTCGTTGACCAATCACCCTCGTAACCGTTATCGTATAAACCCCAACGGTAGTTGAAATCAGAAGGCAAAGAGAAGCAGCTACTACAGTTTTATTAGCAGGCAACTCAAACCACAGAGCAGAGAGGCGAATGAGTCAGCAAACCGTGATTGTGTGAGAATGTGTGGAAAAATGTGTAGTGTTAAATATACATGTATATATATAGAAAAGTGAATGGACTATCGAATCGATTAAGCGAATAATAATAAGGTTAGTGGGATGAATATATGCGTGGGCAGTCAACAGTGTTCAAGCATGCTTATTCATACAAGCATAACAATAATAAAGATAGAATAAGTTGTTAAAGTACAGATAACCTTGTCCGTTTACTAGGTTAACAAAAGGGCTTAAACGAATTAGATGAGGGCAAACTCAATTGAACGTGAGTTGCTATAATAGCTCCCCCTGCAAACAAAGATATATAGAAAAAAATGTCTGTGTTTGCACAAAAAATAGTAAACTGAATAGAGTAGTTACAATTGTTTGGAGAAAGTGCTTATACAAAATTAAGATGAAGCTAAATGTGTTGTGTATGTGGTTTGTGCTTGTCCGTGAGGCTATATAAAATAATAGTAGGGAATAGAAGGAATGTGTTATCGTTTGTTTTTTTTTTACATATAAGTGTAGGGTACATAATATATGCCTAGTTTTATAGTGTATAATATAGGCTTAATGATCTATATGTATACAATGAAGTGGAAGAGTTATAATTAATATTCAAAATAATAGTAAATTATCAATAGAAAATTGTAGCGATGTAGCGTTGAGGCCATCTTACTCTGCGGCCAGATCTCGTTGTTACTGGAGTCTCACCTTTTTGCTGCGTTAGCGTCGTTGATTCTTGAGACTCGTGTTTCGTCGGTGTGACAATCTTCGAGGAGTTTGTACTTGTTGACTGAATATCGCTATCGATGAAAGCTGGTTTCACTCTATCGATACTGATTACATCTGTTTTCCCAGCTTTTTCTATGGTAATCGTTTTATCTGTCCTCGCTGTCACTTTAAACGGACCGTCGTAATTCGGTTGCAGGGGTGGTTGTACTTTATCTCTTCTAATGAATACATGAGTGCTTTTGTGTAGCTCCTGAGGTATGAATACCTGTCGTTGTTGAGGTCTGGGTGGTGTTGTTTTTAAATCGCTCATGTGCTTTTTCAAGCGTTGTACGTAGTTGGCTACATCAGTCGGAACACATTTATTCGAAGTGAAAAATTCTCCGGGTAACCGTAGAGTAGTTCCGTATACCAACTCGGCTGGACAACATCCCATATCTTGTTTAATTGTTGCTCTTAAACCTAACATTACTAGAGGAAGCTTATTGGCCCAATCATTGTTTACAATGACGGATGTAAGAGATGCTTTCAATTGCCTATGTAAACGTTCGACCATTCCGTTTGCCATTGGATGGTAAGATGTCGTTCGAATTCGTTTAATACCGAGGAGTTCTGTAAGCTGTTGAAAGAGTCGACTTTCGAACTGAGCTCCTCTATCAGTTGTGATGATCGCTGGTACGCCGTAGTAAGAAATCCAATTTTCAACTAATGCTTTGGCTACCGATTCGGCTGAGGTATCTTTTATCGGTACTGCCACCGGCCATCGAGTAAATCTGTCAATGCATGTAAATATATAATTGTATCCATTCGAAACCGGCAGTGGTCCTACAATGTCGATGTGTATATGCTCAAATCTAGTATCTGGGTGTGAAAATGGACCCACTGAGGAGCTAGTGTGACGATGTACTTTGACTTTTTGACACTTTATGCATGTCTGTGTCCAATTACGTACATCGTGGTTCATGTTTGTCCATACAAATCGTTCACTGATTAGTTTTATCGTGGCTTTTATTCCGGGATGCGACATATTGTGCATACTTTCAAAAATCTTCTGTCGCAATGATGTCGGGATAAATGGTCGCGGTCGGCCTGTCGATGTATCACATGTTACTTTCGTGTTACCGAACCGCACGTCTTCGAGCACTAGTGATGTCGTACCCTCGGATCTGAGCTTCTTTAATTCGGTGTCTCTCTCTTGCAACTTTGCTAGACCATTGTAATCGATTCCACTTGCCATAAGTGCGTTTATCATTGCTCTGGACAGAGCGTCAGCTACGTCGTTTTCCTGTCCTTTAATATATCGTATGTCGGAAGTGAACTGTGAAATGAATTCTAACTGCCGGATCTCTCTCGGGGCATAATTGTCTTGCTTTGCGCTTAATGCTTTAGTAAGTGGTTTGTGGTCTGTGTAGACGGTAAAACTTATACCTTCTACCATATGACGAAAATGTTTTATGGCTAAGTAAATTGCTAGTAGTTCTCTTCCAAAAGTACTGTACCTTGTTTGTGTAGGGTTCAGTCTTTTCGAAAAAAATGAGAGGGGTTCCCAAGTGCCGTTTACTAACTGCTGTAAAACGGCTCCTACCGCCACATCCGATGCGTCAGTCATGATAGCTAGTGGTGTTTCACTCTTTCGTCTAGTTAATGTCGTTTCTTTGTTTAATGCTTTTTTGGCTTGCTCGAATGCCTGTATCGCCTCTGGTGATAATTGGAATTTCCGGGCGTGTCCTCTTAACGAGTCAGTTAATGGTTGCAATATCGCCGCACAATTCGGGATAAATCGTCTGTAGTAATTTACTAACCCGAGGAATCGTCGTAACTTCTTCCATGAGTCGGGTAGCGGATAATTTTTGATAGCGTCGACTTCTGTTGAGACAGGTGTAATGCCTTGAGAAGTTACAACGTGACCTAGGAATTGCAAGGATTCCTTTCCAAATTCACACTTCTCAATGTTTATGGAAACGCCATGTTCTCGCAGTCGCATGAATAATTGTCGTAACTGTTGTATGTGTTCATCCTTAGTGGCGCTGGCTACTAGTAAGTCATCGATATATGCGTAAACTCCAGGTAAACCTCTGATGACCTGGTCGATAAACCTTTGAAAGGTTTGCGCTGCGTTCGTCAGTCCGAAGGGCATGCGCAGAAATTCGTACAGTCCAAACGGAGTCGTTACCGCTGTCTTTGGTATGTCGTGTGGAGCAACAGGAATGTGATAGTAGGCTCTAACTAAGTCGATCTTTGAGAAGATAGTAGCGCCTTCAATACTGTAAGTAAAATCGTGGATATGTGGTATAGGATATCTATCGGCTACTGTTTGTTTGTTAAGTGCTCTGTAGTCTCCACATGGCCTAACTTCGCCATTCTTTTTCGGGGCCATATGTAATGGGGATGCCCACGGGCTGTTCGAAGGCCTTATAATGCCCAGCTTCATCAACTTGTCGAATTCCTGTTTTGCTATTGCTAGTCTTTTTGGGTCTAATCTTCTTGGCCTTGCATTAATTGGTGGTCCATTCGTTATGATATGGTGCTGAATGGAGTGTTTGAGATCTGCCTTATTGTACGTTACTTTCACGAGTTCAGGAAATTCCTTTAACAACAATTTATATGGATCACCGTGGCTTTTATCTATCACTAGATTCATGGAAACGGCTTCTGTAAGTGTTCCTCTTATCGAAGTGGTGTGACTACCATTTATAAGTCTGTGACGTCGCGAGTCTACTAGCAGATCAAAGTTACATAGAAAATCGATGCCAATTATGGGCACTGATACATCTGCTATGACAAAGTCCCAGCGGTATGAAGCGCCTCGTCCGAAATCTAGGGACAACTTTCGTTTGCCGTATGTCTTAATGTCTGATTTGTTTGCTGCTCTTAACACTAGTGACGCATTAACATTTCTTCTCTCCTCGCTTACGGGAGGTACTACGCTGATTTCCGCTCCAGTATCAACTAAGAATTGAGCACCTGTCGTTCGATCCTGTATATAAAACATGCGGCTATTTGCAGGCATTATGTTCTTTGATGCCGTTGCCATTGACAATCGTGGGTATCGTTTACCTGTTATGTTAAATCTACAAGGTTGTAAACATTTCCTAGCTCTATAGCCATACATTTGATGATACCAGCATATCAAGGGAGCTGTGCGTCTTCTAGAAGGTGATCGGTTTCTGTCGCGCGAGCGATCTCGTGATGATTTTCGTGGTCTTATTTTGCTCTGTGTTAATTCTGTGAGCTTGCGGCACAAAATACTTACCTCTTTCTGTAAAGTACTAAGTCTATCATCTACCGTCACGTTGTGTAATGGAGGGCTTGTTTGTTTGGTTCTTTCGTATATTCTATCGGCTATTTTTGCTATGTTGTCTATATCGGCGTCCGTATCTCCGACGGCTAGGATCTGCTGTACACTTGACGGAAGTCGCCTAAGCCACAGTTGATAAAACAGGTTATTATCTATTTGCCTATCGCCCAACAGGCTTTTCATATACGTTTTTAGCTGTGATGGGGTTCTATCTCCCATTTGTACTTGGTTAAGAAGTTGTTCGACAGTTTGCTGATCACTTAGAGAGAGAGTTTTAATTACTTCTTGCTTTAGTACATCGTACGGCTTCTCGATGTCTGGTTTCGCTAACGCCTCTCGTACGCTATTTGCTACTTCGTCTGGAAGGAGTGTGCTTGTGAGACCGAACTTATCTCTTTGTAAGTGAATGCGGTTAGCCAAAAAATAATTTTCAAGTCTAATGAACCAAAGTTTTGGGTCGGTGACATTAAAAGAGGGGGCAGGAAGATTAAGAGACCTCACGGACTGGGTTTGCTGTAAACTTGATACAGTGTTTTCGGAAGACATGTTTATAAAAAATATTAAGTAGCACACGAATATAATGTAACTGTCATAAAGAAAAATGGACGGACCAAAAACAATGATAATAACAAATGGTACAATTTATAACATAGAACAGACTTACTAAATTGCACCAATATATCAATTGTTTGTCAATAATCGTTATTTAATATGATTATTATCGTTAATTCAATAATGTTTGTGAAATAATGTACGTGTAATTGAAATAGTAATATAATAAATCCACAGTTAAAATTATAGTCCATATGATAATCCAAATTGAGATGAAGTGCGTTGAATTTTGGGAATTTGATTATATCGTCGAAAGTTGTTTCGTGTTCGCTCGTAGGGATCGCCAATTCTGTAGTGGCTGTGCTTCGTTGACCAATCACCCTCGTAACCGTTATCGTATAAACCCCAACGGTAGTTGAAATCAGAAGGCAAAGAGAAGCAGCTACTACAGTTTTATTAGCAGGCAACTCAAACCACAGAGCAGAGAGGCGAATGAGTCAGCAAACCGTGATTGTGTGAGAATGTGTGGAAAAATGTGTAGTGTTAAATATACATGTATATATATAGAAAAGTGAATGGACTATCGAATCGATTAAGCGAATAATAATAAGGTTAGTGGGATGAATATATGCGTGGGCAGTCAACAGTGTTCAAGCATGCTTATTCATACAAGCATAACAATAATAAAGATAGAATAAGTTGTTAAAGTACAGATAACCTTGTCCGTTTACTAGGTTAACAAAAGGGCTTAAACGAATTAGATGAGGGCAAACTCAATTGAACGTGAGTTGCTATAAGACCTATTGCTGCTGAGGTTGCTGCTACACTGTTCGTCTTCACCTGCATTTGTTGTTGCGTATGCGATAGAAGAGCCGGATCATCTGCGAAGTTTAGATCGTCCAGCTGCATCCTAGATGTCCACTGTATCCCATGCTTCCCTTCAGATGTTGACACCTTCATGATCCAGTCGATCACCAGGAGAAAGAGAAAGGGTGAGAGTAAGCAACCTTTCTTGACACCGGTCTTTACTTCTAACGAGTCTGTGAGCTGTCCTCTATGCACGATTTTGCAGTTTAATCCATCATAATGAAAATTTAAATTATTTCAGATTTTGTTATTCAATTCTAGTGTGCAAAGATAATTTGTTTTCACTTACATGGGTGGTTTTTTTCATATCTTGTTAACGATAAACTATTTGAGTTAGGCCGATATCATAGCATTTTCTCTTTCGCATATCAAATTTAATTGGTGACGCAAAAATATAAAAGCACTCAAAACCATTAGAAAATCTAAGTATATTTTGAAATCTCTCCCAGAGATTAAAGACCTCTAAAAATCCACATGTTTTTCAATAAATGTTCTGATTTGAATGTCACATAGAGTAGAAATTTCATTCAATACTCAAAAACTTAAACTCACTCGGTACTCATTGACACTGAGATACTATTTTGTACCAAATAGCTAGTAATTATTTAATCTTTGTTCGTTTCTGGTAGTTGACGTATAACTGTTTGTAAGACGTCACAAAAATACAAGTTTCGAATGAATATGGAAGTTATATCATTTTAGATAGGTTGTCTATAAGGTCTTATTAGTAGTAGATTTATCGTTCCATTTTATTGTCCATTGTCAACCTCATAATGACTGAACGATATCAACACAGTGATTGTATAAAGAATTTCAGTTTGATAATACACTGACTCGGAAAATAATCATACCCAGATTTTTTAAGTCATACAGGAAGAAGATAAACTCATTGTAACATTATACACATGTATAAAACATGATCAAAGTTACACGTGAGTAATTGACCGAGACAAATATACGGGTGACAGATTAAGTTGACAGATTAGAATAATTCCTCTGTCCAAATGTTAGAATAAATCACGTGGGCGTGTAACAATACCGATCACCAAACAGACAAGGAAACTTACCACAATCAAATTTATTATCACTGAAAGTACTATGACCTATCGTCCATGTTGTAACTTAGTAACCGTTGCTAAACGATTCATGCATTCAACATCTCCTTATTAAGATCTGAGATTATCTCACTATCAAAGGCCTTTATACATTTAAATATAGTTTTCACTTAATGACGAAGAATAGTTTGTTCTTGAATAAGCAAAACCCCTGTAATAGTATGATCTTATCTTAAAAAATAGAATTAGAAGGCTAGTTCATAATAATAAATGGATTATGATGCGTTTGTCAACAGTAATCTCTATAAAATGATGAATACTAGCTTTAACCATAAAAACTAAATTTAAATGTTCTATAATAGTCTTAAATTATTCTACCTCAATAATTTAAAGTATTAGTTATTAGTGGTTGTTTTGTAACTCTGTTATTAGCTGAAGTGACTGTTGATATACGAGTCCACTTTACTCCTGGTGAATTACGAATTCAGCCTGGTCGTGCATTCCGTTTGGAATGTGTAACGGATAAACCGGGCACATCTCCAGTTTTACAGTTTCTTGATGGGAGACCAATAACAAGTGACCCAAGATTTGTGGTTTCCAGGCCATCAACTGAACGTGCCATCATAGACGTTCCTGGGGGCCTTGATGCTCGAGACAGACAGATCATAATCGAGTAAGCTTAAATTTATTGACATTACTCATATCATTACTAGTTTCTGCTAGTTTTAGACTTATTCATGTTAAAATAGATAGTCTATTTACACATAAACAGATAAATTAATCGGAAAAACTGAAAAGAATTCAACGAATAACCACTTTTTTAAAGAACAAAACTAAAAGTAACCCGATTCATATTTCACAAATATTTCATTGCAGGTTTCTTAGTTTACTTTTTCTAAATTAAATTTAGGCATTTAATGTTTATAAAAATCTACAAATTAAATAGTCATAGTTAAAATCACTAATCAACCAAAACTAGACCACTATTGAAGACCTGGAAGCGCAAGAAGGAAGTTTCATCCTAGTTATGAACTCCGCAACAGCGTTCATCCCCCACTTAGGATGAGGGAATCAAACCCAGAACCTTCGGTCTCTCATACGAACCCTTAACCACTAGACTCCATACCATTAATAATCATGTGTCTACTAATGACCAGCTTCAAGATGTGACTCATGGAGTTTTAGTGAGGAACCATGACCAGTGGAGTCCAGTCTGTGTCAAGCGTGAAAGAGTTATCCTCATCAGACAAAAGATGAAGGGTTATGCAAAATCGTGGGGTGACTGAAGTCAAAACATTAATAACATTGGATATCGACTAAGTGATCTAGAGCGCGATACCAAAATTGCTGTGTTTGATTACGGAGTGCGAGATTGTGGATGAACAATTTTGAGGAGTCCCACAGTAGGACGAGACGCCCGTCCAATACGTCTAGGTTTTGAATGGTGGTCTAGCTTAGATCAAATCGTAATTTCAACCTTCAAAATACTACAGTCTCCACAAACCCCCCATACCAATGAATTAAATATTTATCGTGTATTATTGTTGTATGATCTTAGTTGATAAAGAAATCAAAAGAACCTCAACCACTCTCTTAGTAAGCTCTGTAACCTCGATTTTCAAGCACTTCGATGAAACAGACTATTTTTTAATGAACATTTAAAAAAAACTGGGCTTACAATATCATGTGAGTTATCTCATCCGGTAAAAGAAAATCTGTTGATTATGTCCTTTGCGTAATTCGTATGTGTAACCTTCTAAGCGGTGAACTAAACGAGGATTACAAAATTTAAATTAATACAGGAACGAACAATAAATCAGTACTAACAGATGTATAACCGAGATGTTCATTTTTCAGATCGTCGCAGGAAACAACTGTAATCGTTATCCAATTACTTAATGCAGTCTTTTACAAACTAAATGTTTGCCAAACGACATGTTAGTTTACATCTTTAATTTCTCCAGTGTTGTAACTTACCAGATTCAATAAAAGATTTAACAGTCAAAGAAGATGAATTTAAATTTCCTTAGTATTTTGTTGAATAAATTAACCCTACTTATGGTTCAAGTCTAACTGTAGTATATTAAAAGCAAAATAGGATTTACTATATTATATCAAAGTGAATGTTTACTCTGAAGCAAAACATATGTTCTAAATGCCAGTCTTGCCAATTGGTAACTTAAATTCCAAGTCATTATCAGAACATGAAAGTAGATTCTCCCCAGTTGTTTACTGACTTTTTAAATTTCAGATGTGTATCTCCCAGTGGTGAGAGAAAAACATCAACCATCTTCATCGAACTAGGTTGTCAACCAGGACAAAGACGATGTCCCAGTGGGCAGTGTATATTTGTCGGTCAATTCTGTGATGGAAAACCTGATTGCGATGATGGATTTGATGAGAAACCTGAAAACTGTGGTATATTTTTCATATTCTGCATATTATATATCCTAATTACTTATTCCCGAATTTATGCTGTCAGTAGATACTTAATTACTTTCTTACTTACGCCTGTTACCACCCATGGAGCATAGGCCGTCTACCAGGATCCTCTAACCAACGTTGTCATAACACAATCAGTAAAAAAGCTCCCATAAGTCATAATTTGAGTCACCTTATGACAACTGTCAAATCTGTATTTCAGTGTGCTTTGAAATTTTTTTAAATAAATAAAAGTTTGGAAAATATACGGATTTGCGAAAACATATCAGCACTTATTAAGTAGGGTAGAGGGAAAATAACACAGAATGGTCTAATCAGCAGAAACCAATTCTGGTTATAGCCAGATCAAGGGTGACACTAAATAATCTTCGATAGTACTTACATATTATTAGGTTGTAATATTAACAGAAAGCAAACAAATGCTTTTCACTGATAACTTTCCAAAGACAAGGAAGCTTTTGACTAAACAATGTTAACAGACAAAATATGAACTGCATTCAGATGTCGTTCTCCGCCAAGACAGGTTTGCGTTATACTCTGATATCCAACCGTTATTTGTATGACGACCATTTGTCACAAAATCTAAGTCTATTCAAATTGACTTCCTGCCGAAAGGAATGGTATCATCTTATTATACACAACTCTGAAGTTAACGTTGGACATTAATGTTATTCACTGGGTATATGACGAAACTTGACTTATTTTTATTATTTTGAATAGAATAGAGCTAACAGTTTTCTAATTCCTATGATTACAGAGTATTGTGATCCAATAACAAAACCATGCGAAGTTGTAAATGGTAGACCACCTAAGGAAAAAACCTATGAACTACATTGGAGGTGTGATGGCGAAGATGATTGTGGAAATCGGTTTGATGAACAAAATTGTTTAAATGGTAAGTATTTGTTTGAATAATGAAACTCATTATATACATATACAGAATGTGATAACATTTGTTGAATGACTTTAGTTCATTATACAACAACATGTTAGTAAAAGTTAAATTATTATTATTAGTGAACTACCATTAATTTTCACTATGTAAATGTTTTCAGTTGGAATTTATTAGTGAAAAGATTATTCGAATTTTTATGTAGACGTTAGTGATAAAATGTTTAAACATAAATATGAAACTTAAAATATTTAATCGAATTGACGATTGATAATCTGTAACGAATCAAATATCAATATTTCTTCTGGTTAGCGTTTTCTTGTTAGCGAGTTAGTTTTCTACGGAATGGCATCGCTAACCCCATGCTGAACCCTTCCCCCTTATCCGGGCTTGGGACCGGTAGTAGCTCCAGGAGGACTCCAGGCGAAGTTCAAATATCAGCTGATGGTTATCATTTCTCGTACATATTCAATAATGATATTACTTATTAGTGAACTAATAGTAGTTGTACTTATACAGCAATTTAATTTACAATTTATATTTTGCTTTCAGACACTCGTGTACCAGATAAAGAGTGTGGTGCTACTCATTTCAGATGTGGTACTGAACCATATCAGTATATACCATTTGCATACTGGTGTGATGGAGGTCGCGATTGTCGAGGTGGTGAAGATGAAGCTGATTGTTGTAAGGGAATAACTTCAATTCTTCGGATATTTTATTTGTTATTTTACTTATTATCATCAAACGAAAACAGTTTTGAATATAGATGTTATATTTAGAAAAGGATTAACATAGACTAAGGTGTGATTTCAGTGGTTGAGATTATGAGTCAATTGAAGCTAGACCACCATGGAAAACCTGGAAGCACTAGAAGTCCGTTTCGTCCCAGTATGGGACTCCTCAGCAGTGCGCTTTCACAATCCTGCCACCCGCGAGATTCCAGCCAAAGACCTACCAGTCTCGCGCGCTTGACCTCTAGACCACTGAACCGGAATCCAAAGGTGTTAGAGTCTAACTTCAACCAATTCACGAAGTTGCGCCACCGTCCACCATTGTCATCAGTGAGTTACTATCTCACAACAGGTTTTCCATAGTGGTCTAGCTTCAATTGACTCATGAATCCAACTATTAAATTACTATAATATCCACAAAACCCCTCTCTACTTATATATTTGTCAAGGTATTTACAAGTAAAAACTAATGATGATCAGTTAGAAACGAAAGTTGTAAATAAAAGTGCCAAAAAATCAATATGATTTGGAGAGAACATTAAATTATCACATCAGCCTAGGCTGTAAAATGGTTTAAAAATAACATATTTTCAACTAATTAAAATAGCTTTCGAATACTGGCTTTTAAAAAAACAGTAATAGTTAGTATATCTTTTAAAATCTCTCGAAAGAATAAAAGTAATGAACTGCACTGTAGCTATAACGAACAGATAATCGATTAAAGTGTGGATACACTCGTCTATTTATGAATGAAGTATTTTATACATAAAAGTGGTGAATACAGTGTTGCAAGAATTTTATCGCTTCTATACGCAATAACTACATTTTTTGTAATTCATATATTCTAAGTGAGTATTACATTTGTAAAACGAGTGATGGAAACTGTTTATTGGTTAATCTTCATTAACTTAATAACAGAAAGTCCTACCTAATTACAAGTATGTTTTAACACTTTAAATAACTATTTCGCTTATCCACGACTATTTCAAAAATTTGAGTTAAGTTATAAAATAGCAGTAATCCTGTAAAAACACTGAAGAAATTCATCGTCGTTACATGAATACATCAAATTGTGTTCAATTCTGTTTTATTCTTTATAAAACCTACGATATGCTATTCATAAATTGCTCACTGTGATTGACAGTGATGACTATTAACTTGAATTGTGTGTTCAAATGATTATATGTGCAACAATGTAACTACTGATTTTGTGCATCTATAAAAGGTTTCAAAGTAAATATCAGTTATTGTTTTGTTCATCATCAGCATTATGCATGTCAATATTTTATCTGACACGTTGTTTGTTTAAAGTCATTTTCATTATACTCAAATAATAATCAAAATAATTTTTCAAGTTGATTGCTGGTGTTTTAATCACCTTTCAGCCCCACCTACCATAATTCAAACTCAACGTCAAGAAACTCATAGAGTTCGTCCTGGTGGTAGACTGATTTTAGAATGTGAAGCATCCGGTGTTCCACCACCTATGATTATTTGGCGTTTCAATTGGAGATGCCTTCGTGATGAAACACGAATGAGGACCCAAGCTGTGCCAAGTTCGCTTGGATGTAAGGGTTCAAAGAGTCGTCTAACAATCGAAAACTTCAGAGAAGGTGACGATGGTATTTATAATTGTGAAGCACTGACATCGAAAGAAAGAGCTATGTCCCAGGATATATTTGTTTTTCTGTCTCCTTAGTTATGTTTTCATTTTCACGTGATATTATAGAATATCAAGGTGAATGAATAGTTATATTATCATTTTATCATATATTTTTAAAATTAATTTAATTCTTTGTGTCAAAATAGCAATGTTCTGAATTTCACAATAGTATATCTTTCAATCATCTTACAAACATTAATTTTGCCGTTCGAAATTCTAATTCCCAAGTTATTCATTATTCTGTTATATGAAATTTTTAAATATAATGCTTATTTGAAGAGATACTAACTTTTAGTGCACTCTTTACATAGTTTTAAGCTCAGAGATCAAAGTTTACTTATTTACTTATTTATGCCTGTTATCCCTCAAGTGGGTGAATAGGCCATATAGTTGTTTCACATTTCCATCTCTTACAGCTTTGTCCGCTGTCGTTGCTAGGTCTTTCACATATTTCTATTTGTCAGCTCCAATGTTCCTTTTCACTTGCTTGTTTGCTTCCATGTATTCAGATTGTGCCTTAACCTCCTCTGTTCTTGTTCGGCTGTAGTTGATTGCTGTCTTCTGGTTCTTCTTTTCTTGATTCTTTCCCAGGGTTTCCATAGAGATCCATTCCTTATGATGATACTACTTGCGTCCCAGAACCTTTTGACACGTCAAAGTTAGTTCTTTTTTTATCCCTTTCCTGTTATCCTACATAGTAGTTTCTTCTTCTTTGAGTAGATCCTGTAAGGCTTGGAACCTGTTGAGAGTTATCTTGAATTCGTTGAGTTCGTCAGTATGTAAAAGGAAGGCTGTATTAAAACTTTGTAATGCTGCTTCGCCCATTGTCCATTAGTTCCTTAGCTTCAGTTTCTTCTTGACAACCACCAGCTAGTGTTGATTTGAAGCTATGCCAGGTCCTCTCCTGTTTCTCAAGTTTTTCATTGACCTTCTGGATTTTTCAGTGATACAGATATGATCGATCTGATTCACTGTAGTCTGATCCGATGAGATCAATATAGCTCTGTGTATGTGTCTGTGGGGCAATTCAAAGCCATCTATAACTAGTTTGTTGAATGCATTTAAATTTGTTAACCTGTCACCATTCACATTTCTTTATCCCAGTCAGTCCATGTCGTCTAATGATATCTCTATACCCGGTGTCATCCATTCAGACTTTGGCGTTTAGCTCTCCTGTTACGACTGTCATGTCCTTTTTTGAGCACTTTGCTATGATCGATTGAAGCCTGTCATAGAACTGATCTCTATCGTCGTCGTTGCTATCATAAGTGGATACATAACATTGGATAATATTCATTGTGATTCCCTTCTTTGTTTTGAAGGATACTTTGATGATTCAAGATCCGTGAAAGTCTCATCCTACAAGCGTTTTACGTGGTTCTTTGTACAGCATCAGAGAAACTGCCTGAGTGTGTAGAAAATATTCCTCTCTATGACCGGAGTAAAACAGCATTTCTTCCGTACCTAACCTTTGATGTCAAGCTTTGGTCCAAGGTGTTTCACTTTTTCCGAACACCACTAAGTTGCATCTCCTCATTTCCATAGCTATTTGGCTGGTCCTCCCGCTCTCCCACATTGTCCGGACATGCCATGTACCTATATTAGTTGTTGCTCTGGTTGTTAGGTGCTATGGTTGTTTTCTACAGGTTGGCGTTGCTGACACCACACCTAGCCCCCTTTACCCAGACTTGGAATCGGCAGTAACTCTATAAATGCTACAGGCGGAATTCAGGGATTAAAAGCATCGTTGAAATATTTCCAAAAATCTAATACATATAATGTTGAATATGACCAAAACACCAATTAGGACGGAATAATATGAATCTATTATATTTCGTGGTTTCTGTTCAATTACTTAAGACCATGTATGTATTAATATATAACACTGAAATATGATACAATGTAAAGCAATTGACGATCATGATAGAAAGGACCAGAATGACAAATATCAGTAATTACTATTGGTTTGTGTATTTGATGTGTGGTAGCGAAAACAAAATGTGACTAGTCTGATATAATGTGGTCCAGTCTATGTACAGCCTTTCGAATGGGCATTAAATCTAGTTGTACTATGAACTCGATCCCCAGTCCTATTATCGTATTATAGTAGTGTTGAAGATAACAAGAAAACTCCCTAAAAAGGCTCTGAGAACGCTGAGAATCATCCTATCCAATCAACATTCAATAGACGTTTTGCCACAGACATATAGAAAGTGAAAAGTCACATTTCGTGTTTTTAATCGAATGATTACCTATACTGCCACTATGTTTAGGAGCATCCCAGAAATTTTCGAAAGCTCTAGGTCATCTAGAATACTATGAATACCTTGGATTTTCTGTACATAAACGGAACCTTTGGAGGAAGGCGTTTCTTCTGTATTTCGCGCCTTTTCTTTCGTGTTCAAGTCTCTGTGTAGATTTAGCCTGGGGGTTAACAGAAGAGCATAGGAATTGAATCTAGAGTTACATTCGAAGACTAATCAAGTAGTATACTGCGAGAAAAACCTGATCTGGTTATCAATTTTCGCTTCCATTCTGAAAGTGATACCATCAACAACGTAATCAGTACAAACTTCAAGTAGAAATGTCAGAATAAACTGTGAATCATATGTGGAGAAATTCAAACACTTTACTTGTACCTGAAGTTTGTGTTAATGTTGTTCAGAAGAACAGTGAAATCTCTACAACCAATCCATCTAGCTCAGAAAACAAAACTTCACCTAAATTATCCACCTGAGTTACAAATCTCCACAATCTTAAAGTATCATTTTATTTCGTGAATTTCGCTGACGTTTAAATTACATTATTTATTGATTCTAAGCGGTGTAGAAAAAAATAGGAAAAGAAAAATATTCTCTTATTTCTGTCCAGAAAATTAATCATGAAGAGAAGAAGAAACAGCAATTATGTCTGAAATAATTTTTATGCAACTTGTTGAATTTTTTTTTCACTTAAGGCACGTTCCATCAAATTGATATTCACAGTGATTTTTGGATGTTCTACCATAAATTCAGCTGCAACTTTGGCTTTGATTAAATATTGTATAGACTTGTAAGTAAAGAAATAAAATACGTGAGACCAATAATAAATACAATAGTAGTGGGAGAAATTATGTGACAGTACTTTTTTGGTGATTTAACTTATATAGCTTTGTTTCGTCAAAAATTCAAGTGCATATTTAGTAAGATTTTGAAGATATCCCTTGAACATGCCAAGTTTGGATACTTTATAATTAACATGTGCTCACTAGTGACTAGCTTCGTGAGGGAATTCTCGGAGTTCTAGTGAGAAGCCGTGACCAGTGGAGCTAATCCGTGTCGGGTAGAGACAGGTATCTACTTCAGTACAATGGAAGATGGTCGCGCAATTTCGTGGATTGGTTGATGTTAGACACTGACACCATTGGATGCCGGCTCAGTGGTCCAGTAAGTTAAGAGTTCGCGCGCGAGACTAAAGGCCCTGGGTTCGTGGATGCTCACTGCTGAGGAGTCCCATACTAGGATGAAACGGCCGTCCAGTGCTTCCAGGTTTCCAACGGTGGTCTAACATCAGTCGATTCATGATCTCAATCAAAAACTTAATAATCTCCACAACCCCAACGATGATACTTTATAAATAGTTTAACAATGCATTGAAATCATGAAGAGATCAATTTTAGACCACCATCAAATATCTGGAAGCACTAGATGGCCGTTTGTTCCAAGTATGGGATTCCTTAGCAGTGCGTATCCACGATCACGCAAGCTGGATTTGAACACGAAAACCTCGGTCTTGAGCGAACGCAAAATTCAACAACCTCCGCAACCCCATAATGAAAGTTTTTATGTGACTAGCTTTGAGAAATAATTCTCGGAGTTCTAATGAGAAGCTGTGATTAGTGAAGTTTAACCGTATCGGGTGTGAGACAGTTACTCACTGAAAACAATGGAAGATGGTTATGGGGTCGTGAATGCGCACTGTTGAGGAGTCCCATACTAGGACCAAACGGCCGTCTAGTGCTTTTAGGTTTTTGAACGGTCTAAAATTGATTGGTTCACGATCTCAATGAAATCAAAAATTTCTATAACTCTATGCTAAAATTTTGACATTGTTCTACTTTGCTGTTAATGTGTAGACAAGGTAACTTACATACATCACTTCTAAGATTTAATTAACGTGTTCCAATATATCTTTATTCAAAAGAAATAAAGGGTTCCAGTAGTGTTATTTCTGCATACGTCAGGTATGAATATGCTACACTTACTGATGAAAAATTAATTTCCATTCTAAAATTCATACACCTGGAACCAGAAATATGTGTCAGTCTTTTTTCATGGTACCCTAATCCTTATTTCAACCCACTGTACGTTCTAGGCTTTCGTCTATTTCATTATGTTATTACATCGCTTTTCAGCTCTTTGCTAAAGTATAACTTAATTTCTTAATTAGCTTAGAATAAATCGTTATTTTTAGTTGACGTTCAGTTTAGCTCGTGTGTTCCATTACGTTAACTACTTAATCTCACTAATCATAAAGTGACTCAAAAAATCACTTTGACTATCTATGCAGGATTTACCAAGGAATTTGCATTTTGCAAGAATGACTGTAGAATATCTAAGTTACAGATTGATTCTAATGAAATTATTAGTCTAAAATCTCCTAGACAGAGCTTAGTATGACATCTATGTTATATACAATTATCTAACAAATCTGTGTAAGTTTCTAACAACTTTCTACGAGATTAAGATCAAAATATCTATATGAATCTTCGATATACATACTAGAAAATATGAAAATAAGAACCTTTATAGTATAGGTTGAAATTGGATTGTTTTGTAAAACTATTAAATGCTTACTTCTTGCTTTCTTTCCAAAATATAGTTTAGCATTGACAAAGTCAAATACAATTGAACTTTTGGATCTGGCTTGGCTGAATTACAAGTAATTGCATTGGACTCATTTCCATTGATGCGCTGATTATGATATTTCTCGATTGCGTACAGCATTTTTTCAGCTTCAGCTTTTTGTGCATCATCTGTTAATTATAATCAGTATATTTCGTTTATTAAAAAAAGATACAATAATAAGATGTCTTATTAGTTGGGTACACACAAAAAAATCAATTATCGTCTTAAATACTTAGTCTACTCAAATCACGTAGCTCTTCTAGAAGTAGCTTTTAGAACTATTTAAAAGGTATGATAATTCAACTACGAAAGAATACGAGCACTAAAATTATCATCCTAAGTTTGATACTTGCAGTCCTTTATTTTACCTTGATCTTAAAAAATGGCATACAATTAAAACATCTTTCTAATTTTATAAGTTATTACTTCATTTTTTCCTTATTCTGAAACACTGAATAAAATTTAGTTTTGATATTAGAACTAAGTACGTGTGGTATTTGTATTAACTCATTATTCCTCTGTACTAGATTGTGCTCTTTTTACACATTCCAAATATGTCCAGTTGTGCTCATCTAGTTCTACCTGCCTTAAATTGCACCATTTCGGGAATTCTTAGTTGACAAATCAACTTAGAATCCTGAAGAAAAAAGGAAAAGAGGAAGACCAAAGAACACATTGGATCGAGAACTGGAAGCAGACATCAAAAGGATGAATAGCAACTAAAAACAACCAGAATGGTTTACCTAAGACAGAGTTCTATGGTGAACGCTGGTGGGCGGCCTATGCTCCTCCATGAAGAGTAACAGGCGGAAGTAAGCAGTTAGCAAATCAATCTGAATACTTCTAATGATAATAGGCATCGTTAGACATGTCATTACCTAGGGTTTGTTTAGCTTCTTGAGTAGTCTCCACCATAATAGCACCAATGTCTTCAGAGGATACAGGTTTGAATAACAAGCTTTCTACTAATTCCTTTAGATATCTGGCCCATATATTAACTACACGTGAATACAGATTGTCAACCACTTTAGCTTTTGATGAAGGCGGTTGAATGCAAAAATCTGGGTTTGTTGAAAAACTGTCGTTTGATTTCGTTTCTCTCTCATAAATCAATGGACCGTAAGACTTATTTTGTTTAATTATTTCTGGAATTTCCGGCGTAACCGAAAGATAGACAAATTCAGTTGACTTTTCTGTAAAGTCTTGATCAAGGGAACCTTTGTTGCCATCGTCTTTGTACATTGCATGAAACACTTCAGCCATTTGAAAATAACCACCAGCTGTACGAATATGATCGGTGCCATATTCAAGGGATGCATAAAATATCTAAAAATGGGATATAATAATGTTAAACGCAATATTGAAGAATGAGTGGATAAAAAATAAAGTTATAGGACGTAAAGTATGAGGAACATACTAGCGGGTAAATCAGTGAAGCATGATTCTAGATAGTGGCTATCGGAAAATGTAAACAATTTGTTTCTGTTTGTAGTTCGCAAATCTTAGCGGAGTCAATGACTAGCGTTTCATTGTACCGTAAGTTTTCTTCCACCTGGGCCCAGAGTTGATAATCAACTTGATTGCCAACTTATCTCATTATTTTAACTTAGACTTCCCATAACTCTTTGCCTCAGTTTAAAATGTACATAGAAGCACACCTACACATATATTTGACAGTACTGAAATATTCAGTAAGTTTAAGAAAGGATAAAGAGCTTAATAGACTCACATCTTTCGCCAAACTCGCCAATGCTAGTTTATAATTACCTTTAGCAGCATATAACAAACCAAGTTTACGATGTAACTGTGATTGTATATTATTTGAGCATTCATGTTGTGCTTTAAGTACTATCCACTGAGCTTGTGCGAGGTAAGTCTCAGCTTGATTCAGTTTTCCAAGACCTAGATGGTAAAAATAGTAATCAAGCTAATACGAACATTATTTATTAATTCTCAGAATCTCTCGATCATCACGTTTTACAGTCATTATTTCTTTGATTTTACTCAAAAGACTTATCTAAAACACAGCAAGTACTAGAACGTGTATAGCCATAAGAGATAGATAGCTGATAAACAATTAAAACGGGAAACTAGGAACCAAAACACATATACTATTTATGTTGAAGGAACGAAGAGAAAATCTGTAATGACCCATCAAAAAGCACTCTCATCAAATGATTTAGGAAGTAATAAACGAGTAAATAATGATGATAAAAGCTACGCATTTGGACTCATGTGATTGCGTTTAGGAAAACATTTTCCTTAGAAGTGAAACCAAAGGTTCCTACAGATATTGTTTGCATTAACAGTTCTGTAACATATTTATATAGAAGTTTTTTGTAATCGTATTCTTAGAGAGTGACCTTCTACTTAAAGGCCTTCTGATAAGGTTGAAATACAAATGAAAAATCAGAGGTTCTGTGGATATAAAAATCTTTATCAGATCTAAAGATCTGATTTAAAGATTTTTACCAGTGATTGTTAACTTATCAAATGTAGGTTGCTGCCAAAACTGTTTGATTATAGAAAGTGGGATGGTTGAGTAAGATTGTCATTCTGTGTTTGCAGAGAATCATCAATCCTGATTAGCAATAAAATTCTGGGAGTGATAAGTCTTTTCTGTCAGTAACCAAACCTCATCACCTGTATCCTTGCTTTGATTCCTGAAAGCTCGTCAAAGAGCAGACACAATGCTAAATAGTAGTACGAGGTAGCATCTAAGGCTACTAGCAATCTTTTTACTCTTTCATTAAAATAAAGGACGAATTTTAAAGAAGATTCAGATGTGTAACCATCTGACTGTGTTTATAGGTGAACATCGAAATACTAGAGATTTAATAAAAAAGTGTACATGGAAAACACATTCAAGAATTTAGAGCATAATAATCTTTCATATTTTTTGGAAAGTATTTCACCAATAATTTAACTACTTACCAATACATGATTCTGCAAGAACTAGATAGGGTGATACTAATTCAACACAAGCTATTCCATATGCACGCACTGCAAACCTCAAATACTGTAAAGCAGCAGGTAGGGCTTCCTCTGATTTTCCCTTAAACAAAAGTTTCTGAGCCTCCAGTTGAGTGAGCCGGACCAAATAAATCTGAATAAATTAAATAACACAAAAACTTTGAACTAATAAATTTTTTTGAATCTCATTCTAAATTTAAAACGACATACTTTAATATATTTGAGATATAATAGCAAAATTAAATAACTACTCACACGATTCACCAATGTATGACTTAAGGAAACTCCTAATTCTGACTACTTAAGCAAACGCTTCAAACGATTTTTGAAGTAAACTACGTGAAAATAACTTTAAATGGCTTATAACTATGAAGAAGTGTCATTCAAAGTGAAATTTGAACAAGCCAATGGAAAGATAATTACAGAAATAAAGCGAAATCAAGATTCTCTTTTGAAAACTTAGCTAGGTATTGGTTGAACTTCACAAATTATAGACTAGCCACTTGCAATATATGTTTAGTAATTTGTGTCGGACTCAATTTTCCTCATTGAATGGGAAGCCCCACCAAAACATGTGACTTAAGCCTAATTAGTGAACACTTGAAAGGAGAAACTGGATTTTCCCTGGAAAACACAACACAAATATCAACATGAGTTAACCGACCTACTAAATTTGTTATTGAAGGCTAAATATGCAACAAAACTAATGAACTCAAAATGCACCCACTGATTTCTGGATGGACAACTGCTATGGAGTATGTACCTCATAATAATTGTCTAGTTAGGGTAACCATCATAAAAATGATCCTAGGCTCAAATGTCATGAGGACATTATCTCAATAGGTAAGCGGCAAAATGTGAACTATCTTAGTATATTGAAATATAATACTAATTATAAAAAACAAACAAAGTATATTTTGTATTCGAATCCACTTATGAGATGTTTTACATTGATACTCATATCGCCCTATTCCCATGTATCACTAATATGGTAGAGGCTTCTCACCAAACATAATTGTACATGTGCAATTTAAATGCACTTACATTTTTGTTTTGAAGTTCTTCGTTTTTCTTCTCACGCTTGTCCTTTGATACAAATCCCTTAGATTCTCGAAAGGTTATTAAATCCAGACATATCTTTTTGTGGATTCCTACCCAATCAATTTTTTGATGCTCTATTCCACTAGAAATATAATGCATTCATATGTTAATGGTCAAACCAATAATACGTGATCCGGCACACCCCACATTGTAAGTAGGCTGGTTTAGAGCATACTTCACAGCTATGTTCTTCACCTTTTGGGTTTGCAAGAGGATAAAATGGAAGAGCTGGCGGAGGATGTTCCATAGTTGCATATAACGTTCAGCCTTTGATCGGTCTGCGCTTAGCCTAAAGGTATCTTGTCGGCTGGCGGAGTGTGGGTAACAGTATGTAAGAGAATTTGGAAGAGAAAGAAACAGGAGAAAAGTGAGCTGACAACTCAGTAAGCGCAATACATTTCGAACAATCTGACCACACTTATACTATTTAAGACATTTCGATAAGAAAATTAAAAGGTCAACTAGATAGGTTAAAGGTAAGTCGTAATAAAGAAAAAAGTATTAAAGTACACAAAAACAACATGATTACCACTCTGGATAGTAGATCAGTACTACTAGGATAGGTTAAGTATATAGAGAAATTGTTTTTGAACGCATAAAGGGGGTCACAGTTTCCGTATAGACAAGGCTTCAATAAACCTTAGTATATGTCCTTGAAGGTTTCTGTATAACATTACAAATGCTGACTTGATGTCGACCTTATGAACAGTTTCAATCAATCAAGTAACACTATTACTTCTGGGTGGTCTATAACTCATTTGGAGTAACAGGCATAAGTAAGTAAGTAATGTTACTTCTAGGATGACTATAAGTGCAATATTATTACAAGTTGCCACTAGAATTCAGGGATTGAAAGTGTGAAGCTTTTAGTAAGTTACGTGCATGCAGAGATTTGTTTTTCGCTAGAATCTACTTTGTTCTTTGTACTAGAGGAAACATGCAGAATACAGTAAAAAAGATAGAGAAAAGAACGAAATAAAAGGTAAATCGACGATCAAGAAAGAACGCAAAATGCATGCACATTTAGGAAACAATCAGCAACTATACATGTTAAAAGTTAAGACAAATTTAAAATCAAAACTGTGAGTAGGTAATTTGACCCTCTAGAATGAGTCAAATTTAAAAACCTGCCGGAAGGTGCCATAGCTACGACCTGGATACCTGGTCACGTTAAACTTTTTGCCTATTTCACTACAGTAACTATGTTTTTTAATCGTATGACATGTCCAGGAGCGTATTTACGGAGACTGCGACATACGCCGGTTAATAAATTTTCAAAATCAAAAGCTTTGTAACTCTTCAACAGTTAATTTGAAAAATTCGAAATCTGGGCTATGACCAAGGAAGATGATGAGGATACTAATATTGTGGCACATTTTCTCACATTCATCGGAAAAGAAGCATATAGCTTAATAAAAATTTTGGCTTTACCGGAAAAGCCCATTTCTCTTCCTTATACAACTCTCAAGAAACTACTGCTGGACTATGTTAAGTATACAAATACCGAATGCGACAAAAGGAGATTTCGTAAAACGATTCATGAGGACATAAAAAATTCTACTACATTACGTCACCCCATCCCAGTGAATACTCAAGATTATGCAGATAATTCATTGAGGAGTTGCAATACAGTTCACGAAGATGGGCACACGTTTGATCAATTTTTGTCCTGCGGCAGGTTCCACTCTCTTAATTCATGTAAATTTCGTAATTCTAAGTGCTTTAAATGTGGTGATGTTGGACATATTCAGTCAGTTTGTAATATTACTGTTCATCTTGCTGCAAATATTATTAATTCTTGTGATTTTGATTCTATTAAGCTGAGTATTTATAATGATCATTTATCTTCATCAACGATTTCAAAAGACAATTTAGGGTCATATAGCAGTTCAGAGTTAAATGAAACTCAGAATCCTTACGAGGAAACAATTTCTAATGAGTCAACATATCAGGTTTCTCGTGTTATTGTACCAGATATAATTTTTCCTAATGATTCACATATTTCTGATGAAATTTCTTACAAATCTGGCGAGAATATTTCGGATGAACCTAATCATGATCGAAAATCTGATGTGGTTTTGATTGATGCTTATTTTTCTAATGATCCCTTACTCTGCAATGACATTCTTAATAAATTTGAGGAAACTATTTCAGAAGAATCAAATCTTTATGTCATATCAAATATTATTTGTCCTCATGATGCATTTGTTTCTTGTGAGAAACTTGTTCAGTGCGAAGCACGAGTATTAAATGAGCTTGTAGCAAGCCCATTCCATTAATGTGTTATTTGTCTACACAACTGTGTTAATTTCCATATGAGTATGATTGCGCGTGTGTCTGCACTTCAATCCCTATTCTATTCCTCATTAGTTGTGACACATAGATAATCAATAATTTATCTACACTTGATTGATACTCAAAAATATATATGAATCTTTTAACACAGACACACACTTTGATTTTTGACTCACTCGGTGCTTGCTTGCTGTATGCTTGCGGACTTTACCAAGCTTTAACAATAAACTATCTCTATAACTGATTTTTGGGCTTTTTAATGATCTCGAGTAAATCGATAATTCTACTAGGAGATTAAGCCTGCATTAAATACTCGGTTAATGAGATATCTTTATTTGGAGTCGAATATAGAGGAAGTTTATTTTAACAAACTCGGTTAACCTCTACAAATTGGTGAGCCGCATTTAGAATACGCACCTGTTTCTCTACAAAGTCTGCTGCATATTCTCCAATCATAAAGAACTTCATATTGGAATTACTATTGCAATTATTAACAATACATTGACAGTCAGCAAATTCACCTATAACATTGTTTCTTTGGAATTATTACTTTATATTTGCCTATTTAAACTCAAAGTGACCTTCGTTTTCGGTGAGTCTCATATATATTTCTTGTTGTTATTTTCGACTTATTCATATCATATATTTCAATCCTCAGCTTATTATTATTGCTATTGTCATTATTTCTTCGTATCATGTCATTTGATAATTCACCAAGCCTTTCATCTAAGTATATTTCCGTGGGTGCAAACTCTGTACCTTTACCTGTCTTTAATCCCCGAAAGGCCGAACTCTGGTTTGCACGCTTAGAAAGCTTTTTTGTTGCAAACAGAATCACAAATCAGAACACAAAATTTAGTTATGCAAACTCATTGCTGCCAGACGATGTTATAGAACAAGTGTCTGACGTCATTTTTAAACCGGATCCAGACTCACCATACGATTGTCTAAAAAGAGAGGTCATTCGTGTTACATCTCTCACCGACCAGCAGACAATCGATCAACTTTTAGCTAATGTAGAGCTGGGTGACAGTACACTATCTCAATTGAAACGCCACATGACAAATTTATTGGGGAATCGTACAGTAGATAAACGTCTATTATATCAATTGTGGCTCAGACGTCTACCACAAAACATCCAACAGATACTAGCAATCGGAGACGAGGATATCGATTTTGATAGGCTAGCAGATATAGCCGATAGAATTTACGAGCGAACTAGGACGCACTCCGTATCTCACATACAATCAAACTCATCTGACGAGATCGCCGAGTTGCGACGAACAGTCGAAGTCCTCGCTAATCAGATAGCTCAGCTCCAATTTTTGAATACCTCCCACAGCAAGCGGAAAGAAAGGTCCAGAAGCCGTAAACGTCGTAGTCCAAGCACCACTCGACATAACATTTGTTGGTACCATAAAACGTACGGTAAGCAAGCTAAAAAATGTACTCCTCCCTGTAATTTCGCAAGCACACAACAAAGAGACCATCATGAACGTCGGTTAATGACGACTGCAGTCGCTGAACACAACTCTCAAAGCAGTCGTCTGTTATATGTTACAGACAAAAGGACTGGAACACAATTCTTAGTCGACACTGGGGCAGAGGTTAGTGTAGTACCACCCACTACATTGGAGAAAAACACACCTGACCCCATACTAAAACTACAAGCCGCAAACAGATCTGAGATCAAGACGTACGGCAAAAGGCAGTTACAATTAAATTTCGGTCCTAAATCCAAGTTTTCATGGAACTTCATCATAGCTGACGTCCTCATTCCTATAATCGGCATTGATTTTTTACAATCCCATAAAATACTCGTAGATGTAAGAAATCGGAAACTTGTCCTTGCTGACCATAGCAGCGAAATTAGAGGGATTATTTCTAACGAGACGTCCATACATTTATTGATCAAACCTCATCGCGAGAATGACAAGTACGTTAGTTTACTTAATCAGTTTCCAGACTTATTACGACCGAATTTCAAACGGGACAAACTGACACATACCGTCGTACATCATATAAAGACAGAGGGTCCACCAGTGTTCGCACGTCCAAGACGCCTTGACCCCTCTCGTTTGGCTCTAGCAAAGAACGAATTCAACAAAATGATAGAGTTGGGTATCATACGCCCCTCCGATAGTCCGTGGGCATCACCGCTCCATTTGATACCCAAGAAAAACCCTTCCGAAGTTAGACCTTGTGGTGACTATAGAGCTCTCAACAGCCGTACTATACCAGACAGATATCCACTTCCACATTTACATGACTTCACTCATAGTCTATCTGATGTGACGATTTTTTCAAAAGTTGATCTCGTCCGCGCTTACCATCACATTCCAATTCACCCGGACGACGTTCCCAAAACAGCCATTACTACCCCATTTGGATTATACGAATTTGTTCGCATGCCTTTCGGATTAAGGAATGCTGCACAAAGTTTCCAGCGTTTCATCGACCAAGTAGTACGTGGCTTACCTTTCGTATATGCTTACATAGATGACCTTCTTATCGCAAGCAAAAATGAAAATGAACATCTAATTCATCTGAAAATGCTTTATGAGAAGCTAAACGAGTATGGGTTAACAGTCAACCCTGACAAATGTGAGTTTGGAAAACAATCCCTCACCTTTTTAGGTCACGTAATTGATAGTCAAGGCATCAAACCAGTTCCTGAGGAAACACAAGCCATCAAAAATTATCCTTTACCAGAATCATTCAAGAAACTACGACCTTCCTCGGGATGATCAACTTTTACAGACGTTTTATTCCGAAATGTGCAGACATAGCAAAACCGCTAACTGATTTATCAAGAGGACGAGCTAAATCATTGACAATGACACCGCAAGCAATTCAAGCATTTGAACAGTTAAAAAGCACCTTAAGCACCGAGGTATTACTAGTACGTCGAAAGGTTGATGCACCTCTAGCAGTAATGACCGATGCCTCTAATGTAGCAGTAAGCGCTGTGCTTCAACAACATGTCGATCAACAATGGCAACCCCTTGCATTTTTCTCAAAAAAGCTAAACGCAACGCAAACAAAATATAGCACATTCGGTAGAGAACTGTTAGCTGTCTACCTAGCTATCAAGCACTTTCGGTATATGTTAGAAGGCAATTCTTTTACGATATATACGAATCATAAACCTCTAACTAAGTCCTTAATGCACAATCATGATGAATACAGTTCGCGCGAAATTCGTCAACTAGAATTCGTTTCACAATTTGCATACATAAAAGGCAATGCAAATGAGGCAGCAGATGCACTATCGAGATTAAGTATCAATACCTTCTCGATCCCTGATATAAACTATCAAGACATAGCAAATATTCAAAAGCTCACTGCTGTTAGCATCAACAGAGTAAAACCACCGTTTTTGAAGTATACTGAAAAAAACACAACCATAAAACGGTCTAAACCTGCATCAGAGCAAGCACCATACAGACTAACCGCAATAAACATTACTTCACTCCGAAGTACGCCAACAACAGAAACCACAATAAGATCAGGAAGAAGAGTACACTGACCAGATAGGTATTTAGCAACCACCATATTTATCTAGACCAAATCCTGAGATTGCTCTTATACCACAAAAATCCTTCTTTATTTTCATTACTATTTTTTATTGGCCCCACGGATCTTCATTATGCTTACATTTTAACTTGATGAAATTCGTTGATGTGAAATATACATTTATACATACATGATCCAAAGCGTTTCAACACACAAGCTGTTATGACAACTTAACGCTTACTCATCATCATATCAAATTGTACATTTACTTTAAAGACAATTTCGTTTTTTATCTCTTTGTCGAACATAGATGTTAATAAAAATTTTTTT